AGGTTAGGTCTGTTTCGGCACCTAGAAGAACCGATTATTCTCATCTACGCGTTAAATGGCAACAGGAAACTACGCTGCGAAAAACAGTCACAAAAAGATGCCTAGCGTATATTCGACGCCAGCGATATCTAAAATAATACCAGAGAACGCTTCCATACCCCAGACAACCCGTTCAGACATAGCGCCGAGGTCTTTATGTAATCGATATGGTATCATGAGAAGAGAACGAAGATTTTCACATCAAAGGAAGCCGAAACGTGAATCGCCAGTAGTAAAAGATCTTCACGTACTTCCTTAGCACGACCATATTGCGTGTAGCCCTATAGAAGATGTATCCATTACCTTTTTAGATAGCGATCTTCCGTGTGGCCTTTCGCTGCAAGCCGCTAAAAGGGCTTTGTTCTGTTCCCAGTACTGATATGATGATGTTACCATTTGGGTCTGCCAAAGATACGAACGTCTATCCGCACGAGCGCGGTGTAGGAGAATATGGAAACGCTGTCCGGTCAATTTCGCTGTCAGCGTAATTAGTTTTTAGATACGGTTAGACGATTTTTCTAAGCCAATCGATAAATTTCTTTCGATATTTGCGTGCTTCGACATCGCATACTATCAGCCGAAAGTAGAGTTGATTTCCGTGTTTATGTACATATATCTTCAGGCCTCTTCAACATCTGGGCCGACTTCTGGAGACAGCAGGCAGGCAGACAGGCAGGCGAGAACAACAAGAATCCATTGCCGCAGACATTACCCGCTTGTGAAAGCCGACCATCAAACATATGACCTTAAACCCTTTACTTTTAACACGTTTTTTTGCACGTCTCTTATGTAAATGCCCAGTTGTAACTCTTATAGGAAAGGTGTTCTGTAGTTTGACCTTTGTTTTTTCGTCGGCTTGAATCGTTACCACGACGTGCTTGGTCTCTCCTCTTCCCTTTCAAGCATATTCTATTCAAATGAAATACTCGAACCAAATTGGTTACCGTTACTCAGTCTAAGTGAATAGCGAGTGGGGGGGGGGGGGGGTATCCACTAGAAGACGTAAATTAGTGTGCCCAAATACGCAAAAGATCTGTGGGAACACCTATCTAGTTGGTATTAAACAAATCCATCGAATATCTTATTTAATATTTCGCAGCGTTTTTCATCTACGGATAATTGTTAATGTATTGAAAAATCTCTCTTGATTTCATTATAGTTCTCGATTTTGGCTTCAGAGCAGCCAACTTTATGCAGGCTGGTCACGTTGCGCGTCGCCTGAACAAAAGTACGGCAGTAAAATTCGACACAAGGCTCCTTATAATAACTTCTGTAGCACTGGAAAAAATTAAGGTCTATCAAAATTAGTTTATAATATCACACGCTAATGCAAAATTAGCGGTTCTGCGACCCAGGGGTCTTGGCAGCGCTGTGCGGCTAACTGTGCAGGACGAGCAAAATATATCTAGGCCACATTCCTCCGTCTGGATTTCGGTTAAGTAACAAGAGCTGCGTTTTTTTTAAGAACCCTCCGCTGCTGCTGCTGCTGGTAGTAGAAAACTTCTTTTGAAACTCTATCAGCAAAGCTTCTTTGAGAGATCGGAGATGTTTCCTGGTGGGGTAAGACTTTAATAATAGCCCTCTAACTATAGTATACAATAATAGGAAACGGTTTGTGATGAATAGCTTGATTCGTCTTAAACATCTCTTTTTTCATAACTTTATATCTTTTCTAGCTTCCAGGCACTAGCAGTATGATTTGGCTAAGCAGGACCTCGATCTAAAAACAAAAAGGTGTTTATTCAGTGACTTTTGTTATTGCTCTTACGCAAAGCATTGGAAATACAGTACTTCGGTTCATTATCGCGAATCACCATAGAAAAATTATTCGATATAAACGCTACAGAATGTCCTATTAACAATCGGTCTACTAGTTTTTTCGTCTCTAAATCCGTCTATATAAAAGCTATCTACGTCCGGCCACAAAATCGTCTTTGAACGCTTAATGCACTCTATCAATGCCTTCCAGCTCTGCCGCCGTATCCTCTTTAATCACCATATACTCTTTCATTAGATCAAATGTGCATCATTTACTTTTACCATCAGCCTTAATCTTTACCGCATCTTATTCGACCATTGCGCTATAATACTTTTTTCATTAATAGTATTGCCTAACAATAGATCTAAACGTTCTGTCCGAAAGCGGGCCATCCCTTTCGGTGGATCTATGATATATGTTGACCTAGATTATCTGCCAAGGAATCATGTGAACAAGGGAACTATAGCTGTTTGCCAGTTAACAACCCCTTGCCACGTACCAAACAATTTCTTATTAAAAATAGCGTTTTCTGACAGGTGTCGCGTGCTCAAATTTTTACATGGTAATAACGTACCACTAGGCGAATTGGATTCACAGATTATTGCTTATAAAAATACAGCTGAAATTTGGCATAGGGACTAAATTGCGTACAACTGAGCGTTTATTCAAACGAATTTAAATTATGAACGGAACTTATGTAGTATCGAGAGGCAAAGCGGACCGCATTTAAAAAAAAAATTGGATTTGTAAGTATATGATTCGGTAAGTAGCCAAAATGAAAGCAAAAAATTTCGTCTGTATTCTCGACCTAGACAGATCTCCGTACGGGCAGTTTACGAAATACGACATCCTAACTTTTCATTACATTATGTGTGATGACATTATGTGTTTCAAACATAGAAAATTGGAGGTGGAATGGGTCGGGTGTTTAGGAGAATCGTCATATGACACGAGGTCTGCATCAGTGACTTCAGGTGGCTGTCTGTGAACCGAAACGAAAACGTCATGCGCCGAAGGATTTCTCTTTCTAGTTATAAAAAATGCCGCGACTTTGGTGTAATGGGATTTCCGCTACCCGCTGAGGGCAACAGGGTCGTTCGCCTGTTTGGCACCGGCTTCAAGCGAAACATTGCATACAGGCGGCAGGAAATCGACACGAACCGCTTTCATGAACGGCTGCCCCTCCGGTAGGGCAGGCTATACAGCTCATGAGCACAACCGTTACAAGCAGCAACAACGTTAGAGACCGTTGCCTAAAGCCGGTTGCCTATGCCTGCTCAGAATGGGGTAAACTTCTTTGTTGGAGACGACCGTATCGGGGGTTGGTGTAAACGAGGAGCGAAAGGACCTTCTTTGGATATAACATCCTCAAACATAATGTTGGTGTTTTTGCTGTTATCTTTATTTGTTGACGTCGGCGGATTAGTTAGTGTATCTGTTAATTTCACCGTTGGTGGCACCAGTTTGGCCGCATTGTTTTTATTTCTCGTTTCTTTCTTCGATCATATGAACCCTTACCAACTAGTGCCATCACCCCTAGCAGCTTCAGGCGTTTGGACTCGTTGCAATAAAATGTTTTTTGTGTCATAGATTGCGAATGCTGATGAAGGAATCAGGCAGTATAAAGCCGCATTAACTAATGACTGTTTTCTGGTAGGAAATTACGCCATTGGCTGATCAACGGAGGGCCGGCCGCGAGGTGTGGCTTTAATAAGAAAGTTCTAGCTCCAACAGCATTAAAGGCGTAAGGAGACTCGCAGACATTTAGCTGATCACTATCATTAGTTACGGTTATGAAGATGCATAGCTCTATAGCCCTAAAACGATCCGGCCAATGAAGAATAAAGTTTCTAGATTAAAAAAGATCTGTTCAATATCTGTAGGGTAATAATACAAACTATACGTTAAAGTAGGTGATAAGTACATTTGGCAGTAGCCATAGGGAAGTCGAATAATTAATTTCCTTATTGATTCCAGTACGTATTGACGAAATGTCCATTTATACCGGTTATCACCCCAAATTCCTAGCTGAAAATATTCTCGTCCTTTTTCCCAAAAAAAAATCTAGAAAGCTGTAATAATTTCAGATATTTTGCTTTCGACAACTCGGCCAAGTTTATTTGTTGCAAGTTTCGTTTCTGAATCAAAGGTTAGCATTTCGGACAAAATGCAAAACTTCTGTGATCCAGTGTAGACCTGAGCAGAAATGCAAATGGCTTGTTTTTGTCTTCTATAAGCAGATTAGATGTGTGGAACAGGTTTAAACGAGATCTACCGATGAACGCATAACGAAGTTTGCGAGTATATATCAATAGAGAGATTTCTAATTGCGTATAAACTTGAAGAATTCTTAATTTTCCACAAGAACTTGTATATTAGAATCCCGCTAGAAACCAAGGCTAAAAGGTATTAGAATATACGCCCCTGTCACGTTATTCTGCATGTTTTTCGATATTTTTTGCTGTAACGTTCTGCTGTTCAAATATAGGGAGCCCCTGTCCAACTGGGGTTCTAGGTAAAAAGGTTCTAGGTAAAAATAAAGTAAATAAAGAAGGCATCTTGATTCGAAGGCCGTGTCATCTTTTAGGTTTGATGACGGTTTTTTCATCTAAAAAAAACAACACCTTATTCCGAGTCCAGTATCAAATGATGTATTATGTATTTGGCATCACTTTCTGCAATTTTTTCTCGTTTCTCCGCCATTTATTCCGCCCGGACTGAAACTCTCATGTCGGATAGTAAAGAACTCATCCGCCCAGTTTTTCAGCTCAGTCAGAGGTTGCTATGAAACGAATTTAATGGTGACTGACAAATGTGATGATTCTGTGACACCAAGTATGAGATGACGATAGAAATGAGCCTTTCACCTAGCTTCTTTTTTAACGACCTTCAATAGACGTGGTGTGCCATTGTTGGCGAGAGAGATATTTCATTTTTCCTATTGAATGGGTTCGCTTATTTAATCTAACTGGGGCATATAAAAATTCTTGTTACCGTCGAAAGCTGTCTCAACTACTTCCCATTGTATAAGACGTCTTTAGTTTCTAGTGGTTCTATGTTCTGCTTTCACTTAGAATAATACTTTCATATAGGAATCTGTGATTGTGGCTAGATACTGAAAGGTAATGAAGGCTGTACGTTCGTACGCTATTCATACAGTTTATGGGACACCTAGAATATTAATTTTTCGAATAAATTTTACCGAGCGAAGGTGGCTGATGAAGGTTGCATTGACGCAGTTCACCTCCCTAGCGAATTCACATCTCGTTTGCCGGCAATCATCTTTCAACGGTGCCTTCAGGCGATTCTGATTTACCTCGAATGGAACGAGATGCATCCTCCAGAGACCCAAGGTGGCTGGAACAAACCATCTTCAAGCATTTCTCTTAGTTATAAATTGCTCAGACTACTTTAGTATCCTCTTTAGTTTAGAAGAACGTACTATTATTATTATTAGAGTTCTCAGAAACTCACCTAAAACATAAATGTTTAAAATCCGAGCTCTGCTACACAAACAAAATTACTGCGAAATTGCCAAGGAGAGAGCGTATTTTAAAAAGGTATAACGAAAAGGAAAAATAATTAAGAGATAAAAATTAAACGCATTACTTTTCGACGAAGCTAAAAATATACTGGTTCAAATGAATCAGCCATATTTTCAATATGAACGACATTGTTTTTTACAGATAAAACTCTACCTAAGCTAGGCTAGCCTATTTAGGGGAACTCGCTATAGCTCGACGGGTCAGAACTTTCTGATTGTATTGGATTTTTAGTTACTTTTCGCAAACTTTTCATTGCTTCTATTTACCAGCTCAGCATAATTGTGGGTTATAATCTATTAACCCAGCAATGGCAAGGTATCGGTAACGTTCTTGGACGTACCTGTTTAGTCGCTCCCTAGCAGCCAGAAACATTTTAAGTGATGTACAGCAGAGGCATCTTCTGGTGGCGTAAGTGTTGATTGGAAACTCTCGTCAACGTAATTAAATTTTTTACGTGAAGAAGTGACGCACATTAAGTTTTCCTAATATAGGACTGATCAGTGCAGGACAACATCTATCCAAGCTAGTAAATGGTCGTGTTCGATAGACAAAAGCTTAAATGAAATGATTTCCAAGTATTCCGATGGCTTCAGGCAGGTGAGCATATGTATAGACGAGCCTACGCCGTTTTAGTTACAACAAACTAATGTTAGCTACATTCTACATCTGTATATTCCACCTAAAAAAAATTATCAGCTCAAAAGGCGCAGTAATAAGGTATGATAGAAATTTAATAAAATAGTATAATGAAAATTTTAACGTACATCCTTTCTGATTCAAGAACCTATTTTCAACTAGGCCTAAAAAATTCAAAGTCATTTAGCGCCCATTGTAATTATATGTAATAATGATCAAATGAAGAGTGCTATATGACAAAAATATCACTTTGTTATGGTTCAACAATTAAAACGATATCCATTAACGGTCAGAGGTTGACATTTACCGACCTTCTGATAGAATTCACCTCATTTTTAGATACTTGCAGTACCCTTTAGTTATGGCTAGAGTGCCTTTTGCTTCTTATTTCTTGGGACACGTGCGAAGGGATGTCGTAAAAATTTGTCAGAGAGACTGCCAAGCTTAAACCGTACGTTTCAGGCGCTTACTTGACATAATCACTTAATTCAAATAGAGAATGGTGCTTCCTTACATCATCCATCTACATAGCCTTCCTATTTTTCTACTGGTCCCGTTAACTCTTAACGTGTCCTTACACCCCTGACGCCAAACGTTTTGCCGTTAACGTTCGACACCAAAACATCTAACTATGGTCTAACTAACATCTAACTATAAAAGACTTTACCTTCCTGAACCAACAGCGAGCCAGCATCGAGACCAACGTTTGTTTTTTTTCTTTTTTTATTATATATATATAAAACCTTTATAACCTCGTTACAACAGGCTGATCACACACAATTCAACGACGTTGGCGAAATCGCTGCTGCTTCACAAACCATTCAGGCGGATTTTCCACATTCAGAATTCGCTGATTTAAGTGATCATTAGGACTAACTCTGATATCGTATTCGGGTTATCCGACACAGTCTGTGCTATGGCCTTTACTAAGTATCGAATATTCATTCTAAAGAGGGGCACAGCTTTTCGAGAGAGATACAAGACTTTAAATGTGCTCAAGGCCTGCCTTACTCCATTAATGTGATTCAGTTAACAAAAGAGGACTTTAGCTGTGTACGTTTCTTCGTATTGTTTTGAAAGGAGCAACAAGGTCAACACTGTGCGATAGTGTGTCTGCCGTCAGATAATTACAGTACCAATCGAGTGAATCTTGAATGGCATGTTCTGTTTCTCGAGATAAAACTCGTATAGAGTATTTTCATTTCGACCTCTACGTGTGCGTACTTCGATGCAAATTGCAAGACGAGTCAATGTTAAGATGATCTAAATCACGACAGACTGGCTTTGAAAATAGCTCTGCGATGCATGACTTAACTAGTGAACTTTGAACAGTTGTGGTCCTTGAAAACATCAACATTCGGGTTAGTTAATAATCGATACTGTTGGTTTGTAGCCGACCAAAAAAGATAGGGTTGAAATCTGGAGGGTATTTGCATTTCTTGAACAATTCCATTATTTGTTGCTGTTGGACCACTACCGACCATCCGCCAAAGTATAGTCCCTTAGGGTCAGATACAATGCATAGAGGCCTAAGTCTCCGAAGATAATGAAAACCACAGTGAAGTTAAAACTGCTTCTTTGTAGTTTACGATTTTACTTTGTAGGTTACGGTTTTAACGTTTACCAGCAGCTCTATAGCTTGCAAGATATCGATGCTGCCGTTATACTCCAGGTATAAACTTTATGGATATAGGTTTAAAGCCTTGATTACATCTGACAGATATAAACAGATTTTGTTAGATCCAATGTTCAGGGCGAACAGTTCCCTTTATTAGACAGGAACGCATCTTAATGTAAACAGCTAAAGGTGTGATTGCGATTAATCTCGAAGGGGACCTACTATATTTCTTACATTCGAGCAAGTCTACTCAATATTGTTTTCATAAGCTAGTGATTACGTGCTCATGCAGCGTGTACGTAAATACTTTAGCCTTCAATCAACATTGAGTAAACTTAGCGCAATTTGTAAGGAAGGTACTGATATAAGATACTGCAATGTAGGTATATTGCAGACTTGCACGATGAATCTGACTGAATGCGGTTAAACATTTAAACGTTTTATTACTCTTCTATTTGGTAGAGCTTTTTTCATGTCTCTCTCTTTCGGTTCCCACTTTTCCTCTATCCCTTTCGTTAGGAGCATTTTATTTTTTTCAGATCGCAGATGCTCCGTTGTCTGATGCCGAATATAATAGCGTACAGATCATAATGAAGCCGAACGGCACTCTAACTGCAGAGACAGGACATTAAATGTCATTGTGTTTTCTCAAGGGAAAACCCGTTTCATGCGGACGGGACGAGAAGCGAATTACTCGCAGGGTACACAGAACCATTGTACGAAGACACACCAATGCCTAACAGAGTATCTACTCTCGAGACTTAAATAACCTAATTTTTTGGCCATACGGAACAGAGAGTTCTCTCCGAGAAAAGCAGTCAATGCACCTACCTCCTAGTAGCCGCTTGCGCCGTGATGAAACAATAAGCTTTGGTGAAGTTCATCTTTGCTAGATGCGAAGTTAACCGGGAGATCGGGTATGTTACACTGTTGCTTGGCATTCTCTCCAGGCTGGAAACGAGGAAATGAGCAATGCATCGAAGCTTTCTTTTTTTTTTTTTTTTGAAAATTATTACTAACTGTGTCAAGCGGATTATTAGCACGCCCTTACTCACCAAACCGATTAATCACAATTTGCTTGTATAAGCATTAAGCTGCGGGATGTAGCTCAAGGTTCATGAGAAGAACAGTTCGATACTATTACTCTTTCTTTAAGAATGATAACCCCGACCCGTGTTTGGTACCTTAGTGCAGTTGTAGAAGAAGGCCGATAAGGCTGACTTATAACCTAACAGGCCGTTGGAGTCATCTGAATCGGTGCACACTTAGCTCATGGACAGGGTGGACTTTGCTTACGGCTTATGCTCTAACTTATTGCATCTATACAATTTGAACTCGGTAGAGTAAAGTAAACGTTTCATGGTCGTTAAATCCGATTCAGTGGAAAGGAACGCAAAACCTGACCAGCCAAGAGCTATTCGACAAATATCAAAACACCTATACACTGCTAATTATTATTAGCATGTCGGTTGTTTTGTGTAGAATGCAACAGTCCCATCTTAGGCTGATCAGACCGCGTCGGAGTATACATACAGAGTTAACACATCGAACGGACGCTAAGCGATACCCAAGTCGGTAATCTTCTTCTACACAAGTGTTTAGGCTTAATTCAGGTGTCTCTACGCTTGGGAAAGCCCTGCGTCACGTACTTTAATGCTCGAGATGTCTGGAAATCTTGTGCAACCCAACCAAAAGAAGGTCAAGTGGCGCAGTACTAGTTCACCCCTTTTGACGATCCACCCACTATTGTATACCTCGATTGAAGGTCAACTTACGACCCTAACGACCCAAAATGTCGAAAATTGACTAGTCGTTTAGTGAGCTCATTGTATAATTAGCTTTCATTTTAGAGACGGCATCCTTTAACGGGACACTGGCATCTTATTTCTAAAAAGCATTGATACAAAATGCGATCTATCACTCCTCATAGAGCAATCTTGTTTCTAGGAGCGCGGATCGGAATATTTACTTTAAAGCCGCCTATACAGATTCTGTCCAAACACAAAAGTGTGCGATCACGTAAATACACTTGGAGTTTTCAGGCCAAAATGAATACATAATAAAAATATATGTACTCAACAGGATTCCTGAAGGACACCAAAAGGTTAGTTGTTCTAGTCATCAGCTTTTATTAGCGTCTACTTTGAAACTTAGATTCTTTTTAATGGAGTTCAGCTCATTCTGCTTGCTTATCATGACGTGATACTCCCGTGTTCTGTGCGAGCAGGTTAAACATGGAGATTACTAAAGAAAACCTTTCGACGATGGTATAGTTTTTGACGATACGCAATCATCTGCAAGCTTTCACTGGATAAAAGTCTAGCACACTTTAGGCTAGGAAGTCTAAATCTTTTTTTTATTTTTCAGGAACTTCTTTCACTAACGTTCTGCGAATGAGAACGGCCTTTCCTGCTCGACAATGCCATGAACGTTTGCAATTCGCTGAAGGTTTCTAAATCAGTGAGGGCTTCCTACACGGTGTGTAGCTATATATTACAATCTGTCAGACCACCAAATATCGGGTATTTGTTAAACAACAAAGTGTTGTTTTAGAAAGTGTACTCAAAACCTTATTTTGGCTGTCGGCCAGGCCGTCTGGGCGTCAACACTTATACTGTCAATGCAGACGTGTTTCGTACTGAAAAAATCAATATATCGAACACCGACCATGCGTTTTCTTCCAAAAACAGCACGGGTTTATCGCTAACAGGAGAATGTAGATGAAGCAAATGGTGACAACAACAAAGATAATAACATTCATAGTAACATTGTCTAAACTATCATTAGAACGATATGTGTCAGCTACAAAAAAAAAACAAAGAATAGATAGTAGCGATATTGGCTATATGAGCACACAAAACAGTTCGGTCCGCAACCCCCTATTTCATTCTAGCTGGAGGAAAAGCGGTCACTGAGAGTAGATCGACTTAACTGCTTACGTTCAATCTTAGTCCGGCGTTCTCAGCTTTTCTTCGGTTCAATTGTAGAATGCATCATGATACGGTAATCTGTTTGCTAGGGCTTTTTTCGACGCGGATGTTTGGAATCGTGCGAGGAAATCCCAGTGCTATTGTCTATCCATTCGTGCGTTCTACATAACCTAACGTTTTCTTAGCTTTTGGCTTAGCGCACTACCCTTCTGTAACAAATAAGCAAAAGGCAAGCTATGCTAGACAAGCCTTAAAGTCGTCTCGAGACAAGGTAACTCCTATGCGGTAATAGCTCACGTAAAACTGGTTGACTTCTTACGATCCGGTCATTGGTGTCTCAAGACTACGCTGGATCCGACTCAACAACTGAAATTCCGCGTCAGAAATGCAATCCGGCTCTATAAATATAGTAGCACATCTATGTATGTACTATAGAAAATACATTGTACGCACGATAATGGTAGCAATAGTGCAATAGCACGCATAAGTCATAACTTCCGAATCTCTAACGTTATATTATTTCAGAAGCAGATGTATCCGTGGATAGTATTTAATGGCACATAAAAACACGCATAGCCTTGTTTCCTAAGTGGAAGATTTCTATGGAAAAGGTTGGCCGTAATCTTCTTCAAAATACGTTATAATAGCCTCATTTTGGCAAGAAGCGGTACATAGGGCTCGTATTCTTCCAGCAAACTATTTCGAGACAAACGAGTTGTTTATGCATAAGCACAAAAGACATAGTTAAGCCTTAGATGAAAAAGATCATTTATGATCTTCACCAGTTTAACTCAAATTCTACTCACGATCCAACATCGAAATACAATTTATCATGAACCAGGTGTGCCTAACATGCTCATACCACAGATACGGTCGTGAGGCCGCGGTGCAACACTGCGTGCCTACGAGATGCGATATTCCGGATATTTGAAAAAAAAAATACTGATATGTTCAAATTTAATCTTAACAGCTAAGCATGGAACTCAATAAAATATTGTAAATTAAGCTTTACAGGACGCGTTTTATTTCGAAAGCGACTTTGTCTAAAAAGTCCTCCTTCAACGACAATTCGTACCGCGTATATGCCAATGATATTCGAATAAAAACCACCAAATCTACAGGCGACAGCTGCAGATTTGATGGATAGTCTTGATAAATAGCATTTCAAATGGACGACCCCTATTCGAAAAGTTCAATTCAATATGTTTTAAAAATTTTTGACAAAAAACTTCTTCGAAAACTAAAAAAAAAAAAAAGTAACTAAGCAATTCAATTAGCTGCAACCGTGAACAGCAAAAACACTTGTCCTGATGTCGATTTGCTTCCAGAGAAGACTGGTGAAACACATTTTGTAGTTAGGAGGGTAACTAGTAGCCGGACATCGATCTAAATGCTTCTGTTATTCGAAGAAATTTCAAGTGCTTATTGTGAAAATCCTTCAGAAAGTTGCATGTCTGTGCTAATTGGCCTTGGGTATCAACTGTTAGATAAAACAAGACCCATACACAATCAAACTTTATTATTCAACCCGTTTTCTTTGACGTACTAACCTAATTACATGATTTACAATAGCTGATAACCGCTTACCTATTCAGATATACCCAAACGTGGCGACAGTTGCTGGAAATCCATGCTATTTTTTAGGTTGAAAAGTGATAGGTCTTTTTTTTCAGATAAATTTAGGAATCGTCTTTGCAGCGGTACAATGAGGTTAGTTGATGCGTCTCACGTTAAGAATGGAGTCCTATAACTGAAGCATCTGTGACATCGGTTATAGTTTCGGGAAAGGCTATTCTTTCAGATAACACTTTCAGATTTACGGACAATCCAGGATTACGTGCTTTCGTCGCATTGCCTGTCGGCTTTCCTCCGTGCTACAGTAGACCCTTATGAGACTTTCTCCTATCGGTTCGATTTGCAGAACTTTTCTGCTGGGGAATGTATCTAACGAAAATTGACAAGTCGCTTCGTCGGTAGCACCTTGTTGAAACGTTATGCAGCTTTATCCTGTTAACAAGTACGGTGATTTGTTCGGGCAAGACTTGTGATAACGTCGTCCTTCTAGCCATATAAACTCAACATTAGGAGTGAGAATAAGCTACACTGAATTTCCGGACGCAATACAAGCTGATACGTTTTCTGTTTTAGTAGAATCTAAACGAAAATCTTTGTGACAAATAAAATTTCCGTACGTATAGATTATTAGAAATTGGTAAGAAGAACGCTAGCTAGTCTTTTGTCACACATTTAAATATGCCATTGGATATAGTTACCGCTAGCTATATTCAATACAGTGGCAATGAGATGCTTCAAAGTTTACAAAGCTAATATACTTCCTTCAACATAAATTCAAAACAAACAAAGATCCGCGTATATAGAACTCGAATCAAGGAGCACGAATCAACGACTGATAAAGGTGGTCATGGTTCAGCGGAGCATCGACCAACAGAAATGCGTCTCTAAGTATTTTTACTATACATCGCCATCGTCTATTGAAGGAAAGTTGCAAGCAAATCTTTAGCGAGAATATTACACCGCTACACAGATGCTTCACCCCCTATAGCCTATAGGCCACCAATAGCCTAAGGCTATCGGCAAAATAGCTGCGGAACAACTATATTTCCTATAAAGCTACACACTTTTCATATAATTTATTTACACCGTTCACACAGAAAGCGTTCCCGTTTTTCGTATACATAGGGAACCCGTACCAGACAGCGGCTTCAAATTCGCCCGGGCTGGTAACCGATCGCTACGTTCCCATGGCTAAAATAGGCCTGCAAAGTACACACGTAAAAAAGCACCGTAAATGTTAGCCTAATAAAAGGTTTATTGACAAAACATTGTATCGGAATAAACTATTTCTTTTAATTAACACCCATTATCCAATCAAGTATCTATTTTAGTAGAAATTGATGAAATCAATATTATCAGTATAGGTAGGATAAAAAATCTTCTAAACAAGTTACTATTAAACCTATCCGAATTAGGCGGAACCTATTATCTTAGATTAGAAGAGACTTAGACCTATTATCTTAGAAGGAAAAAATTAACTATTTCTGCATATGTCGACTGAAAGTTATTTAACACAATTATTAAGATAGTTTTGCAAAAACCAAAATAGCTCATAGCTTCATGGGGCAAAACAGGGACTTTACAGCGAACGCGTTAAAATTTTTTTACCTGAGTTTTCCGAATTTTTGCCGGACAGCTAAAAATGTATGTGGGGTGGCATCGCCATGGCGGAGGACGACCCGTTTTCTGTCCACCAATTCCGGTCGGTCTTTGCAATGGCTTGCTGTAATCTTGTTAACCGGTAGCAGCAGAAGCCCAAATTAATCGTGGTGAAATTGCCAGCGGCCTATATTACATAGCGCATTTTCAATAGCAGCAAATGCATAGTATCACTTTCTTCGCCACCAGTGCGAGCTTTGCCTCAGAATTTAAAGTAGATCTTGGATCTTTTTTCTATTCGCACTTATTAGTGTTGTGCGTGATCTATTTTTCATCACCCGTGATTAACCATTTTAATAATGACTCAACTTTTTTTTTGCGTCTTCTTAAAGTTTCCATGACTCAGATGTGATGGCTATCCAGGTATCGTCAATCTCGCTCAAATTTCGCTCCCGATACGATGGTTATACAGATGGCAAGGCCGTATTACGTTTGCAGGTAAACCCAAAAACCAATGGTACATTTTATCGAGAACGAATACCCTATATCGATTGTTCAGCCTGACAATAAACAGCCAGCACGTTCAGCTCTTCAAGCCGGCCGCATTCTGTCGCGTCGTGCTATATAACAACCCGACAATGGTACATTCCACATTCAACGCCGCATCCAGCCCTAAGCCGTTGCTCCATATGTCGGTAAAGCGTTCTGACAAACAAAACGAGTTCCGATATGTCAACTGGCTGTTTGGCTGTGGTAAGCTTTTTTTTCGCAGATACAGAAGCGAAAACGTCAGGGTTGTGGGAACAGTCATCCGCTAACGGTCAGCCGCATGATGCCACAGCGAAAAGTTTTACCCAAAGGAACAGCGGTCGTCTAACTATAAACGTGTCATTTGTATGAAAGGTAAGAAAATCGCTATAACGGCAATCGCATCAAAGATATTGCCATTTACATATCACAGACCCACATTTAATGGACATACCACTTGCCTATAATGAGATTAAAATCGCTCGAATCACAGCGAGAGTACGGATCAGTTCTCTAGTTCTAATCGTAGCTAATTTTCTTAGAGACAGAAATACCACAACGAAGCTATAAGGAACCAAGCTTTGTGGGTTTTCCGATGATGCTTGCATGTTTGTCTTGGGTTGGGTTAGATTTGCCCGAATATGGATAAAGAGGCTTATAATGATATATTTGCATATCAATGCCCCATAAAACTAGTGGTGAAATATGTCGCTGGATGTAAATACCTATTTTCTAATTAACAATCGAAAAGCATGAATAATTTTGGAGCCATCTTTTGATAGCCTTCTAATCCTTTACCCTTTCTTTAGGTTAGCCCTTTAGCAACACTAACACCTTTAACCGGTTCCAACCTGTCGTTGACCGGCTTTCGAGGACGGCGCGCTCATTCATCGCTTAGATTGATGATCGCAGATTGATTGACTAACATTAAAGCCTAGCAGTTGGTGTCAGCCTCAACTTAGAATCGTCTCTGATATTGCACTCACTGCTCATGTGGAGCTTTTTCCCGTATTCCAATTGATAATGAAATGCCTCATACGAAAAAAGCGAATCGAAAGTTATGTTGGGCAAAAGAATAAAACGCGGAAGGAAGAGGTATTCGATTTGAGGTTTTCCACTTTGATGAGACAATGAAGGAATCATTAGCTATTTAAGCGTCCTTTTTAGATGAGTCGGTATTTATGTTAGTGAACTGGGTCTACTTCTCGAAATTTAAAGCAGACATGTGAACCCAACGCCCCTGTCGGACAGAGATAACAAGTGCACGTAAGCATTCATTAGTAAACAATGTTGAAGTACTTCGATCGACTAAAAATAGTTCTGCTGTCTCATTGAATAACAATTGGCTTTAAAGGGTATTCTGAAGTGGGACATTTCGGACGTTGTTTGATCTGTCAGTATGTGCAATGGTCTACACCATGGATTGCCTGTTTCGATTCACCCAGAACGACCGCGAGAAAATCTACAAATCTCTGAACATTCTCACTCCTTCGAAAAATGTGTCTGTACATCAGCGATATACGTCCTATTTTTAACAGTAATAATGAAGAGAGCCTAACACTCGCGTCCACGTAACGTTTCTTGCGTTCTAGATTAACACAGCAACTATATTATTTTTATATATACAGTCAGGACAATATTACGCAAAGTCATACACGAAAGGGCCTAGAGGCTTATTTCAGGCTTGTTTTCAAAGTCGCTTCATGTTGTCATTTTCAAGCATAAACAGAATCCACAACTTCATTATTCTAATTATTTATCATTTTGCAAACCTTTTATATCCACTTATTATTTATTTAACTCTCTAGTTACTCTAAAGTTACTATATAGAATGTTGACGCGTAGGACTCAATAACCATCTAATAAACTGTTGGCAAACTGTGCTAAATGTTTTGTCCAGACAAAAACATTCTGAAGGGAACCCGATTCATTATGTGATCCACCAATATTTCGCCAGATAGAGTGGTCCTCTGAAAATACGAGCTGTCAATTTTGCTAATAAATTTACGCGTAATATGGCATTCAATGGCAGAAATGCCGATATCAACGAGCCTTCTTAAAATCCTGTCTATTTCTATCTGTCTAACATGTTTTAGTCTTCGTCTGATTAGCCAACTAAGAACTCATTTATCCGGATCGGGTGTTACCGGAACGATTAGTTTCAATTACACGCCAGACGAAGGGCCTAGATGATCTTCGTCCCCTAATTATAACACTATACCGAATAAACTGTTAAATGTTCTACGTTTACTGGTGACTTGCCGCAGAGCTGGATAAAATGTATGTGTTTCTTATAATTGGAGTCTAGCAATACTAGAAAGGAGCAACATCGTCACAATGAAAAGATGTCGCCAATATTTATGGCACAAAGGGCGCAATATTTACTGTACCTATCAAATAAGCCACTCGATGATGATTTTCATAAACTTCTGTCGCTCGTCATGCTAAAGCCTTAGCCACAGTCTTAGGCTGCCGCTTGCGCATCTGTTGACCTCTCTAAATTTCTCTATCTCTGTAGAACTGAGAATGACTGCACATTTTCCTGTTACGCCCCCCGCCTCCCAACCACTTCCCTTAGAATCGTGCTGCCTGCTACTTGAAGTTTTTGCGCCATCATTCAGATTCTCCTGATATGCGCACACTATTTTATGCGAACGCAAAAAAAGTACCGCAATCTTTCTACTGTGCTTTGTTTAACGGGACGGCAAAACAGCGGCAGTAGCTTCGTCCCTAGCAACCTGGCGAACGGCAGTCAAACTCTGGTAGAGAATTTTGCCCTTGAGAGAAAATCCTTTTTCTCAGAAAATCTATCGTTCTCTGAGAACATCTGTCGTCGCAGAACAGATAGTAATGAAGAAGCGAGCAGAGAAATCGAACTTGCGATCGGCTAAAAGGGTTAGACCAAGCCATTTTGAGATAGCGAACTATGTTTCAGTCTATGTTCGACCCTTGCCGACTGCACTGTCGCCGGGCGTCTTTAGTTACCAGGTAGTCATGGCCAACCGAATTTCGAAAAGCCGGTCAGTAGGTCAACGAACCAACCCGAGCTGAACGGGCCTTCTCTTCTCGGGTACACAGATATACCACCAAGACGGGAAAGATCGTCGACGACGTCAACGGCTACGCAGCTCGACGTCCATCCAACGCCATCCAAAATATGTTATTGCTAATGCTGCCACAGCAGCCGCTGAAGCCGGCCGCTATGTACGCCGGTTTCAACTATACCGTGACTGTTTGACGGTCTGTAACCCGTCTGAGCAACTTCTAAGTTTACGACCATTAAACCGCCAGCTTACTATGCAGATGTAATGTTCACTGTTTTGAGGTTACAAGGCTCTTTGGCTTGCACTCTGGTATACAGCAAACGCACCATTCGAGGCTAGGCAGTAACAGCGGCGGATATATTAAAAGGGATGAAGCGATGCGGGCTCCATGGACGTTAAGATGGCAGTACTTGGTTTTTCCGAAAGTGGATTTCAGGTACTATAGACACTGTTTAAACACACGCCGTACATCGTGAAGTGAATTCAATTATATTTACAACAATGCGCTTTGAATCAATCCATTTCCGGATACGGAGAGACATAGTGTTTGGAGTGTGCGATTCAATTATATCAGTCGACAACCGTCCGCACAGATTTAAGCACCTAACACTCTAATATTTGTGCCTTATATCAGACACAGAAATCTATTCCAGGGCATCTGACCAGGTATATATCTGCTGTTTTTCATCAGAGGCAACCCAACTATCGGTTCCTATTGTTACCTTATTATTAAACATCGAAAACCGGATATATTTTAGATAGTCTTTAAAGACTGACGCTCGCGTAGGTGTAGACTGAGTCAGTTTAATGGGTAGAAGATAGCATTCTCGTTACATATAAATAAATACACTTTACTGAGGCCGGATCTTTAGTAGCAAGCAAATTTTAGCCAGTAATTGAGTTGATTTAAAAGAAGATCAATGATCTCGCTAGAAGAGCACATGTTACATTGCCTACATCATGTAGAGGATCAACGTAAAATAGGCTGAAAAAAGGACCTGATAGATCTAACTGAAATATAAGCAAGTTCTCGAGAGATCCACATAACCTAGATACGTTTGTATTTAACTTCGATGGAACCTGACAAGGCGAGCTAAACTGGCCACTAAGCAGTAACTAAATGGCGCTACAGAGATAAACCGCAGCACTGTGACTGCACGGATGTAGTGCATGTCAATGCTACAAACCTACCATTACGTGGCAAAGTTAAGTGAGCGGTCAATCACGTAAAAACACTACCTAATAGAATATAAAGGCTGATTGATAACTTTGTATAAGGTGAATCATGTCGGGAGGACACGAATCAATCTCGCATGATATGCAATAGACGATTTGAAGCTTGTGGAGGTCATTACATGATAACTTTGTTTATCTTTACTATGTGAGAGCTATACCTTCATTATGAGTAAAGTAAAGATTGACGGCGTACGTATCACAGAAGCACGTTAGTGAAGCTAAACAATCCGTATAGTAAATCAAACATTGCACGATACAGAAATTCAATACGTTACTATAGGAGTTATGCGAGCTCAAACATACGGCGATATCATATCGCAAATGCCCGGACATTGACACCCGCTAGAGTCAAACGCCTTTAGAATATCTAGACGCTCCACTTAATTGAAGATAATTGAATTTGGTTACACCCGTAAAAAATACAGGTCGTACACTAGCAAAGCAACTATACAAACAAAGCTACTCCACTTTAAAAATAACTCGTTCGCCTTTGCTTTTATCGTCCTTCGAATTTGGCAGCTATTTTTAGCAAATTGCAAGCGAACTCTAAGCACTTCTTCGAAACCGTTATATTCCTGACTTGGTCATAAGCATGACTTAGTGCGCACACCGGCGCATTTGAAGTTCTCTAGGATACCACCAAACAATAGAGTCTATCTAGTTTCAACTTTTTAAAAAACGAAAATATTGCGAAGCTAGCGTCGGGCTAACGTCATATCGTATTTCGCAGTCGCTTAGTTGCCCGCTTGACGGCCAAAGGTGCGCGATAGAAGCCATGGGTGGTCCTACTTGAAGTGAAGTTTGCTTTGAGCTGAGTGTTAGCATAGGCCAAAGTAATGCTGGCAACAGAACCCCCACAATTCAGCCCACCTTGGTACTCCCACACGCACCTGATAGCCTGTGGCTCTAGGAGTCATAAGGCGTGACAGTATTCGTTAAAAAATTTGTTGTGCAACTTGTGCAGTAATATTAGTTGCTACTTTGAGAATTGATAGTTTTTTCACGTCGATAAGTTAAACTTCTCTATCAGTAGTCTTTCATTAGGTCCACGCAATTGTACATTGGTAAACTTAAGAGTCTATGTCTGTTGTGTTATTATCAATACCTTAGGCCCAGCCTGCTATACAGTCTATGGACACTTCGTACTCTATAGGTACTACGTTCTAATGAGAAAGAAAAGCTGATAATATTTCTACAAAATGCGATCAGTGTCTCTCCCATGCTTTTATTAACCTCGCCGTTTTCACGTAAAAATTCAAGCTAAAATGTCATGCATACCTTTTTCTGGGCATGTCTTGATTGCTATGGCAAATATGCGTGGCAGTGATACCAAGAAACATAATACAGGCCATTCATCCTTAGTTTCACGTCTCATCTTCGCCAAGCCAAACATGCAGCTGAGCTGTAGGACAAAGGAGATGAAAGGCTATCCTGCACCTAACCAACTGGCGCTTCGAATCCTAACAATCCTAAGTGTGGATCATAGCCCAGATATGCCAAGTGCCGGCTAGAAGGAATCGAGAGAAAACAAGCAAGTTCCTCTTTAAGACATCGTAAACGTCAGTTACGTAAATACAAGGTGACTATAACCGCTAAGTTGAGCATTAAGATGTCTAGTGTCCAAGCGAACAGTTAGGATTGCCGGCTTCGTGAAAGCACTGCGTCGTTTGGAACGAAAACGGGACACGCTGTTATCAGGACAACGGAACGCTGTCATGCGTAGGAAATTTCGATAACTGACCGTCAATTTAACTTTGCTAACGGAAATGCCTATAAAGCCAACAGCGAGCGTCATTGTTCACGTAATGGTAGAACAATTCTAGAAAAGTTGAATGAAAAGGAACATGCATGCGTTGCTGATCGTTTTTTGTTGACTTACTTTATCTGCTCGACCTGCAACACACAGTTTATAAGATGCAAACTGTAGAATAAACGCAAGACTGCTAAAGGCAAATGTAAAGGGGCCACATGAAATGGAACATCATGTCAAATAAAAAAGTAACGAAAAACGGTTGCGTATGTAAAATCACATACAGCGTGTAAAGGTGAAACTGTACTTTCAAAAAGACGCGCCCCGGGACGAATTTGAAACCGGTACACATACTTCGATGAGCGTTGTCTCAATGCACTAGGCCCCATTTTGTTCGTCATTGCTCACTACTAAGGTGGTCTTTTTCCTTTTTCGCCAACTTTTGTAGTACCAGCCTCCACCGTTTCCACATATCTGACCTTTGGGAATGTAGAATCCTCCTGGCAGTGTAGCAATGTAAGGTACTCCTGGCGAAGTACTATTATAATTAGTAATCAATGATAAAGTATTATTGTTATTAACAGTATTACGTAGCTAAATTTCAGAGAACACGATGCAAATTGAATCGTTGCGCCACTACAAAGCAAACACCCATTGATAACAGGCTGAAGACATCTTGGGAAAGATATAAATTACTCATAGATATTTAAGTTTCGAGTAGAACTGAGGGCTAACGAAATCGTTTACATCGACGGTGGTACGGCGTATTATATACTATCGAGTGAAATATGACGAAGAAGTTTGAGCAGTAAACAATTTTACACTATAGAACTTACCATTCTGTTTGCATTAGATACAGAACCTACCTAACTAGGAATATTGAAGAATTCAAACAAGATCGCACTTACGATCATCTTCAAAATATATCACACTGCCGAAACTTCTTGCTCTACACAAACTCGACACAATGGAACACTTGGTCTATCTTCAGTAGCATGTATGATATATTTACGGGAGTCCAAAATGCGTACCATTAAATGTTCAGATTCAGCTAAATTATCTCAGACTGTTCGTCTGCTAATCGCTATCTAGCTTCGTACTCGGTTATAAACATACGACCAGCTTCGTGGTAGGAGTCAACCAACCGTCTGTGCGATGGAACTATGCCTAGCGGTAATGCCAATCGGGAAACTTAAAGCATGGAAACTATTTCAGAGAGTTAGAAACCTCATGCTTCGCGTATCGATTTGCGCACGTTTCATACTAATCCGATAAATTCTTACAGATGATTAATGATTGTCTATGCAAAATAAATAGACCATGCAGACCACTACTACCACCGAAAATAATAACAAAATAGCAGTAACCTTCGAAAAAAAAAACACTTCAGCTATAAGAAAACATGGATGCATATTGAAAAACAATAACATATAGATTGCAGACACTTTGAATACAGCTTTCTCATAGTTTACCTTTAATCTTGATAATTTTTGCATATTTTAGACAGTTTAAATTGAAAAGAAGACTTTAGCATAACTTTAAAAAAAAAGATTTTCTGACGAGAAATATTTGGAACTGATGCATTAATGAAAACTCTTACCCAAACTCCGGCATCCAGCTTTTCCTCGAATCGCGCAACATCAAAACATTGACTATCTGGCAAGCTGATATCATCGTATTTTAATGCATGCGAGTGCAAACCTCGACTATACTTTATTTTTTGAAGTTGTCTGCGAAAAATGGTTCATTATGGATTTGATTTAAAAGGTAATGTTTTTTTCAGTCTTCTAATCCTCGTCACCTACGAAATCTCCCTTACTTCGGAGATCATCCAATACACCTTCAATATCTGCTCCATTTTCATATCGTTCGTTTAGACCTTAGAGTTTTCAAGAGTCGATAATAGAGTCATCTTCGGACTCAATGAGCCTCGTAAGTTCGTTTAGCGCAGCTCATTTCAATTTGGGCCCTCGACATGTTGACTACTTACCAAATATCTAGTAAAGACCAGAGCTTCTGCGTTTTAACTGTTCAGGATACGCCTTATTTCAAGCCATTTCCTGGATACTTCGCGCGCGAATCTTAAATGGCTTCAATGCGAGTATTCTGTTTTTTCCGCTAATAAAATAAATGCGCACTTATTGGCCTTTGTTACGCATGACTAGCCATTTTTGACTCGAAATGCAAACGTACATTTACGCATTTATGAAAAGGTACGTATAATTTCTTTTTTTTTTTTATATAATAAGCGTTAATTAGATCTGTGTACACTTTAAGATCACCTACTTGTTTCATGGCTACCCGAACAAACGCTTGTAATTATCTGAACTTGACTGCTGAACATCGTTACACGTTTTTCTAGCCTTCTATGAACACAGAATATGGAACGTTGGCTAGTTGTCGTATAGTAGTGCTGATTAACTAGGACTTGTATTGTATCTGTATTTCTACTCATTAAAAATTTTAATTTATGATCGTACCAACCACTTCTATAGTGAAGAAATTATAGTCTCACTAAAAAAAGTTGTGATATTTTTTAATATGCATATTCGAAACTTCGAACCCTAGGTTAGGAAACTTTTGACGAGGCTTGCTTGGACGTACCACGAAGCTCTGTTGTGACCTAGTATGTTGACGTCTGTATCTCAATATACAAATTGATAATAGCAATACGCTAGATGATTCAATATCAATCAAATATATTATCGACAAGCCCCTTAATTCAATGTTTGGCTTCTTCTCATTTAAATGCTCACTGCTTATAGCGCATAGAGAAAATACGTCTCAGCTATAGAGAAACGACGTAATAATGGCAAGAAGTTATTGTACTCACTTGTGACGCGTTCTTGACTTTGCTTTGTCGTCAATACAGATTCAGTAATTTCATACGAAGCTTCACAATGAGGAAAAATTTATGTCACTTACTGGATCAAGATGACGCTGTAGTCTTATATATATATATATATATATATAAGACTACAGCGTCATCTTGATCCAGTAAGTGACATAAATTTTTTTATATATATATATATATATATAATTAGTCTACGACAGATTGTCGATACACACATTCAGGAAACAAACAGATTGCAAACGCTGGAGTCGGAATCTCTTGACTTTTCCGTACGTTTTGATTGTTGGCGCGAAAGGCCAAACGCACCATTCGATAAGCTCTTGCCAGTCGAAACTAGATATCCTTTCTCTAGTACAACAATAAGAAAAATATTTTGGCCTAGATAAAAAAAAACAATGTTATTCTTGTAACGTATAATATTATACTCGTTAATCGAATTCTGTAATTCTTAAATGTACATAAACACATATTTTCCTTATATATTATGAGTTATTGCTATTATAGATCATTATGGTCACATACTAACGATCATTAAGATCGTTTTTGCGGAATTTCGAACCTCAGATTGTATTGTTGAAGTAACAAAATCAGCGTAGCATACAATTGACCAGCATAGAATAATCTGCCTCTGTTAGAATGAAAGATTGAACAAATACCCCTACTATTATGGTATTATAAGTATTGTCTAGTAAAATGATTAAAGCAGTAAAGAAGTACTGTGTAGTAAAATGACTTTACGGTATAATTTAATGGTTTGTAGATACAAACGAGACACACTTAAGACAGATAAGCTGTTTGCCAGACATGAAGAAAGAAAGTGGGTCTGCGTTTCGCTGTTTACACAAAGGACTTTTGATTGTTTCACCCTTCTAGAAACATACAAGAAAAGGTCCGCGTTTTGTCAGACGACCATTTATTTACTACTACTTTTCATTTCGCAGCATATCTCGACGGCAAGCTTGAGGAGGTTGTCTACTTTCAACTAAGTGTTATTAAACCTATAAAATAAGAGTGCAGTAGAATATAAAGGTGTCTATGGGCATCCTATTATTTTACATAGTTAAGAAGCAACCATCGGCTGTTTAATTTAGCTAGATAGGAATAATAATCTATTGTATTCTGCTTGAATAAGTGGTCCAAGTGATGGGAAAAAAGACCACCGATATAAGGAGCATCAATGATGATAATAATAATTAACGTTTTAGGAAGAATCATTGACGAGCCAAGTATTTTGTATTGTCCATCGAGTGAAGCAAAGTATAAAATGACCTTGGCGTTCAATGATGAACTTCGTAGACTCGAACAAAGTGGAAGAGCCTTCAACATAACCATAGCTATTTGGCTTAAGCAGTACTTCTATAACTATTCGCTATGTGTATAGCGATTAACTTACTTGCAAAAGTACGCCTATACTAGCCTGTCAGAAAGGCAAAAGTCTAGCCGATCACTATGAGATTTCCTCTGAAGACATATTAAATTCTTAAAAAAGTTGTTGCATAGTGAAGTCGTTTTGCCGCCTGAAAAAGCGGCGAGCTATCGATTATCACCCAATATACGCTGAATCAATTGGCTCTTTTCAGCCGGTGTTGGCATTAATGGGTTACCTTGAAACCGAGTTAGAGAGCCACAAAATTCGAACGCTCGTTAACGACCCATTTGAAACCCGGTAACCTCAACAGCAAGAAAAGCACATCCCAGTGATAAAGCGTCCTATAGAAACTGTGGGAACAGTTGAGAGAAATCGATGCGGCCCAATCACACTCTGACCTGGGGCTTACTTATATCGAAAGAGATTTTCCAGGCAAACATATTGCGTGCTAAAGACCATATTCGATAGAAACACTGTAATAATGCCAATGCAATACACATCTATGTTCTATACATATGCAGATATGGTGGCTTCAATAAATTTCGTCATTCTCGAGGTTTGGGTAGGCCCCACTCTAATACTACCTAAATACAAATGACATTGAAAAACTGAAAGCAAGATATTGTTCACTTTCGTTGATAACTATACAAACCGTTCGTATAATCAACTGTAGATAGAATAATTTCGAAGGGATCATGTACTACCTAGAAATTGCGTTGTAAAAACTACTCCCTGAGTGTACGTTACGTAGGACTGGCAAAATACAACTTGCTTATATCACAGTTTGCGTTGGTATGGAAGTGAAGATACAATGTTAAATGGAAGACAGTCTGTTTTTATCTACAAATGATCCAAAACGATGCTTTGATTTAATGACGTCCACAGGTTTATATGGGACATTTTAATTACATATTAGATAATTTCCCGGCAGCACTTGTTCATGAAGGAGCGTCGTTTTCGTCCGCCTACAATATATAGACAAATCGAGTTCCTCATTGAAGGTCCGCATAAATACAAAGGCATTTCGGACCAACAAAGTCTTCCTAACCTCACTTCCTCAAGTGTTGATAAATTCAACGTTCTCACGTACATTGCGCACGTGCGTGCCCTGCTTGACAGAGACGGGGACGAATTTCTCATAGAAATCATAACCGAAATCTTGCTGAGCGATCATATCGTCTACATTCACTTTTTATGTGTTTAATTTAATTTAATGCGGAAGTAGATTATCAGAAATATAAAACTATCACTGACGATAAGAGTATGTGTATTTATAGTCGTCAGCGATGGAGATCCAATTCTGCTACGATGCTAATGCTTGTTAGTTATTAAAAACAAAAGGAGATCGATACAAAGTACATTACCAAAGCCAATTAAAGGAGCTGATCATCTCTCAGTGTTTGTGCCTCACATTTTAATTTCATAGGTTCTCTTTCAAACCTTTAAAGTATAAACGGCATCTGCAGCTCGACGAAGTCTTCGGAAGTAACTAGCATTTACATAACTTCGTTACATGCACAAAAGTTAAGCTGCTGCAGATAAATCATATCAGACTAATGGTAAATTCATAATATGACAATTTGTACGCTTTTCGGTACCTCTAGGGTGGAGGACTGTTATGATGGGTTTTGCCGTATGCGTAGATTTCGGCAACGCATTTGATACTGCGAATTCAACAAAGATAGCCATTATTGGAAACAACATTTACAGGGGCTTCTGATGACACTTGTCGCTGACCGAGAGCAGACTCTAGTCGTAATTGTCATCTAACCTAGAAACACTTTATAATCTGTAAAACTTTTTCATAGTAACGTTTGAAGGAACACGCTACGTTGAGTAGGGTGGTACAATTTACCTACCACGTTCAGTCTATACAGGAAAAGATGCTAGCAATTTTTAAACATAATAAACTAGGTGCGTTGAGATGAGCAATGGAAATTATATGAGCATTACACAATACACTATTACTGTTATCACACTGCGGCCGTACGTACCCACACGGGGTTTGCCATTCCGTCTCATTGACTCGACGTTTCTTTGATCGCAGTGTGCGTTCACGAGGTTAGAATTTCTGAAAAGTAGATAAAATCTATCCTTCTTTGTTAGGGTTATGTTGGTGGCATATGGAAACGGGAGCGAAGGCTTTTCACGTCATCCGTTTGTCAATATTGTAACGTTTATGGATCTGTATGCAATCAGAACACAATAGCAAACGAAACAAGTCAATTGATGTCTCATTCGAGACGGGTTTTTGCATAGAGTTGATCGTGTGAAGCAGCGAACGAGCGATAAACATTGTTACACAACACTTTTACAGAACTAACTAGATTTTTATATACTACAATATTATAAAACAAAGAGCTTTAGTACCGCTTTCATTAAGACTGCTAGCAAATCATATAATTTTTCCCATTTTTTTTACGATCGAGCCAGCGCGTTATAAATCGATTTTGTCTTGTTTCTCATCAAATTTATACAATCAGGTTCGTATATCTTAGTAGTTGATTTTATTGACCCATACGTTGTCGTTGTACCTAGCCTGGGCCTGCACTCGTATGAGGTTTGTCGCTTTCTACACGTTTGACCAATTTCTAGACCAGATCATCGCTGAATTTCATTGACACAATGACATAACTAAATCATCATTCTAAACAAAGACGAATCGCACGCGCTCAATAGCAACTGAATCGGCAAAAAATAGAACTGGGTTCTTAGCTTAGGTTTCACTGCTTGCCGAAAGCAGTTTCGTCATGTGGACAAATCGTCGATGATTTTTGTCCTATTTGCTGCTAGGACAGGTTGACGTGATTCTCAACGTGCACGTTCTTTACTAGTCTTTCTGACCCGATTTCAGTCAATTGCATCCAGGCGAAGGAACAGCCTTCGAATCACGCAAATAACTGATCAATAAAGGTCAGCAGCGTAGTATTCATAGATGTGTCTTTCAAATAGGTTATACCATGGTTGTAGTGCGGCTCACTAGTTTTTTTTTTCTCATTTTTTCCACCCGTCGAAAGCCCTAACAATGGCTCGATCCCGATCTTATCACTGAAGGTGCATAGAACGACTTGGATACGGCACACAAATAAAGCTGTCATATTCATTCAACTTCTCTTAAAGAGGTCAGAAGGCTAGTTCAGAAAGATCATACTATCTTTTAAGATGGCGCCACCAACGCGTCCATCGGGAACAGTCGTTGCTCAATATACTATTGCCGAACAATAGCAAACATTAGCTGGCGTGTTCAGATATTATCTTCGTTCCTTAGAATAAAGAACTTATATCTACATTGTTATGTTCTACAGTAGATATACAAGGCAAGCCAGTATTGCTTGCAAGAATGGTTTAAAACTTCTGACTCAAAGCGGCTACGTAAGCCTTTACAAAGCAACATTTTCGATCACCCTTTATGCTGTCGACCGCCCATATAGCATTACGTTCTAGCTATATGTATAAACTTCGTCCATGGAGCAATTTGACTGTGACGCCAACGATAGAAATGCTATGTGTCTGCCATTAGCACGATGCTGAAAATGGCCAAACGGCGAAAAAGCAACAAACTTTATCATTAACTCCCCATTATCCTTATCATATATGTGGGTGTTTCATTTTATGCACGTTTTTCGATACAACTAGCGGCAGCGCCTCCCCATATAAACTACGATAGACAATCTTGCTGATATGAATATCTTTAACGATAGAATCACGCGACAGCTCAAACGAACTCAGTCATCATTTACTGTAACATTTAAATATTAACGTGTTAGTAAAGGAAAAAAGGAATAAAGGCTTTTTGCTTAGAACAACGTGACGCTGACGAGACGAACATTGCTATAACATGGAAAGCTATTTGTTGGACCTAAATAAGTGTTGAATCCAATAGCTTCGGTAATGTCCTACAGGAGCCAAAGTTCTGTTATTTCCGTATCTCGTTGCACGATCTTCATTACACCTGTTAACGCTTTGGAGACGAACATTCTGTGCTGGTAAGTGATTAGATTCTTCGTCTCTGAAAACTTCTGCAGTACCAATTCTAGTACAAATAGCTATATTACTGGAAAAACACTGCAATATTAAATAACAACGCTAATACACAGGTAGCTACGTTAAGAAGCGAAGCATGTGCATCTTCGTCTAGAAGTGCCTAATTTCTGTATCACTCAATCATTAGGCATATATTTAATTTTATTTTTTTTTACAAAGCTTATGTATTCATTCGCTGCTAGCATAGTATTTTTCCAAGGACAAAATAGACATGTTTGGCCCGTCCCTCTGCCTAGAAGGCAGGCGTCGGATGCGATGCCTAACGGCTTGAGTACCAAACATAAATTTGTTTACTAAACCGTTCTTTGTCTGCTTTTTCAAATAACAAAAAAGCAGTAGCTTAATTTATCTACATAGGAGAGTCGAAAATATTGAGCATATAATTATGCTAAATTTTTTAATACTTACGTAAAACTAAATCACGAAAAGTAACAAAAACAGAGAAAAAACTATCGAAAATTAACTCAGGAGCAACTCGCACAGTAGACTAAATAAGTTAGTTTATTGTTTTATTATAGACTTACGTTTATTTCAGGCAGTATTAACTTAATTTACAGGACTATCTAGACGGCTCCACTATGTGACATTCAAGCAGAATTCGAATGAGGTGTATATTTTTTCAGTTACACATAGACCATTGCTTTCCTCTGTATAGTCAGTACTATATCTATCTTGCGATAGTCTTAAGTGGCTCTCTTAGCGGCCCTTTTTGTAACCAGAATCATAGGCATGCGTTATGGCAACGGCTGACATCGTTTAGCGGCCCAATTGACTGATCATCATCATTATCGAAGAACTATCGGAAATCAAATTGGTTGTATTAAAAAACGACCTTACTCAACGAATTAGTAGTCGTATATCGACAAGAAATTATTGTAAAAACAAACAAACAGCGTCCTGGAGCAGTAGAAACTACATGTAGCAAATGGATTAAGCTAAAGCCAGTACTCTTGCACGATTTCGTCAATGGTGATGAGACAAATTACTAGTTCTTTTGAATCCATCCATCCATCCATCCATCTTAAGCCACATTCAATCTATAATTAGATCTCACGTTTCCATTAGTCAATTCAACAGGACACATTTAGGATCCAAAGAGGATAGTTCTGCCTGGCTCAAAAAACAATGAAACAATTAAGCGCCACGTCGATAAAATCGATATCAAGATCGTCTTAGAGATATCTTATCGTTCCACTGATTCAACCAGAGCTCCCGTAGTGTAATACACGCCAAAAGGGTATGTCATGCTACCATCATTTCGATACCAAAATTGTTCGGACGCCGTTCCTGTAGCTATCTGATGAAAATACGGCGACCGCTGTAACGGCAGAGTAGTTACCCGATAGAAGCCACAGTCGATACGAGGGGGACGAAAGAAAGGGCAAATCCCATCGACCCGCGCATGCTGTGTTACTGTTTACCGAATTTACGGAAAGGCGGACACGCAACGATACACTGACAGATATTCATGTTCGCGCTCACGTTTCAGCTTGAACCCCACACACGTACGGCGATCAAGCCAATACAGGCAACATTGCCATCAACCCTCAAGAAGAAACGCTAAAAGGTGGAGGCTTCTTACTCCAGACGATTCGAAAAAAGAAGCGATCACGCCACTGGCTATTGGGAAGGTACGAGTCTTCATAGCTATTTCCTTATTTAGACAGCGTCGAATCAATGCGTAGACAACACAGGCCGTACGGAAGGTTTTCGCTGAAGAAGTATTGTGGGCCTAGTCTAACGCCTGCTCAACACCAGCCAAATCGGGTAGGATGCACGAAAAGCGGTCGCTTGCCAATATTTGCTGCTAGGTAGAAATGAAGATCTTTCTTCTGCCTTCTTCTTCATCTGCCTGCCTGTGTTTGTCGTGTACCTCTGTTGTATTCGTGCAAGCCACTGTTTCCATTGCCACAGCTACCATCATTATCATTACGGCTACCGTTGCGTTGCAGCTGTCGCAATAATCGGTTTCAAGAGTGTCAAAGCGCCTGTGCAGTTGCACACCGACCGTCGGCGCCCAACGATCACTGCTTAAGACACATAGCGACAGTGTGCATTTCAGCGGTATTGTGCCTATCGGTGCCCCGTTCCGCGCAGCCTTCAAGCATAGACGATTGTCTGTCAATAAATCAGTCAATCAGCACGAACGACTATGTAGCTACATAGTTACATGGTTCGATTTGTCGTTACTGAAGTTGGTAGAAAGGATTGCTCGTTGCCATCGACAACGCCTGTGTGCATTTTTGTGCTTTAGTGAATAACCCAGAAATCCGAGCCCCGCTAAATGGATACCCAATAAACGTGGTAATGTAATGAGCTCAGTATTACGACCCGGGGGTACAACTGATACAGACAACAGTGAGTAAGTTTATAGTGCTGTGGGCTGCAGACTGTCATCAGCGTGAAACGCGCGATGTCAGATTGTCACACTCGGGTATGAGCTAACATGCGAGAAACTGTTCAAATAACATACTGATGTTTGCTTGCAAAGCTATTAAACCTGTTTATTAGGTACAATGCAACTAATCGAAATAGATATCATAGACCTGGATAATAAGGGCAATAGTGACGCAGGCCTCATATCGGGTTCTCAACATGGTCTTGTAGTGTATCGTGCAGTAAAAGTGGCTTCAGTTCCTCCCGGATAATAATTATGTCATAAATATTAGTTATGGTTTAACAGTATCAAAATACCTAACATTTTCTTTAGTTTTTCCATCAGTTTGTTTGCGTAAAGCCGAAAGTTCTCAATTATATCGTATTATCTAGGAGCCTTGCTTTCTCTGACAAGCCCTTTGCAGTTTCACCGCCAGCTACTTTACCGAACCAGACTATCCACTAGAAATTCATAAGGATAAAATAATTGTGGGACTCGCCACAGTCCTTGAGGTAAGCTGGACGGATGGAGATTTCCGTCATCCTCAGGTTGCCAGAAAGCGAGCTAAACGAGAGAACAAAACTGAATATATTCTCTTGAGTACTCAGCCTATTCTCTTCCTAAACCTAATCAGCATGGTATTTTTGTATGATCCTTCTTAATTAGAGTTGTTATCGCCTATTGCGGAGCAACCCGATAAAGTGTATTATTATTTTAAGACAGTCTGCATCTAGCACCCTACTCTTCCAAGAGTCAATTTTGATCCGCGAAAAAAAAACCCTGTTCGTTACTTTATTTATTCTTAAATAAATACAATAAATATCCTTAAATAAAAAGAGTGCAATAGTCTATTTTAATGTTGCAGCAGGCGAGCGCCATCACAGATACGATATCGTTGCCGCCGCAAAGGCAACCATCTCAGCCTAGGTAGATAACCTGCTAGGAGTTTCCGTGCCTGCCATACAAGGTGTTGTCGTACCCAAATAGAGATATAATTTTAAAAATAATGCTTAGCGACGCGCCCAAAAAATATCACCGCCGATCTATGACTATCTTCTTAGAGAAGATCCTATTGTTTGGGATACGGTGTACGATTTCTCAGTAGAACAGTGGATTGTTGCGCACTACAATGACGCATCAAATAATTTTAAAGATTCAAGTTTTTCGTTCTGGGCAGACAAAGGGCTGAGCACTTGTTGATCGTGTGCAAAACACACGAAACTTAGGATCATTTCAGCTGCTAGGGATAGAAAGGGAAACTTGAGCGATAGACTACCTCTAAAGGATATTTTTGACGCTTCTGAGAAAAAAAAACTATTCGTTTTACCTGTTTACCAGAGGAAACACGTGAGTGGCAAAAGCATACTACAGATCTTTAATTACTGATGATATAAAACGAGGCCTTACGTCATCGCCAGGCAGCCTATCTCTCGAATAGGCTAATTAAGCCAGAAGAGTAGACTTGGCTAGATGTCTTTGTTGGTTGGCAACGTATCGATAGTACGGTTACTATTTGTATGGGCGATTTGATGCCCTGTGCGAGTTAGTTTTAGAGAAAAGTGAATTTGTAAGCCTTAGCTATTTATTGTCTCTGATTAACGTCTGTTATTGCAGATATTCTTATGGCCTAACGGCTAATCGGTTCATGGGGTAAGCCTTAGCGCAAACAGCAACCGTCCACTCAACCTCTACTTAATGAATCGATCCGTTGCCGTATCAAGATAACCTTTTCAGTGTTCATTTAATTTTTCATATGTTATAATATATATATATATATATATATATATATATATATATATATATATATATATCGAGCACTTTATTTCATTGGCGACTCCGCAGGAGACGAGTAATGTGCCTGCCCGTTATATGCTGGAAGGTAAGTAAGAAAGAGCGTTGTGTAAAAGTGCTGACACTTGGCACGACAACTAGAAAGTACCGTAACAGAACGCTTTGTAGATACAAAGTAACTTCGGTCAAAGTGCGGTCCTTTCCAACTGCCTTGGTATTAAGTTTAGGCGACACCGCACTTCAATCAAGCTCGTTCAGGCCCATATTTTGTCGACTGCGCTGTGAAATACGGTTATTATTATTATCTTGGGTCATTTTTGAAGTTGGTATCTTCTCCAGTCCTGATTACTTTTCGAGTTGCTCGCAAAGCTTGCGTTAAAGATGCTAATCGGGTGCTAAATAACGTTACTACCCGCGCTGAGTTTAATGCGCAGTTCCGATGGAGAACAACACTTGCACCTCGCAGGATTTTACTTCAACCGATGCAACACGAATTGTAGAGATTTGTCCCGCACCGAAGGAACTGTCAAATACGATACTTCGCGGAAATATTTTCGTTCATCAAAACGCTGCCGATAGTACAATATAGTCTCATTTAGTATGTAATTTCGACCGGCACGATACTAACCAAAATGAGGAATCTTTTAGAGTAAATGGGTCACCTCTAGGTAACTTAATTGCTTGATATAAGCCTAAGGATGTTGAGGGATTCTTTAATTGACGCACAAACATACATCTATGTATCTTACTACTGAAGATTCACATCAATTTTATCTTATTTCCTTCCAGTGGTGTTCCATAGGTGGACGTGCCTATAACGAAACTGAATATACAACGAAGATAACAACGTTCTCCTATATATCTAAGAATCTTTTTACCGATTGAAGAAGAATGACAACTTTTAGCGAAAGCACTCGTGTTCGAGTTCCAGCGGACAATGCAAGCTTAAGAAAATGTAGCAGTTATCTATGTGGCGCTCAGAGGCATAAGTCCAGGTCATTTAACGACCCGCAGGTTACAGATATGTATATGTATATAAAATAACAATGTGATATGTTGCTGGAATGGGACATTAGTATGCAGCAATCCATCGTTATAAAACACATAGGCCCCTGAACGGACATCTTCCCTTGACATCGGTCCATTTACCATTTGTCTGTGGGTCCGTTCGTCAGAACACCTCATCGACTGACTGTCTAGGCATGTGTATTATGGCAGCTAGTTGCTGTTATGATTGTGCGATGCTTTTTTTTTTTAATGTCGCAGCTGCCGCATTGGCCGTCGCCTGGTCTTGTCCTTTACGTGGTAACCGTTGTAATTCTTCGACGGTAACACGGTATCATTAGTTCTATGACGGCACAGCGCAGTTCAATGGACATAGTCGCTGCGGGCTCTTCTGCCGCCGCCGCCTCGGGGTCCGGCGGTAATATTACAGAACGTACGGCGCGCGCGCTAGGGCCCCTACCAGCCTCACTGTTCGGGGTAACAGCTGTCCTTCAGTGAGAACCGAACCAGCCCGCGAATAGTAGTTTGCAGTTGCCGATGAACTACAATCTGGTTTTGGTTAGTCACCTAGCCACATCTGCTGCTGCTGCTGCTGCTACTGCAATTGTAGCAGACGCTGCACTGTTGTGTAGCGACGGCATAGCCTTGACGAAGTCATCCTATTTAGGGAAGAGAATGGCGGCGTGAATAAGTCTATGTGAAAAGGGGGGAGGTTGGGGAGGCTTCCGCTACGGGATAGCTTTCGTTTACTTTTAATCCGCATTTCGTGCCGGTGGCGGGACAAAAAGGCCACAGAAGCTGTTCAGAAGAGCTGGCGCGCGGAGCTGTTGATTTGGAGCGACGAATGTGGAGGCCCGTGCTACAGAATATATACTTGTCGAATACGGTTGTGCATATTTGATGGCTTGACGAGGGTGACTTCAAACGTCCTTCACTAGTGATTGGAGCTAAAAATCAAAAAAGCGTACAATAGGGAACAACGCAGTGATTAGAGTGCAACTAGCGGCAGAGAATACGATCCCAAAAAAATGCTGGTTGAAGTTCGCCTAACGGTCGATGCCCCTGTTTCAGAGAGCGCGGTGGATGCAGATCAACAACAAAGGACTGCACAACAACATGACGACACTGTTATACAGATTACTTACGTGGAAACTTTAGAGTGTGTGAAATCTTCTATAATCGAACAAATTGCCCAACAGCAAGTATCCAGTAGTGAGAATACGGATAAACTCAACATTGGTATCTGTGACGGCGATAATCTTCAGAAAAACACGAAGCTGGTCAAGCCCACAAAGCACTCAAAAGGCAAAATGTTAAAAAAGCTAAGGAATACCGCCAAGGTAAGGGACGTTTAGAAAGGATTTTTAAAACTAGTCAAACCTCACGCATACTAATTAACCCAGTTTTCGTAGCCTTTTCTGTGAGTACCCATCATCTTGTGAAACACGAACCATCTGGAGTGTGAAGCGTTCGTCACAACCTGGTTACTATGCTATCCCCTGTGAAACCTTTCTCTGAACCTCAACGGAGGCAGAACAATATAGGCATTGGATTGTTTCTATGGCGACCTAGCGAGAGCTTTGTTGTAAAGCCCACTCGGGCGACGGATGAACGTAATAGCTAGCAAGATACTACAATTATATTACGCAATATATTGCTCGAAGCGAATATGAGTGTGTAATAACATATGTAACCATATTACAGATAACCTTACGAAAGAAAGTATCGAAGTACGCGTACGGCTTGCTTTTTGATGGCAATAAGCACTGATAACAATAGGCACGTTCTACCAGCGTCTGCTGTCGGTAAATGTCGAATGATTCTGGCCAAAATGCTGACTGCTATTAAGTAAAATAGGCCACTCAAAAAAGGTAGAACTATGTCATTATTCCAGTTAATACCGGACTGTATTCTATAGATATGTAATTGTCCATATTCCGTCAATGCCGATTTCTCGGTGCAAGTGCTGATGAGCTGTTACGGCAATACTCCGATCAAGCACAACGCTTTGGTGTACCTGAATCGATCTGTCGTCACCATAATTTGCTTTATCTAAATAATATAATTACATGCTGAAGTAACTGAAGGCGGACGGCCTCTATTACTACATCAACATGGCACTTTACCACACGTGGGGCGTATACTCCTCGTTATGCGGTTGAAATCAGGTGGTTTTTTGTGGCAGTTCATCGCAAACATTTCTATTGAAGCTTATAAGCCTGTCTAATGCGAGCACACGGATTTACACGCTATTTGGTGCGAGGTAATTTCTAACGAATCTAGTTAATCAGTAAAATTCATTTTCTGGCAAACAGACAATCGTCATCTTCCATCTATACATCTCGCCTTCGGACTGCAGTCTATTTCTGGTGCTAGGTTCTATTTATATTCTAATCGTTACTTGCGTTACCCTAGATAATCGCGATAAAATAAATAACCGACAAAACAGTGACGACAACTTAATAGAAAATTCGTGCCCTAAAAAATACCGTTTTAGCTGTTCACACACTAAAAGCAGCACATTATTCAGCATAGTAGCGACTACCACTGCGTTCAATTTTGAGATTGACTTTGTTTTCCTCCATCGGCATATTTGCCTACAAGCCACAATATCGGTAACAATCATCTCTGAACGACAGCGCATGTATAAAATGCACGATGATTGCACGGCCTTCGCAACCTGAATCCGTATGTATGATTTTGTACTAATAACTTAGGCAACACCCACCGGTATCGTGGCCGACGCAGCGCTTTTTTAACTTGTCCACCCCCATACTAATCAACAGCTTATACACTATCAGAAAATGTTCAGAGCATTGTAAATTAATTCAGCTGGCAGTCTACAATCTATTGTAGAGTATACAGACAGTACGGTATGTCCACTATCCTTATCCAACATTATATATGTATATATATCAGATAGCCATCCGGTTCACGTACCGAACAAAAAGGCCGGTAATAACGATTTTTTGTGACTTTCATGAAGGAAGCATGCCAACGAATTTTCCAAAATGGCCGAGACGGTACGTTTGTCCGGATACGCATTACAGTTTGTGTGTATCTACGAGCCTCTTTCAGACGCTGTCATTCATTGTCTTTCGTCCTTTTCGTCACAGGCTTTTGCCCCCCTCTCACTTGTTGCATTGCCTCCCATCTAGTTTGCCGCAGTGGGTGCCGTTTATCATAAATAGGTTCGAGCAGCAGCAGTTTAATCTTTTAGATAAAAAAAAAACAGTTTCGACTAGATAATAACAATGGCCGAACGATAGATAGTCGCTTCTACTACCATTAGATGTGTAACCAGCATTGATTTGTCTGGCCATTCGATCGCTGGTAGTTAATGGTGCAACGATATCTCAAATATTGCGTCATTTTGTACGCTATTGCAGCCTGGAGAGTGTTACGGCTTTTGCACCACCCGATGGTTGAAGACGAGCATAATACCTACGACGTCGCCAGACGAATTAGAGCGCGCAAATATTGGAAAAATATATTATAGAAATCTACTGTAATAACATGTTAGGAGTTGCTCTAGGAAGTAGACTTCATGCGGCTATTTGCTGCGTAGATTAGTCACGTTTCTAACCCGGCCCTTTTCTGCTCATTTTGCTCAATCCCTTTCAAAAGCCTATGCCCAACCCGCGTGGGTTGCCATTTACGAATGTATGTTTTCTAGCTGATACCGGGAAGGTGTATTCGTAACCGGCAAGATGAAAAGCTTACACAAACTGTTATTGGTGTTTTCAAAAGATATTACTACACGCAAGTCAGAGGGGTTCAACTAATTGAATTTGTTGATATCCCATCTAGCCCAATATAAACTACAGCAACAGTTGTTCCGTTGCATTTATCCTACTAACTTAGGTCATTGGTTTGTTGATCCACTTTCTGTCCTATGCTGTTTGTTCTAACGCGTGGTTCCGCTCTGCCTGAAAGTTTGTCATGTTTCGCGACGCCGCTCGTTCGTTTCGTCTGTTGTTTGTATGACCCGACCCGACCCCTCCTCCCCTTTGTCTCTTTCCTTAATCTCTTTGAGTCTCGATAGTTCTAAGCCAATGCTTTTGACCATGGTCGTTTCGGAATAGTACACCTAATTGATAGGGTATAATCTTGATAAAAACAAAGTCTTATAGCGCCTTTTATAATACACTTTTATAATACAGTTCGAGCACCGTTTGTCATTCAACATGCGCTGAGTATACTTGTCAACGCAACAAAATTGCTGCACGTACATTTAATCATGGATGCTAATGGCTGCTGTGGTGCGCGGAGGCGCTGGTGGGGCGCGATTTCAGACGTGGAAAATGAGAACGAAGGCGGTGCCGGCGTAAGTTCCCGACCGATCAAGTTGGAGTTAAGCATTATAGAAAATAGAACCGTTTTTTTAGTGCGGAAGGTATTCGGTAAATCTGCGTAGAAGTACACTCCAGCGGCCCATGGAGTCAGGCCAATTTGACTGGTCGTGTTGGGAAACAAAAGAGAACAGAAAGACACAGAGTTGTAGTAGTGCACAACATGCATAGAATAAATAGGGTGACAAGCTACTGAATGTTGACAAATGTAAATAATATCAGAGATCTTTGTAAGCATAAATTTAATTATGCTTAGAATATATATATATATATATCATTATATATTGATTAACTTTGATCTGTCACTTCCCGTGAGTTAATTGAGATGTAGGTATCAATTGGGTGCGATTAAAAAAAAAGCTGAAAAGCTTCAAATCCTCGAATATAAAACAAGCAAGCTCTATTGTATTATATCAGTACACCTTAGATAACTCTCCTCTGATCAAACGGGATTCAATCCGCTTCCAGCTTCCAAACAATTAACTTCATTATTTCAAAGGCTATCTTATATAGATAGGTTGAATAAAACTTACGTATTACCAAATTTATTATCGCTCGATTTATTCAAGCCGACTAACAATTTTCACAGCACCATTAAAACAAGTAATCACTCAATAATTTCATCACGTGACGGCTTTCAGTTGAAACCAGCTTCTAAGTTATCATCAGTATGAGATGCGTTCTGAATCTGCGACCCTGTACATTTGTAAAATGCTTAAGGCAATCACAGTGAATCGAATCGGCCTTGTACCGATCCTTCAACAGTTTACAAATATCAAGCTAGTCAAGCCAATATCTAATAGATCTCTCGATTGATCGATCTGGCCTTCGATCAGTTCAATTCAGGTAGCCATGGGTGAATCGAAAATGCCACCCATAACCACTCTTAACGCGCGTGATTTAGAATGTAACTAGTAGGGAGCCAGACGCGTGCGGAAGTTAACTTCACCTAGTGGCAGTGATGTGACAAACCTCAAACGGTGAACTTGCTATAAAATATTACAGTTAACCGTGCACAAGTACGTGTTCAATATGGTTGTATAATGGTACGGAAGAATGGCTATGTGACTGCTTGCTAACGATACGACGTTTACTAATCGTTAGCTGACTATGTTTAATACATACAAACATAGACACCGATCGTCTAAACAGTATCGTCAGACGTAGAAAAGTAAAGTAATATGCCCTAGATCGCTCATACGAACGTCCTGAACCGGCGTAAAACTTTGAGGCTTAGCAACTTGGTAGTCACCTCGATATTACGTGTTCTAATCCTGTTTTTTTCAATTTTTGCGCAAAGTCAGACTACATATAAAGGTTTCCATTTCAATCCAAATGCCTCTTGTTTACTGACGACAGGCTCAAACAAATTAGGCAAAAAAAAAGCGGAGCGGGGAGCATTTTAAACTATTTAACGAAAAAGAAAGCCAGCTAAAAGGAGTTATTGTCGTCGCAGATACGTCGCTTATTTCTCGATTCCTCCACTTGATGCCCTTAAACTTTGGTTCAACCGAAAATTTGTAAAAAAATTCGGTAGTCTTTTTGCTGATATAACTTCTACTCGATTATGCGCACCGCTTTGGATTGATCTCCTTAACATACGTCGCCGATTTGGTGTGCTACTCTATTGGGCAAGGGAAATGTTACGAAAAGTTCGTGATAATCTATGGCTGATAGCGCTACTCTCTTACGCTGCTTCAGACAAAAGCAAAATTATGTTAAGGCAAATACGCAGGTACCTTTTTTTGACGGTAGTGTTACGAAGACACTGGAAGATTTCGAATCAATTTTCACTTGTGCTAAACTGGAGTTTTTTGAGTTTGCACCCCCACAAAATTGAGGTTGACATTTTACCACCCGTACCACTAACCTCCTTGAATATAAAACGCCAACCGCGAAATGGACTTCCGAAGTCCCCTGCCCCATCCACTGCGTATCGATGTTAAGTGTTTTATACTTAACAAATAAGGAATCAGAGGCCTCGAAACGCTTTGTTTGTATTGTCATTACTAACACAGTGTCCTGCCCGTTTTGTGCCTATTTTGATTGTTTAAAGACACTTACCTGTATTAACAGGCTTCTAAGAGACATGCAGTAAACGATGGCCCTTTTAATTTCAGTACCACACTTGTACGATTATAACTGTATTCTATGTTATGTTTTATGAATGCTTCGTATAATTTCCTTTTAAGAATAGTTGTGAACAGGTCTACATCTAACTTAGTATCAATATTTCAAGTCCTTGTCGCTAATCACTTTTGAGAAAACAATTAAGGCTGACACTATACGTTTCATAGAAAATTATGCCGTATATACTTGTGGATAACATACAGGCGACTCGGTCAAAACGAAGTATATAACTACAGTTAGCGAGGCAAAAGACCTAAAGAAACTAAATAATATCAAAATATTTGTATGATTCTCTCTGTAAGCAAATGTATTGTCTTTCATGCAGGAAGTCTATTTTCTTCCTATATCCATAGTAGTATTCTATTGCGTGTTACAAATAGCCCATACTAGACTTAGCTTTGATTACCAATCCTCAATAAATTTTTTTCTACCTATTACAGACATCGAAATCATGCGCCTTTATTTACGTTCGATGTACTACTCCTTTCCTCTAGAATCAACGAACTCAACAACTGTTATTTCAATGTTTACAAAAATGGCATTATTTCGAAAGGCGCTGGTTGTTACAGAGTTTCATATCGAATTCTTTATAAATTGAAGTTTCTTCCTAGCAGCTAGAAATTAAAACATTTTTTTTTAAATTTACAATCTAGGAAAATAAATTCGTCGAATATAAACGTCGATACCAAAATCATACGTTGTGTTGTTATAACGGAAGCGAATCAATGGAGAACAACCTAGAGTTACCAAGTTATTACGATTGCGAGAATATTCGGAACGATGTTTTCTATATATATACATATATATGTGACCAAACGCGTCTGTATCGCAAAACATATTGACCAGATGGATACGCGGGCTGCGTTTTAAGATGCAGCAAGAAAGCAAAGTCACCGTATTTGTTTACGGCTCGAAATAAACTTCCGATGGATCTTGTCACGTTTTGTTCAAGTTTTGACAATTTTTCGTTATGTATGTCTTAATTTTTGCTTTTAGACGTTGTCAAGTGCTTTGCGTTTCAAGGCACGCGCAGACGTTGTAGGACTTACCGTACGAAAAATCCGATCAAAGACCATGTGCCCGTCTACAAGGACACTATAGGCAACCCAATGGACGCGCAGACATAAACAGGCTTCTGACAGAACACGAGTGTTTAGATTCTAATTAACCGCCGCTTCGAACCGCAGGTCGGTTGAGCCGCATCGCCAAAGTGGCCAGCCACTGTGTCTAGGCGTCAACGCTAATTTCATGTCGTCTGCTAGTTTTGTCAACGTACATTGAGAACAGGGTGTCTATACAGTATCCCCTCACCTTTGGAGTTTTTTGTAGGGTTAGCGCATGGGACAGGACACAGCTGGTCAATCCATCTCTTGAATATCGCACAGATGTTGTGATGTTTTGTTTGTGACTCGACGAAAGCGCACTCCATCGTCTAAAGGTTCTCATTTTTAAAGTAACGGCACGTCTTTTTTTACTTCGCACGCTTGAATATCACCATATCAAATGGGCTTTAATAATAATAAAGCTTTAATAATAAAAGCTGCTGCTACTAATAACTGAAAGCGCACAAATCGACCTATCGATCTTTGGCTCTACTGATACACTCAACTCGTTTGGTTAGAGAATAGAGCTAGGAATAGAATAAATGGGTTGAATTCGCTATCAGGCACACATCAACGATAAGGTAGGCAGTTTGCAGGTAGCTTGGAAAGTAACAGCTACAGTAAATAGAAAAAATGATCTGTTATCGACCCAGCGCTTCAACAACGGCAGTTTGTTTAGCTACATGAGCGTCTGTAATCGATTCACGCTACTCCCATTGGAAGCGTTCATTAATTCACCCGTTGGACTATATGACCATTTCATCGATTACCACTTTAACTAAAACATTTTATCTGCTCGCAGAACTGTGAACGTGAGCACATCTCGCAGATGCGGACTCTTCAATAGTTGGATGGCTCGTAACCATGGATATCCACCCCACCGCATTAGACAACACTGGCAAATACCAATATTATTCGTACGATCAAAATGATCTATGCATCATCGCGCCATGTTATATAATATCTCCCTCACAAGCAGCCATGACCTTGAGGTGGCGTAATAGTAAAACTGATGATATCAGTCTCTCACCTGTATCATCGCCATGTTTTGACTGTGGTTGCCATTAGACGGAGATGAAAAAGGCCAGATTCTGGTTCTGGCGTGAAACAATAAGACTTCGTTGGCTGCCCTTGCCCGTGTGGCGTTGTGTGTGTTTATGTGTTTATATTACATACCGCATTATCGTACAGTCGGTACAACCGGCAGTGACTCCCTTTGTGGGGCCACTAGCAGTTCATGCTGGAGATAACGTTTCGCGTAAGATCTGCTGGGCACTATCGCTGCAAAAAGAAACCCTGTCAGGTGGAAGCAAAGTCTCATAGCCTCATTCTTGTCTTGCCGTCATTCAACCAATACGTAAACAGACTATTATGGACCCATTAGATATGTCGACATTCAATACAAGCAAGAGGCTGAGTTAGGATAAATGGCGTTTGGTAAACCATGCGCGAAGAGTTTGTATGCGGTTCGTCCGTGAGAACTGCCGCGCTAGCCGCTGGCGATGCCTTTTAAATAACAACACAAAAGTTAAACAATGTTCGCGCATTCCAAGTTACATAACTTCATTCAGAATAGATTCGTGACAATCTCGCGACTTTGCTGATACCGATGAAGTTCGTCAGTTAAAACGCGTATAATGACAGGACAGCGAATAAGCAAGCCCGCACCGCTGATGGGAACTGGATTGAGCTATTCGGACAAAAAAGTTTTTATCTCATTGGACCTAATAGGCATAAGGTTACTAAGTATGTACGATCGGTAGACGTAATTTATTTCTTATGTTAGACACAATGTTCAAAGGGCGTCTACACACATATATCTATAGGATGGAGCAAGACTCACCCGACAGATTTTACGTCTGTTAGAGTCGTGACACCGTCATGGTAATTAATTGACAAAATTTTAGTTTATCGTACGCGTCCCCTTGTCGTTGCTATAATACTTGGAAAGGCAGTGGCAAAAAAAAAGAAAACGTTACGCAAACTTGTAAATTAAAAAAAAGGCCTATTTATTGTCAGTGGATATCCACACCTAATTCACACCAGATGGACAGTTTCTGACGTACGAACTGTATGGCAGAAGATGAGCTATGAAACGATCAACTGAAATAAGTTTTTAACTATATTTATATGATCGAGAGTCCGCAGTCATGAGAGGCCTGTTGGTTCTTGTTATTGTTTGCCACGGTCCAGCGTCTGTAAATGGGCATGAATAGCAGCAGTTTTTGGATTCGTTAGCCAAAATGTTAAAAAATGTATTTCGTCTACGAGGTTCTTCGATAGAAACAAGCATTACTAATAGAAAAAACATGAAACTAATCCTTGATATTATCGAAGGTTGTGTGCTTCTGGCTGAGTGTTGGTTAGACGTGTTCCATCGATCAGCTGCTTCTATAGTTATTATTATTGAATCCTGTCTATTTCACTTGCATTAAGATGCATGAAAACTTGCCAGTTCCGTTATTAATTCTGAGACATCGAAACATACAGCCACAAAGACGGCAACATTAGCGGCGAAGATCCGACTTGAAAAGTTATCGTCACATTTAGCATCTGTCCAGTCCCCAGGCGCAAACATAGACGAATCATCTAGTATTCCTCAACTGACTACCTACTTCTCTGCGTGCACAATTACGCGAGGAACGAACTTCAGAGATAACGATGTTGTCCAAGCAGATGTTGACTGCCGCAGTGGTTCGGACTTCGGTCGTCAAGTCTCGCTCGAATATAGCTTACCAGCACATTTTAGAAATTTTCTGCCTGCATTTCAAGCAGGACAACTCGGTTCGATAGAATCATATACATCAAGCTAACAATCTTTCGAGCAAAAAAGAAAACAGCAATTTTTTTCATAAAAATTGTAGAAATACAAAATATAATAAAATGGCTATCAATTTGTATCAACGTTGCGTTTCGGTGTAGTGCCAAACTATTTCTAGGTGACTTATTAAGAAGTGCGTTATTCTCCTGTATATTTAGAATTGTAGAGTGGTCTTACAGCATATCAACATCACATTTTTCATGGCGGGCATCACTCAGCACTTAACTAATTAAGTATATGCGAACGTGTAAGTCATTTTAGTTGCCGTCTGAGCGTATGTTACACATAAAGATAATATACTGGGCTTCTAACCCTACTACGATGAATCAAAATTCGTTGTGCGTCTCGTCATGCCCAGTCTGCTCCTCTTGCTTACTTATTAACCAAACTAATTATTATACGTCAAGATGCCTGAGCAAAATTAGGAGGCACGCCTTTGCTCTTTGACGGACCGTTAATAGAGGTCTGATTACATAAACAGCGTTATTTAAGACCAGCTCTTACCTTCCAACTAACGTAATTAAATTCAGTTATGAAATTACGCGAATTCCCGCACCTTACTAGTCTCACTAGTACATAGTGACGTTGATCCGAACCTTGTCTAATATAAAGAACGAGCGATGTAATCTACAGCTGCTTGACGCTTACGCATTCTTCATCGTTGTCTTACTCTGTAGGCGAACATGTACCGCCAAGTTATCGTCTACCTGTGTATGGCTCCAGCGCTCTGTTCGCTGTTGATGGTCCCTGTGGTGCAGTACGTTCTTCTCTATACGTCAGCGATTACTGGACTATGCGTGTTATGGCTTTCCATTGGTTGGTTCATTGCATACTACAGAATGCCCTCAGTTAAGCTCAGTAGCAAAGGAAAGGCGGTCCTCATCACAGGTACGTCATATCATTATTACTGTTATTATAATTTAGTAATAGCTAATACAAGCTCGAACTGTGAACGCAATGCACTGGAAGTAACCGCGGTGTTCCTCGCCTCGGTTCACATTCTATCAACTTCAGTAATATTTTATTGCAGAACATTTGCGCTGTATGAAACATTTATCGATACCTATTTATAACCAGACATATTTCTACCTAATTAATTTGGCAACAACGCATACCAGTGCGTCTAGCAATATTGTTGTTTTTGTCGACATAGGGTAAAGGGTCAGGGGGAGTAAGGTCGCTGTTATATCCGATCGCGGGTACTGCTGTTCAACACTGTAGTTTACAGCTGTAATTTCACAGATCCATCGCGCAACGTTCAGGTCGTAACTTACTCGGGTGTTTTTTCCTTTTGCAATCATTTAAAGATGATATTTGCGGAAGACAAACCGATGTTGGCGAAAAGTTCGCGCTGTCGTTCCTTAATAGTGGGTGGTATGTGATTGCAGCGAAAGGGCAGAGACGGTAGGAAGCCAATATGAATCCGAAACATCTTGTTATAGCTAGCAATCGCAGGAGGTCACCGCTTTTCTCCATAGTGGCTGAAAAGATTTTGTTCAGACATTCATCGCGTTTTCGACGTGAACGATGACGATTCGGCGATATTTTTCTTTTTTTCGAAATTTTCGAAATTATCTGAGAAGCATAGGTGTTCTGCTAATTTTCAAATAAGCAGTCCCGTTTCCTGTGTACCGATGTACATCGAGGAACTAAAGCTACATTTATTATAGGCTTATGGAAAATATCTAAAACCGCATGAAAGTAATCGACTCTGAACAGCTGTCTGTCCTGTTACTATTTCTGTATTATCCTTGGCCATTGATTCGCTGTCCTTTGTTGCAGTTAGCACTTGATAAGCTAGAACGCAAAAAGCCAAAATGTTGTCATAATCGACATTGGCCTATGATTGTCAGCTGTGCATCATCAGGCAGCTATGCATTGAGGACATTGCACTAATGTAGAGAACTTTCAATTGAGCGATGAGCCGTCTGCATTTTGATGCGTGTCACTTCCTTTAAGATCTTTGAAATACTGCTGAAATTTTCGGCGAAGAAGTACCGTGCAGATTTTCTCCCAGTTGATAACCAGATAGTTAAATTAGATAATACGCTGGCAACACTTATGTTCTATATGATATATAGCCGGCGGAATATCCATTTACGCTATCGGCTTCAATTTATGCTGTATGTCGTAGTATATAGTAGTCCATCAACAAACAAAGGAAAAAGTTCGAACGTCAATTGCCGAACACTATTCAACTAGCTGTTGTATTATCGTAACACACTACTAAACACATACTTTACCCGAAACTTAACTGGTTCATTCATTGTGATGGTGGAAGGGCGACGTTTGCGGAAACCAAGTACGGGTACACACATATATGCATAGCAAAGTATTTTGTTTGTATACAGATGGGAAGATGCAAAATGTATGACATAGGGATTGTTCTATACAGTTTAATTAGCAGTATAGCTAACACAAAGTGATAACGTTTCTGCTGAAGATGGTGACGGCAATGGCGGCTTGATGGCATTGGAATAACAGTGCAAACTGAAATGTGATAGCGGGACAAGAAAAATGAGACAAACCCAGTGTGTACAAAGGATAAGTGTTCGGATCGTCCTGCCAATGAGATGGAAGGGGACGGATCTGCTAGGCAAAAACGAGACAATTTATCCTGATCGCGTGATGGATCAACGAAGAATAGCCACAAAAGTGGAGCATCGGCCGCGTCCACAACCAACTTTGCGAATTCTGACTCACCACCGTCCTGGAAGGAGGAGTTGAAATTGTTCGCCCGCCGATGGATTTTCCCATTACCGATAGCCAGTGTCTTCGAGATAAAACTAGCCCCGAATTCGATGCTTTCGTTCTCTATCCAGCATAATTAAGTTGTGAAATGAATAAACGCAGTGGTGTAAGATACACATAAAGAAAATATTTTTGTTTTTCAAAACGAAGCGCCAAAGTGAAGGAAACGGGACTGTCTGGTTGAATATAGAAAGAAAAAATCTTCTGCTAAGACAGTGGATTATTCGCATAGGGTTTTTGTTTTGGATCGGTGACGGAGAGCCTTTGGTTTAATTGTCTCATGTTCATGCGCATGCAGATTTATTTTCCTACGTCGGTTTAGCAAAAGCTCTGACTAATAAAAGTAGGTTACGTAAAGATGTCCAGCTAGATAAATTCACGGTAAAATTCGAACCCCAAAAGAAATGTTCGTTCTCTTCGGATCTTTCTAGTCAAGCCGCTTAGTCAATCTACTCAAAAGTATGCCTTACTAGAGACAAGGCAAATGGAAAGACAGATGCATAGACAGCATTGGAAAATCGAGTGACGTGAACGAACGTAGGCCTGAGAATGAATGCGACGAGGGTTTTTGAATCGGAAGAGTCTTAAAATCTGGATATGGACGTCCTGCCTTTCACTGAAAGGCTGATCCGCAGAATCAGAAAGCGATGGGACAAACTATTTACAGCGTCGGTAAATGGGTTCGGGATCAGTTGGCGCATTTTGAGAATCCAGTCGCAGTTCACAAAGGACGGAAAATAATATCTGTACAGCAATAAGTTATAATCGCGAAATTTCTGAGATCCCTAAGAAAATAGAAAGGTCGACTACAGAATGATCATGCCTTTGAGCGGAATAATTTCTGTATTGGGATGGGCTTCTAAACATTTGCTCACAAAAAAACTCAGATTGTGCGGGTTTCAAGCTGATACTACCCACAGAGTTAACATTTAATCGAATTTTTCATGTTAATTGAAATTTAAAAAAAGTTAGTGTAAAGCATTTATATAAGAACAATATATACATTTTTAAAAGCACACATTAAAGTTAACTTTCGAGATACGACATAAGCGATATCTCGAAACAGCCCGAACGATAGGAAAATCAGTAACTGATTGATTCGCTCAGGGTCGGGAAAAAGAAGTCGAGAATAAACGATAGCTTTAATTTGGGCGCTTTATAAGCCTTTCATACGTAATGGCTTTTCCGTTTGTCGTCTGGAAAATAGCGCCAGAACTAGAAGCAAAACCTATAAGAATTAGTCAATACGATCAAGCATTTGAGAAAATCAGAGTAGTTCCGACAAACGCTGCTTCAAGGACAAATGAAGCAGGTCTGAGCAGTGGCCTTTCAGCTTGGTATTTCTTTGTTCACTTTTTAGGATGCTAATGGTAATAAAATCAGTATCAATGCCGAGCATAAAGTGATCCAATAACAACAGTCGTTATGAATTTCGCTTTCGGAAGGACACAGCCGTAATCTTACAGCCATTGATCCGATCGGATCAAAAAGCGCAGCAGTTAAGCTGTCTGAACGTCTGTCAAGAACGATTGGAAACAACCTCTGCTTATGTCATCAAAAGAACAATTATAAAGAAATATATAGCAAACACAAACATCTCTGTTCAACAAAACGTACCACGCAATATCTACTGCACGTGCCGAAAGTCTCAACACAGAGTTGTCATTATTTAGTAAATAAATTTCTTAATATTAGACCGCCAGATACCAGCTGTATGTCTACTTTTACGGCGTTCTGTATCGCATGACGTATGCCAGAAATTCTGCCCCTATCAGTAGCAGTATTAGAATTTTCGTTCCGACTGCGCACGTTTTATAACAAAAAAACTATGATTTACAAATTACCGGCTCAGTTAATCACTGTTAATTTGATGAAGTTAAACCACAAAAATAGGTCACGTAAGATCCTTAAAGTATCATTCTAGCTTGCGAGAATTACCTCGAATTTAAAAATGTTAAGATGAATGGTTATTTTATGGTTATGGAAACTTACAAGTTTACCGAAAAAAGCGTTTAGTTATAAGTTTTTGCTTTTCTGCGTTTACGAAAATGTATCTGATTCTCATTGCAGGTCGCAATGGAATAATGCCCAAAGGTACACCGATGGTAGCATTGTTGTGTTGGGGTAACATAATAACGTGTAGTAAAGTTATTCGGTATATAGTTATTTCTTCTATTTAATTAGATACTGAGTCACATCTAGGCACGAACGTCAAATCTTAATACGACGCCGGACAGGACCGTATGTATAGTGATTGAAAACGTTATTACGTTATTCGGGTGCAAAGACGGTTGAACGCATTAAATTTTCTGGCTAATCAGTGTTTCATCTGTATATTTAGTTTCTAATTAATCTTTGTAGTTAACTATAACGTTTTTGAACGTAGTTGTTCTGTGTGAACCAATGTCCGATCATTGCAAACTTAAGAAACTGTCGATGGTCAAAAATAGCCAGGTTCTGTATCTCACATTGCCTATAATCCACTACATTGTTATCTTACAGTATTACGGCTCGTACTCGTTGCAGCTGTATGGAACAGCAAAAGCTCTCAGACAGCTGTACTTGAGACGGGCAAATTTCTTTGAAACAGATTTGTGCCAGCGCTTCCCTTTCATAGCACGTCTAGACAACCACAACCTTATTTCATAAGTCTCACATAGCAGTAAGAAGCTCCATCTTCATTAAATAAAAAAAGTAGAAACCCTATGGCAAACGCGCCGCACTATCTTCTGGACCAAAAGCTCCCACTTTGTCCTCTTTTAAAAATACGAAAAAAAAGTCTTAAACATAGAGACACAATTTTTGTAACTTCCTTTTCTACGAAATAGTACAAGTTCTTCCAGGCGTGACCTGTGTCTGTTCGAGAAATAGAAACGCATCTTCTGATAGTACATTCTATAATAAAATATAATATCAAAATAGCTTCACTGTCCATTAAATGATGCATCTTCTGGTTAAGTTATATTCCCCATTCTGTTATATTATCCAACCATTAGCATCCAGTCGACAGTTACAAACTGCGTAAGACCCAATTATTATCTGGAACTAAATGACCATGTGACATGTGCCTCATGGTGCCGTCACCTAGCTTTTACCATCTAACCTACGCTGGTTTTGCTCGGAACAACCTGTAAGACTGATCTAGCTTGACGTTGAACGTAGCATCAGGGTGTTGAAGGTTTTTACAATCTCTCACATGTATGTTTCAGCGTTTTCTTTATTACTTCATTTTTATACGACGTCTCCTCATAGCGAAGAGATATCCATCTAGTCCTTTATGCAAGCTCGATGATCGCTTCATCAAGGATATTACTAATGAACAAACTCGTCCAAAGAAATAGACTGAACTAGGTTGAGCACGAGCTCAAACCATTTGTAGGTCGCATTGTCGTTCAACCTAATACCATTTATTGCTCCAACAGATCAGAAAACTCGATAAAATTCAACATGAAATTGAAAATAACAGACAACAAGACCGTGAGAATTTACAGCTCTATCCGGGAAATTTGTTGTTCTGCGACCGCTAGTACTTTGTTAGAAGCTTCTTCATTGTACAAGTAATGATCCATGTCATGCTATATATATTCAGTTCATGGTGTAATCATCTATGAAGCCACTGAAGAAGAACAGCATGGTAGATTTAAACTGTACGGCATTCGTTTTCCTCTTCTTAGTCGTAGTCTTATTTTTTCGTAAACGTATTTTAAAACGCACAGTTTTTTTCAATGGCGTTTTGTCGAGGTATCTCGTGCTCGTAATTATACATAAAATATGGTCACGCCCAAGTTTATCAAAACGTGCTTCCAATAAAAATATTTCTCTAAGATATGATACTTTGCGATTACTCTCTGGCTTCACTTTTCACGGTAAACATTTACTCTGTATTTTATTTCTCTCTCTCTATCTCTATCTCTCTCTCTCTCTCTCTCTCTCACTCACGAATTACAATGTGTCTTTTGTACGTACGTATTATAAACGATAACTTTTCGAACAATTTGGCCATCCCTTATCCCCCTTAAAAATGTACATGTTTTAAGGGTATTTGGTTTATATGGAATATATACGACAATTTGTTTATGCATTCGGTCCAGTAATTTTATTGCACGCTAACGTCAGTAGTATAACGCTTCTGGAAAACGTGAAGTTTGCATTATACGTGGACTCGAATGGGGTAGCGCAACAAAATCATTTAGACGACAAAAGTAGTTAAGAACTTAAATTCTTTTGATACGAATTTTTCCTTCCATGTTGTCGTTGTTATCATTTCCAATACGAATGGAAACCAATTCGGTCAACTCAATGTTTCTGCTTGGCCCCGAACGATGGAAACACTTGTAGTTAGTTTTTTAAGTTTAGACACCAGTTGATTGAGTGGTGTTCTGGGTATTAATACCAGATAGCTTCCTCCCTCGATATATTTTTTCACCTAAATACTTCCCTAAAGGAAAAGTTTTGCCTATAAAAACCAGTTACTTACTGTCTGACAAACACGGACGCGGTCAGTCAGGTTGTCGGGTTTATCTTTCAGTTTGCTTTTTAGTCTAATCTGACGTAGACATCTGGCTGGACTCAACACCAGGTGCTGCAGGTTTCTGGATCAGTCACGATGCCACCAGTCATCCTAAATAAACCTTAGCCCATATGTCCACTCTGATCGGAAATATTGCCTTCAAAGACAATCACTGTCGAGTCGTGCCACCTACTATCGGTTACGTCCAACGAAAGCATTAGCGTTTGTATAGGGCAAAACCTGTAAAAGCTAGCTGTAACCAAACGTCAGTTAATACTAGACAGGTCTTGTTTAGATCGACTGCCTAAGAAGTTCTTTTTTTTAGGCTGTGATTCGGGTTTCGGTTACAAGCTGGCCCTGAAGTTGGATTGCGAGGGTTATCAAGTATTCGCAGGCTGCCTGTTTCCTGATGGCGAGGGGGCTCGCCAGTTACGGAATTCTGCATCAAATCGACTACATATAATCGGCTTAGATGTTACTAAGGTGGGTTGCAAGCCCATTATTATTGCTATCATACCTTTAGAATAAGACAATTGTAGTATATGAAAGTGCATCGTTGGATCGTATTTGAGTCATGTGTAGGGAGGAACCGCCCATAATATGTTATTTTCTGCTGCGGCCATCGACCACCGGATTCGTCATTACTCCAACAAAACTCAAATTATACTAACTATACAGGTAATTAGCACCTGCTTTAATAACTAACAAAGCTCGTTAGTACAATACGCTGGTTCAATAATAATACAGAGACTTGACCGTGTATAATATAATTTAAGGACGAGGATTTCACATCGGCACGAAGTTTCGTCCAGCAACACCTAAATGGAAATGGTAAGATTAACCTTATCCTTTGTTAAAGTATTATGTTGCCTAAATAGTGTACATATTATAAGACATGATTCTTGCGTGAGAACGTCCATGTCGGATACCTGTGTTATTTTACAGTCTTTCCCATAACGAATGCAACCTACATGTTGAGGGCCATATAATTAATAGATATTGACTTATTATATTCTTCCGCCTTGGAAAAAGGATCCAGGAAAAAGGCTGAACCAATCAAAGTGAAACCCGAAGTCGAAGTAAAATTTTGTACTCGAACGAAAATGGCCTCGTAAAGCAAGCAAAGGCCTTATAACACTTGAATTTCAGTGAGCAAAAATCTAGAAAAAAAACTACAAACCATTCATCAATTATAGGATTCCGAGAGATCTCCCGAAAGTTAACAAACTTGGGAAATTGCTTTGTTGACCCCTAGCAACGAGTTACACGATAAAAGGTAACAAGTCAATGCAATTGTGGTGACAATCGTTTTCTAACCTTACAAATTACGCCGCCTGTTTTCAAACATACTGTTCCCACTGACTTCTCTTGGAGCCCACCGAACCTTGGCTCTTTCGATGATCAGTTCGTCCATCAAATAAAATTCAAGTCATTTCAAGTTTCAACCTGTCACTTCGAAGTTCTTTCTATAGTAATAGAAAGAACATTACGAATATTCATCCCAGAACCACTTCGACAAATCAACCTTCAATACCAAAAGATTTTCCAAGGACACACGTCCTGACGACATATCGATCCATTGCATCTTCTTAATACGGTGCTATAAAGCAATGCTATTTTTGAGACACATTAGAATCCAGTGTATTATCCATTCGTGTATTATAATAACCGATTAACTAGCATCAAATTATAGTTTCCCCTTAATACGACTGGATGGCACAATCGTATCGAAATAATATGTTAGCTCATAACGGTAAAGTATACAGTTCTTGATTATGACCATCTGTGTTATGTGTACTCATTGGTAATTTTGTCAATCAATGAAATGATCCGTTCCTGCTATCCAATTCCGTCCCGCGCTCCACTCTAAGTGCTCTGGGCGGTCGTAGCAAATGCCGGGATCTTTGAGTTTAAGGAGTTTGAATGGTTCACTTCCGATGAAATTTCTCGGACTCTTGACGTCAACGTATTGGGGGTTTGCCGGACAGCTCTTACATTTTTGCCGCTGCTACGCGACGCTAGAGGACGCCTCGTGATCGTCTCCAGCTACGCCGGTAGGTCATCTTTTGACCTAAATATAATACTAGGAATTTTATCGATAATTATCATACTACTAGGTTGGTTCTATCTCATAGCCCGAATCAGTATGGGTAGTTCCAAGGGTTCCGCTAACCAGAAGGTTCCGCTCCACGTCAAGTGTCACTTTTTCGTTCTAAATGAATACAGCATGGAAGTGACTCCTAGCATCCGGCCAAATTGTTTGCTCGCCCATAAAGTATAATAAAAATATATGACAAATGCCATTTTCTGAAGTAGCTCTTCATCTTCACAATGTTTCTTCTGGGCTGTATTCGATAGGTCGATTGACTCCTAGTTGGCATTCAGTGTATTCGATGTCGAAACACGCACTTATTGCTCTCGCTGATGGCCTGCGGAAGGAGCTGTACAAATTTGATGTCGGTGTTGTGACTATTGAACCTTTCTACTTTCGGTAAGCCTTTCGCTACGTGTTGAAAAATCTACCTCAAGGCCTTTAGTAGAATAGACTCCTACTTACCATTAGACCTAATTATAACCTCTGCAGCCTTTTCAGTCGTAAATGTTGATCTATTAGATATTCCTAACGCCAAACTGTTCTATTTTACGACGTCCCTATAGGACTGCAATTCTTCCACTGTCAGATGTTATCTGTGAACGTTTCCAACGACAACAAGGTTCTGAAATGAAGGCGCTTTATTCAGACGAATACGTCCGGACGGAAGCGTATTCACAGATTGCCTTCATGGACCTGCGTGCGAGAGATAACGCGTATGAAGTAGTGGATACAATGGTATGTACTGGATCACAAACGACTCGAGGCGTATAGAAAGCTAGAATAAAAATGAATATTCATCTTTTCTATGTGACAAGGGAACTACTGAGGTTGTGTGTGACCGTACAACTAAGTTTCATTTACAGGACTTAATCATTATAATGCAAGGGTATATAGCTTCTTAAGACCTCAAAAAAGAGCCACATCGTATAAACACGTGTTAGAGTTGATCTCCAGATGTACTGGTCGTTATTACAAGGGGCTGCTAAGAACACAGTGCGTCTAGAGTAGTTCTAGTGAGTTGTCGATATATAGTACAGTTACTAGGCAATTTAACGACATTCAATCACCTTTAGGCCATTTATGCACAGGCAGACTGGCACCGAATCCTTCCTACCTAAATAGACCAGTCTTAACAACTTACCCTAACCTATTCCATGTGATGTCAATGCTCTGTGGGACATGCTCGGCAGGCGACTGCGATCTCAGTCCAGTATCCACAGAGTAATTATCGAGTGGATGGATTCTGCAATTGGGCCCTTTGTCAGCTTTTCTTGCATGTCCCGCCAATTCTGGTCGATTGGGCTGATTATCTTGCACACGCGAGATGGTCTCGCGGAATCAACGACAAACTCATTCGGAGACAGTCTGCTTATGAACGTCTCTTTGGAAGATTCCCCATCCCGGACGACTCGACTTTAGAAAAAAATACTCATTAGCTGAGATTCAACAATGTATCATTGCTGACACATCAGCAATAATATGTTGTTAATCAGCAGAAGTTGAAAATGAACAAATTTTTGTAATAGAAGGAACTTGGAGAGCGAGGCATTACAAATACTTTAGTTTGAAAAACTGAAATTTTGAGTTTTTTGCACGTATGAACCGTTTGGTGTCTTTCCTATCATTCTATATGTGTATGCATTTTTCAGAAGGTTATAGGTGCTGAGTGCTTCAATTTAGGGTAAACGTAAAAAATCATGACAAAGCGTACCTGTTTAAAAGCGGTTGGACACATTAAATTTGCCAAATATAATGATGCTAAATGAGAGCCATTTTTCTTGAGAACGTATATGATATTTACACGATATTTTGATCGACGATTTCAAGTTTCAACGAAGACGAGGATTTCCTAACGGTGAGAGTAGTCCACGTCCATCCCAGAGACAGCCTAATTATATATATATATATATATATATATATATATTAGGAACCGCCTATTTTAAGACGTGTGAATGTCTTTTATATAGCACTTAGTATATTTATGAGCGAATTTCTTTTTTATGTATGAATTACGTAGCTCTTGGTAAACGAACTGTGCAGTGCATATTGTAACGGAGAGTTCAATAAATAATATATTTTTGTATTCTGGCTGGTTCTTGCAATCACCCATCAGTCAGCTACAATGAAGAGATACATTGCGCATATCTTATTTATTAATTTCCTTATATTCTTCACTATTTATTCTAAACTTAACGGAGCACATATAATTGCTACCGTGTGACCTAATAATGTCTCGTCGTTCACAGAGAAGAAGATGTGTTCTTCTTATCATACAGACATACTGTACTGTGAATGAAAGAAGCTCTTTACCGCTTGCAAAGCGAATATTCCAAAAGTCTTGAGTTCTGATATTGATTTATTTACAACACTGTAATTCTCTCAAGCATACGGCGTTACGGGATCAGTGCGACGTCCTTTTCTTCCGATCACCTAAGACACCGAGTCCTGTTCGAATTTTAATGAGCGTTTACAATTAGGCGAACGGAAATTGCACGCATCGTGCTATAGAACTAGATATCTTACTAATAACTTCGCGTATTTCGAACTCTCGGTATCAAGTGAATTTGCTATTTGATTGAAAAGGCCAGTGGTTAAATATTCACAGAACATAATTAGTACTATCGTTCGTGTATGTACTTTTTCTATGGATTTCAAAGGGAACTGTGTCAGATTGTTTCAAATTTGATCGCTTGCGGCTGAGGAGGAACTAATCAAATGGTGTGTTTGATAAGCCTCCCTTAAATTAAAAGAGTCGTATACAGTCTACATCTATGCTCTTACCCTGTTTTTACCCCCCATTTTTACCGAAACTGAACTCGCTCCAGCGATTCGATAGGCCGCGTTTTTGCTGAATAACGTTCAGGTCAGGTATATCGTGTCCGGTATCGCATCCGATATCGCTGATAGGCCACCAGCGTCAGGGAAAAACGGCTTTAAGGTAACTCCCATTGGTTGATTCGTCTTTTCAACCTGCAGTATGAGCAATGAAGGCAACGAACGTTACGTATACTTGCTAAAATACCAAAAAAAGTTCCTACCATTCCTCTGGTGGTGTAATCGGTGGCAGTCCTCTCCTGAGCCCGCTATTCTGCAAGCAGACTATTAAGCGACCAGAGACACGCGTACCTAACAAGGGCAATAAAATTTAGCGTGAACTTTAGTTCTCAAGTTAATTGGAATAAGTTGCGTATATATCACCAATTCATTAGTTACGCTCATGTAATTCTACTCCTGGATTGAGCTGTGCGACAAAAGGTGTCCACGGAAGGCTACGTAATGCACCAACGAAAATGCTCGTCATACGGCTCGTACCTCATGCGAAACAATACTCAGTGTCTTAAATAAGGTCAGCCCTGCTTTCGTATGATTACCACTATTTAGCTACGTATTCTGCGGCTTTGCCATAATTTGTACTGCGCAGTTACTATATCGGCTCAGATGCAAACGATCTTTCTGTTCTACTTGTGTACGCTGTGTTTTCGCTTCACATTGGCCTCATGTGCAAGCTTCGCCATCAACATGAGCTGACCTTCACCATTGCTGACGGCACCGTCTAAACGGAACGCGCCGGACGTTAATCTTGATAATAAATTGAAGAGTCGCTTGCTTTTCGTCATCATTTCGGCCTTCATCACCGATTTTTTGGCACCAATAGCGAAATCGGCGACCCCGTTCTTACGGAATAAGCAAACTGATTAATTTCATTCAAACAGAAGAATTTCTCATTTTATCGACATTACCCGTCCTTGTTTAAGTCCTGCCAGACGTCCCGTCGCCGATATATGGGACGTAATACCTACAATTCGCCTCGCGGAATATAGTGTAATGCTTCAGCTAGGAAAAATCAGTGTCTTCACAATGTATGCTGTTAAGAGAGCTGGTTAATTATATGAAAACCCTGACTTTTTCTTGTTGCTACACACAACTGCTTCATATCAGCTCTGTGCACTATGTTCATTTTTCCGTTTCCCTTCTTGGCAGAATAACCATTGAAGTTCTTCTACTGAGTGCCGACAGGTCTCATGCGTATTATGTAATGTGTGGGGAAAGAAAATGTTATGCTCAGGCGTAGAGAGAGTTTAACGAATACCAAAAATACTTTTTGAAAGAGCGGGTAATTAAAGAACGCGAAGATTATCCGACCGGACTGCACAACATGTGATAAAAACAAAAAATTACATAAAAACATCAATTAATGTTGCACTGAGGTAATATCTGCTGCATCCACGTCTGATGCACCCGAGATGCCCTGCTATGAACGGAATCTTGCTAAAAATAGTATTGTTCTGTGTTGTCGTGGGCTCCGTTTTCTTTATCGTCGTCGTTGTCGTTGTCGTTTTTCTTTTTCTGTTGTACATTCGACTTTCAGCGCAGCTTGCAACATAAAGACATTCGCCAACCTGACCAAAACCACATTATAAATAAATTTTTATTTTCAATGCTTTTAAAAGCGGGCTTTGAAGCTTGCATCAATCCCGTTGTCTCCATGCGCCCCCGTATAGATGCCTGCCCGCCCAGCACAATCATGCAGCCAGCGCGATTCGGTCGATCGTCGGCAACCCGGCTACTTCGTAGCAACAGATCCCGCACGGCCTCAAGGATTGCTTGCCTGCTACTTTCTGGATGCTCGGAGGTCTTCAACGAATGCAACATGTGTGAACTCTGCTGTGCTCCTACCTAACTCTAGCACGAGTATCGACTTCTGTCAGAACAAATTACACGAGTGTTGCCGCCGCTCCGGGATGGAGATACGCCGTAAAACATCAAAGTTTTGAGGCTGCCGCTAACCCTGCTAAACTTGACCCCCCGTAACTAGCCCCTGCAATACAAAAACTCAGCGCCCGACTATCTGAGCGCCGTGAGCCTCCGGAAACGGCGCCGTGAAGGCGTTGGCGGGCTATTTCGAAAAGCTGTAAAAAAAAGTTATTCTCCTAGCACGATAACGGGGAATGATATGGTAAAGGAAAAGGCAGCTTCGAATTTCATTTTTTCGCTAAGATTTAGGGTCAGCGCGCCCAGTACCTAGTATTCGATCAGACTGAACTAGCGTTTCAGCAGTAACTAAAGAAGCATGGAACTTGAATTCAGAGCTTCTCATAGAGAGGCTTTGATCCTACAAAAATCAATTCAAAACACTAATTCGCGGCAAAAACCCATTACCTTTATTCGCTCTCGTATTTCTTAAAACGCTGTATATTTACTTGAACTTAGCTGTTCAGGCTGTTTGAAGGATATCTTCTAATTCCGCCGATTATAACCAATATGGATTCTTAATAATAAACGAGTCACTATAACTCTGCCAGTTCCCGTGCTTTCTCAAAAAAAAGTCGTAAATACTCCAGCCTCTATTGGGCGCTATACTCTGATTTATGCTTTTCCCTCCTAAGATCCAACTTCTCCACTCGAAGCAGTACACGTTGCTCTACGTTTGCTATTTATCCTTCTGCGAATTTTCCAAATATTCTTTTTAAATTCTCATACATTACTAGCAACATTCTCTAGAGCTGGTTTCATCTAAGAACGCTTTCAGTTCAGAGAAGAACGCTTTTGTTCAGAATTAGACAATCGTCCTAGATAGAGGTAAGAATAGTTCAGTATAGTTCTATACGACGAGCTTCGGAATACGGCGTTTTCCAAATAATAATCAATTTTTCAATAGAATCGCCTCAGAGTGATCGACCTCAGAATCTTTCGATTCGTTTCATCTCCTTCGAGCATCATCCCAGCATGCACTCTCAGTCTTAGCAACGATAATATTTCTATATTAATACAAAGTTGTCCCAAAAGAATATATGAACTTTTTCTTCGATTGCCCTTTGTCGATCATTCGTGCCGTGTCGTTTTCGATGAAGACTTGCACCCGTGGTCCGTTATTGTTGCAAAATCGTTTGCGCTTCAAGGAGCGACCTGGTGTAGCGTCAGATGAGTCAGTAGTGAACTACGTATATGCATTTGTCAGTATACGCGTCTTTTTGTAATCGATTCTCTAACTGCGAGGACCCGTAAGTATGTCTACGGATACAGCCGTAGACATTTTCCTCCAATTGTTTCTAATCTGCCATTTTCATCTATATATATAGAATGATGTTTCGTTATGATCAGCGCTTGGCAACGTAGACTCTGGTTTTTAATTTTATTATGATGGTGATTATTAAAATGATGTGGATCAGTCGTATCGGCTTGAATAAACAACATATAAGAAAGATTTCTTCAGAAGCTTCATTGATCCGAGCGGGTCACTTGAGCCCCCATCGTATCGAATTAACCTTCCAATAATTCCAATCTCACTAAAATGTCTTTGGTCCTTGTTAGAATTCTTGAGTCTTCCATGAGCGGGTCTTGCGTAGCCTATTATTTGAGACAGAAAACTACGTGAGTCAGATAACCACCAATAATATTTTTCGCTACTAACTACGAGAATGACAGTCTAAGGTTCAGTTACTCGAATTTGACCTTTTTCTGAGAAGGTTTATGCAAAATCCTTACGTTCGAGTGCGACCAGGATTAATTTTCGTAGAAGCCTAGTATGGCGCTTAGCTCCGCTAGCTAGACATATCATCAACTTGTTTTTAGTTTTCTTCTTACATTTTACTCCGAAAAAAAACCCAGTTGTACATTTAACAGCACTACGGTTGTATTAGATAAATTTCATCTTCTCAGAGCGTACATAGTCTACGAGAAATAGGAGGTCACAGGTTTGATTTTGCTAAAACTTAACTACTATTTGAAAGGGTCTAAAAAAAAAAACAGATCTCTTTAACGCCAACATAAATCAGTAGACTTAATTGAAACAAGTGCTTTTTGTAAATAATGGGTCTCTATAGGTCGCGAACAGCCATTGCATTCTTGATCGTATCTATACTTGCCTGTAGCTGTTTGCTAAGGTGAACGCGATAGTTCTGTAGGAGACGGACAGTTGTCTGTTTGACTAACGTAAGGGCAAACCGCATCCCAACACAGCTTCGTGGACCTTCCCCGAAAGGCATGTAGTAAGCCGAAGGCAAATTAAGTGCAAAGCGGTCAGGATCAAACTCATTTGGCTTAGGAAACACTCTGAAAATAATAGATACAAGCGATGAAATATCATGTACTTCTCAGGTTCATAGATACCTATTATAGCGCCACGTAAATTGATAAATATTAGAATTTAGCAAGAGGTTTATCACCACATAGATACGTCTGTTTCAAAAGGCTAGCTTATTGCAACATACTCATCCGGGACTACACAAGGGAGGTATCGCTTAGCGTTCTGTAAGTTCAATAGAAGGGTTTAGTTAATAACATTACCTGATTTCACACAATAGTCTTTCAACATTTCGTGTATTACGCAATATTTAGTCACTTTCATAAATCCGTACCTTATTTGAGGTTTAAAGTCAACCTTAAAAAAACGCCAATATCTATGAAAAGGCTGAAGCTAGCGCAGCGTATTACTTGGGGTCACGTTGAAGAACAGTTAGAGGGACCTGAATAGAAGTTCCCTGTGGAATCAAGAGACTTCCGTGCCAGTAGTCCTTGGCGGCTTCACGTAACACAAACGCAGGAACTGGAGGCTGCAGTCTAAAACAGAGTTCGCATACTTTGGTGTCAACTTTGTAATACACGAACCTGTGGGTATATTTTAATTTTTGCTGATTCAGCGACCCTTATCAAATCTATAGCACTGCCGTTTTTCTTGTAAAATATCGGCCCAGACACGTCCGGTAGTAAAGTAGCATAGAGAACTATTAAATGTATATGTTAGCTAAAGGGATTTGCCGTGCTATCGACAGTGCTGTCTATCTGATCATTGTTAAATATGGGCAAGTGCTTGTGTCATTTACTGCCATTGCTTTGACTGGATAGCAAGTTGACGGCAAAGCAACTGATTCAAAAGTACAACCCTTGGGTAACCTTTTTAACAGCATAAAAGGCCTAAAACAAGCTCGGGACATTCTCGATGCCTAGGATATCGTATAAAGGATCACTATTCCTCGGCGCACATTGGTAGGTAATCGTTTGCAAAGAACAACCACAAGTCCCCAAAGTTTCAAGGTTGGCCGGCCATTCTTTTGACACCTAATCGAAATCGGTAGATTTGGCGTGAACAATGGTCTCAATTTCTTATGAAATGCACGCCTAATTTTTAGCTCCAGTAAGTTACACCCTACACACCTATGCAATTCAACGTAAATTCAACGGACTCAATGATATATTCAACGGATATCTCATTTTATGATATACTGGCAAAATCACATATAAAAAAATCATACACAAAAAAAATATGTAATGCAAACTTAATTATGCAGTGTAAAGCAACATATGACCACCTGACCCATTGGGTCTGTCATTGGGCGCCAAGGATTCCTTAGAACGCCTTTGCAGTCTTTTGAGCATCACATCATTTTGCCTAATATTTTATTATACTGCCCTCCGTATAATAGTAAAACATGAACTGCTAGTTCCTAGGTATCTAGCAGTAAAATCCTCCATGTGGAATTAATGTTCAATGACAAAAGTTCTCCTGAAAAAGCCTTTGAATTAGATTCTGATACCTCAGGGTCTCTGAAATGAATCTGTCCAACAGTTTGAGGCTAGAAATGCTTGCGGAGGCATCGGCCTCGTTCCAGAGCTCTCTGATTTCATCTCTAAGTTTTTCCTGCCATTCAGGGTGACGCCCAAGTCGATACACAATCAGGGTCAAAGTAACTGCGCTGGTGTCAAAACCAGCAAAGAACGCCGTGGCTGCATTTGCCATTATTTCTTCTTCTGTCATTTGACGGCCTGAAACAACGATTATTGTTATTGTTAATTTACAATAACATGTGATTACATTCTCATTTTCAGTCGTATTTATCTTGAATCAGTTGAGAGGTAAACAATAGTGATTTTTTGTGCGCAACAACATGGACTATTTGTGTGCTCCACACCGATCGAACAATCAATCAACAACGGAAATGGTTGAAGTTTTATAGACTTTCATGGGCGAACAAACATCGGCCCTTCTCTTTACCCAAAATCTTCTTGTAGAGGAGATTATCGACAATGGTACCATATCGATCCGGATTCCCCCTCCGGACATCAATGACGGCGCCAATTTTCTTTACCAGCGGGTCCATACTATGCGCCAGCAACTTGACAGCGTAGAGTGCTCTTAAGGTCGGTTGAGTGATGCTGGCCGGCAGGCACGCTCAAAATCGTAATTGTACACAACAATAATAGTCGTAACGTTATTAAGGCTGGTTGTTAAGAACATAAAATAACGTCTCTAATAAAATATCTGTATGTAAAATGTTTGTTGTTTCATAATTAGCTAGCATTTGTACAACGAAACCTTCTTGCAGTTTTTCTTCCTTCTAAAATCACCTATATCACTAATCTAACTTAATGAAGCTATTTTCTGCTATGTGCTATATGTTTGCGCAAATATGAACGTTCTTTCAATAGTAAAAAAAACTATTATGATTCTGGGTAACTGTAATAGTTTCGTGTTAGGCTGTGCCTCTGAGTTCAGTTTTACTGTTGGTGGAGGTCGGGGAAGTACCCTTATTTTCCTATTGCTCTATTAGTAATAGCATCGACAAAGGCAGATTTACGTCCATTCGTCTTGCTCTCGGTCAGCTGAGGCAAAGTCAGTGGTCATCTACTGAACGTGTGTATCAATAGGTATTTATCGTACTTCGCTAATTGACGCCCACAAAACGGTCACTCGTAACCTTGTCAAGTTCCTAATGGTATGTGTCGTTATGTGAATAAGCACCTATTTATTCCTGGTAGAATATATTATAACTATTCGAAAAACTGCTGGATCCGTTTAATTTCGAATTTATGTCTGTCATAGACCGTAGTAGGCTACAGTAAATAGTCTTGTTATACAAGGAATCCAAACTGACATACTGGCCAAAAATTCCGTTTTAGAGGTTAGACTCTCCAATGCTATTTTTTCACATAAGTATAAGATTTCTGGAACCTTTTCCGCAGTCTGTACAGGAAGTGCTAGGCCGAACGTGGTCCTGCTAACCACGTCCATAGCAAGCCGCTTCAATGGTTTCGAGACTTCGAACGCGTTACCTGCCACCGCAAAAGGCTTAACAACCTCTAAAAAGAGTCGAATAGCGTCCTCTTGTGTTTGTATCACCTAAAGAAACAATATAATGAGTTAAAGAAAAAAAAAAATAACCTTGAGTGAGAGGGCAGCGTGGGCCATTTGTTCGAATGTGCCGCCATAATAATCATGAACATGCAGCCGTTACTTATTCGCTTTTCAACCTTGGCGCTATGGTTACTGCTTCGGAGATTTGTTGGTAAATACTTCCAGATAAGCTCAGTAATACCGCCGGCTAGACATTTTAAGGAGGGCAGATCCGTGATGCTCTGCCTAAGAGCTGCTCTCTAGGACTTGTTCACACAAAAGAAATAACCAAAAATCGTAGGAAAAAGAAGCAGGATTTGTCTCTTGCGCAAGTACTAGGTACGCTCAGTGTGCCCCGTATCTTGATCGTACGGTAATTAAACAAATATAGTATCTGAAGTTCTTTTTATGTTTTTTCAGATCCGTACGAACTTTCCTCACTTAACTGACATCTCAAAACGAACCACTGTGCCGGACTAGCAAGTCAGAATTGCGCGAGTCATACGTACATTATAGGAAAATGAACCGATAAGACCTGGTAAAAGTCCTGCGGGACTGACCATATATTTGTTAACTTTGGTAGTTTTCGCGCTAGCCACCTACCTAAGTATATACATATGGCGCTAAAACATCTCTAGTATACCTGCAATATGTTACCTTTTTGAGTTTGCTTGAAGTAAACGCAGATGTAAATTGTGTTCGCACTGCTTTAATTTCATTAGCATCTCGAAGAATATGGACCTGTCTTCCTGCCACAGGGTGGGGTGTGTCCAAGTTGAACTGGAACTGTGCAAGTTCGTCATTTGGAAGTAAGGCAATGATAACAGTAGCAAGACAAGTTAATGTTCGCACTGAAAATTGGCGTTCGGCATTTATTATTCGGGCATAGAGATAGCCAAAATCACAGGAAGCTCATCCTTTACATCTAGGTCTTACGATAGCGTTTAGATTGATAGGTTAAACGAATTAGCTTTCAAAATTATTTAGAAATTACATTATCTAAAATCAAATAGATTTCGTATCTATCCGCTGTTCGTTGTTTGGGTTACTCGTGAGCGCACAGTTCGGCGATCGCTGCTGATCAGATTATCTAGCAAAAATTCAGCCTGTTCTCGTGGCTTGCGTTACTCTACTATTTGATCTACAAGCTTCGAACATTGATACGTCTTGTATGAGTAACACTATTGCTTTTAATTTAGGAACGGCTATATTCTTGAACTATTACACTTGAAGCAAAAAAAAAGCGGAAATCTCTTTTAAAAAACGTTGCTGCTACGCTACAGAGTTACGTTATCTTTTTGAATTTCTAGTTAACATATGTTTCGCACGACGTTAACAAGAACCGAGTGTCAAAAATCATAGATCGAAATTCGAATGTAAAAAAAATCCATTCAGGTACCAACGAACCATGCGGTTGTAGAAAACGTGTGCATCCTTAAGAAGGACCTTGCGTAGTAGCTCGACGTCGGTCGTTACAATAATGGGTTGAAGGCCATAAAAGTAACCATACGTGTCTCCGAAAAGACGCTGCCACTTCCGGAACGCCTCGGTGTGACCGAGTTTTGAGAGCTGTAGCAGATTACCCGTTAACACTGAAGGCGTCGGACCTGACAGGCCCAACTTGTTGAATAGGGCGAAGTGCTCTCGTCGCCGCCTAACCAGAGCAGAATTTTTCATAAGTACACAACAATAGCCAGCTAGGTGAGTCACGCCACATTTTCATGAACGAACGGCAAGGTCTTTTGTAAGAAAAAGTTGACTTCAGTAAAGACCTCAACGACAACGGTGGCCAGTGATATCAAATAGATCGCGAACTCGTATAGACGACAAAAGAGTCAAGGTAACCAGTTGATTATTTGGTTACAGACGTGCTTTCTAGTTCCATGAGCATGCTTTTTAGCATGCATCTAAGCGAACGTACTTCACAATGCATAAATAGCTTTTTTTTTTTCTTTTTTAAGTACATTAGCAGTGCAATATTTACATCTTTTTTAGCTAATATTATGTTAATGCTAGTATAATAATAGCTAATATAAATAAATAACTAACATAATGATTTGATGGGATCATTCGTAGATCCTTCTCAATGCGTAAGGTAACTACAATATAACAAGCTAGATTGATACGAGGTATCAAAGATGTCGTCGCGTATCTGAAAATGCTGGCTCTGTAGGTTGCAATCTCCTTCATTCGGTACTTTAGCAATAAACAGGGTTCGAAGTTGAATCCAGGCATATTTCAGGTCGTACTGGAAGAAATCGGCTGTCTGAAGCCAGCTTAGCTATTGGACCTCAGCTATCGAAGCGAACATATGGATAAACAGAGGGACTGGGTGTATAAGGTTTTGAGTGTACTGGACTTACGTATAAACTAGTACAAGGTATATGGATAAGATGAGTAACAACAATAACCACATTTCGTTGCCTGGCACAAATTCACGCGCACTGTTACCCTTTGCGTATTAAACTGATAATAGCCGTCAAGTAAACCATATAACTACATCGACAAACGGAGAGGGTCAGAACAATGAAAAAGGCTCTTTCAAGGATTTAGCTGATGCTTGAACGTGTTATTGCTTAGATGTATTGTTAACTCAAGGGCCAAAAGAAGATAAAACTAACGTATTCACCCAAGTGTTCAGCTTGCTAGTTTGCTCGCCGCTCGAAGGGACCGTTCCGTTACTTAGCTGTGGCCTTTCACTGGAGGAAAAGTATCAAGTGTATATCCATATCTATAGAGGCACGCAACTGACGACAAATAATGATCACTGATTCACACACGTTCGTGCTGGATGTCGAAGCAACAGAAAGCAGTTATAGTAATTAATGTGTGTAATATTGGCATCAGTTCTATTCTCGTGAAGGCAATCCTTCGGCAAGCAGACAAGCCTACTGCGAATAGCGATATTTACTTGGGCCAATAATTTAGCAGAAACACGATAATTAGATAAGTTACTAAGCGAAAAGCCAGCCGTTTGACAAAAGGGAGAAAAGAAACTGCCCCGAACGGCCTACTTCCAGAAAGCTCTCCGTAAACAAATTGTTATGTTTACCAATAATTTCTATTCATTGTGGAAAACAACTAGCTACAAGTAATAGCCAATTACAGGATGTTCGAAAAGTGATACGAGGGTACAGTTGTGAAAAATATGGAGGCTGTTTTGGACGCACAGTTGCTGTGTTTTTATACGATAATTTTAGTGTATTTTTTGTCTAGGTTTTTTTTTTATAGGAATGAATAAAATTATGCTTGGATTAATAAAACTGGTAAGCTTGTGCGACTCTTTCAATTTATTCTAAAGGGTAGCTTTTTTCGTTTGATACCCACCATGTCTGTGACTTAATATTAACTAATGAAATAAGGAAGCGTTTTAAATTAATAAAGCTTGAGGTTTAAGATAAAATTACTCTAAAATTTTACATGACCAGCGGAGACGTAGAAATATCTACTTAAGCCCAATAAATAGACTTACATATAAGATTACACCACGGACATTTGCAGTGCGTTCTAATGATGAAAAATAAGGTAAAATAAAAAAATCAATTACTTGAATAAATATTGAATATGGCATCCGATACTGCAGCTGCACATTGCCTGGCTCGGAAAGTTGACTTTCAGAGTATTCCCTGTGCAAGACGGGTATAGGCAGCTAACCTAGCCTTTTTTTAATTGCACGTGAATAAATAGGTTGTGGCCTTTTTATAGCATAATATATATATATATATATATATATATATATATATATATATAACTTTATAGCAAACAGACACTGCTTTGTCTCAACGATTTGTAAAACGGCTCTCGAATCTCTGCTCAGTTGATTTCATACTTCCCTTCAAAGCTACAAAATTGCAGATTTCTACATAATTCGAAGAAATTATCTCTGAAACAAGGTTTAAATATAGCTATCTGAAGTAGTTACTACATCGCAATTCATTTTCTTGCTTGGAGCATTGTTGGGACATTGAGCACGAAGGCCACCACAATCGTAGCATAATACCCCACTTTTCAGTAAAAGGTTTGTATCTTATTGTACCGCCGCACACAGAAACAGATGTGGAAAACCAGCCTGTTCTAGGATAAACCTCTTTGATGGTAACCGTATGGCGAACATAAAATGTGTTTTTAGCAAGCTAAGGTAGCAGTATACTTTGTTATGAATTCATTACCACAGAAGCTTACCTATACAATATTCTTTCGATGATACCAACAAGTGTCAACTCAAACTAGCTGAATATGAAAACACCTATGCGTGTTTGCTGCTCTTGGTCATCAAGCCTATGATCTCCGTTTAGAATCAGTACGGGCCATTGGAAAAATACATCTTACAGGAGGTAGATTCTCTCAAGCCACCTGCTCTGTGTTACGGATTATCGGATTGTTTTTCTACCTACATTGAATGCAAAATAAATGTCAAAATGTATATGCGTAGACACATCTGCAAATCCATTGAAGTTTGACCTTATACGGGTTCGACATGCAGAGATATTCACAAGTTCACTGCAAATCTACTGTTTTTGTTGCCTACCTGAAAACTTACACGAACCATTTTACCTCTATTACAACTTAATTATACAAGTCAGACAATCGATGTATAGAATCGTTACGGTTTAGATAGGTCATTTTATTCTGAACCTAATACAGGTCTTGCGACGAATTCTGTAGGTCGTTGTAAAATTTCGAAATCAATTAACAACGATTCGGGCAAATTCAGAAAATTAGATACTTAAGTTTTTATGAGCTGTCGCTAGGGACAGGTCAATTCAGTAAGGTTTAATATGTATTTTTTCTTTCGGAGATCTTCAGGCCGCATTAACAACGAATGTAAAGTACCACAAATTGAAATATATTCCGTTAGTTATGCAAATCTCTTACAAACTCACCCCCACAGGAGTAGCTTTGGCGATCGCCCGAACGCAATGGTCGTCGTTTTACCCTGCGAGTGCTATAGCTTTCTGTATAACAGGTACTGTGGAATAAATTCGTAAATATGTATATGGTAGTTTTTCAAGCTGTCTATTAAGGTAGGTGCATCCTAAAGCGATTGATTTTTGGTTAATAACAATGAGTGCCTTTTACAAGCTTAACTGATCCTTGTATTTAATAGTCCAAGATGGATATGGTAGAGATCTAGAGATGAACGCTTGCAATAACAAGCACCCCTACACAGTTACAAGGATCATCCTTGCCAAATAGGGCGATCGAGGTCAAATGCAGGGCTGGTAAACGCCCTGACAACGAAAAAAACGTTTCTCGATTGTCCGTTTTCGCGCGGAAAATTTTTGCTTTCGATGTGAATGGTCAAGTAGCAGGAAGTAGGTTTACGGTGAAATACGCAATGGATTTATCACTGTTGGGATGTATTTTGAAATTAATACCTATTTATGATACCTGCACGCAGAACGTAAGGCAATAGCAGGAAATATAATCGCTCATTTAGCTAGAGGACCATTTCCATGTTTTCTCAATGCGGGTTACGTTTTCCAGAATGAGATTGGCTTATCTGACTGTCTGCAAAGATGTCTACTGCTTACAATCAGTGTATAGATAAACTGTTTAAAGGTCATGGAAATTTTTATCCTACGGAACAGCTGATATACAATGCAATAGAAATGTTAGACGTAAACGTCTCTCAATACAGAATACCGCAAAACTGTAACAGATGTTTGCACAGGAGCTCCCTTTCGAATAAACTGATCCCCATGCCTGTAGTGTTCAGCAACTTCCCAATCAATGCAGATGAATCCAATCTATAAGTGAAATTTATACGTATATTTAGAATGCAAATATACCTGGTTCTGACAGGTTCTATTGGTCAATATTAAAGTCTCCATAAGTATAACACCCACACAATATTCTTTACGCGTGACTGCTACAGGGTCCATAAATGTCATAGTGTTCTTTGTCCCAAAGTAAGGCTTTATTTGAAATGGAAAAGCTTATTCACTCTTGTTGAATTTTATCATATAGCTAGTTTTAATTAATTATGGCTGTGTGCAGGCAAGAACACAAATGGCACCGTAAACATTTATCTCTATATTCACGCTTGATTCACGAGATCTGTGCTGTCCTAAACGATCGGACAAAAGTGCCATTGATTTTTATAATGATGAATAGACATTGACCAAGTATTCAGATGGCCTAGACAAACCCCCACACGAAATTATATCTGGTTTTGTTAAAAAGCACCGTTCAGTGTTTTCTTCTACCCTGACGTTTTGTTTTCGACCGTATAGTATACTGTTCTGTAGGCAATTGAAAAAAGGTTACAATCAGTAAAGATGCAGAATATCCCTTGCTTCTGACATTGCTGTTATAACTCGGCAGGGAATTCACTACTAAGAAGCCAGAAATTCGTGTGTATGACAAACATGAAGATTGAATCGCCTTAAAAAAATTAGTACACAATGCCGTTTCGTTCAAATCGTTGCGTCAAAATCAGTGTTGACGTACGCACACTTCAAAGTTTCCCAAATAAACTTTTCAAGCTTTTTCAACCGGCAAATACCTCCATAAAGAGCTGTATAATTTTATATTTCGTTGACTTCTGTCAGAACATTGTTCTGCCGCTTGGGATGCAACGCTAGCCAGAACGCGGACCATAGCAAGCGTAATCGCAAGTGTGCCGGATCCCGTAAGGAACGCAACCGTTACGTTGGCGGCAGCCTCTCGGCGTAACACGGACCGACCTGCGAGATAAGTGTGCTTTATGTGCGCATCGTAGGATTTGCCTCATTAAAGCTTAAAAGAGGTTCAAAGAAACGGCAAGCTAAAACAATGGGTCAAACTATAACAAAAACAAAATCATAAAAGATTAGCTAAGATATTGTGAAAATAAATACTAGCCGTGCTTGCTACTAGTTCCTTGGACGTGTTGAAATTCCTTATAAAGAGGTTCTTCGCTTAGGGATATTTTTTTTTCGTTTTTTAAATCAAACGCCAGCTCAAATAACATGTGACCCACCGCATACACCATGAACATTGGAATCCGTTCATTTCCCGATTCGCCAGATCATTCGTCACCGACAAAGGTACAAACGCGGGTCTTGCGCGTTTTTTGTTAGGAATTATTCAGTCATAAGGAATAGTTCAACTTTTTGCTACGGGTGTAAGTTTGGTCCACGGGATAATCGTTTAATCCGAGATATTGCCTTACTGTCCTTGAACAGGCCAAATATGCATACAGTAGCTGGTCGAAAATTATGTAAATTGTCCATATGACCGTATGCAAAAAAGGACTCGCAGCTATAGAAAACTGCTACAGTTGATTTCACTGGCCAGTTAGCCATTCTTCTGACATGATGTTTCAGAGTCGACTATCTGTTAGATGCTTTGAAGTAGATGCGGATTGCCCCGCGATCTTCCGGCACCATTTAGCTTTGACCTTCCTAAGTTTATTCATTAACTATGAATTGATATAATAATTACAGTCATACAGATGATCCTGATCTCTTCAGTTTGCTCTTTCCATAGCAATAGAAATGCTTGCGAATAGACTGAATAATTTAAGTGGTTTCAGGTTTATACTATCCTGTTTGTGGCTCTCTCGAAATATTCTCTTACAATATGCGTTAACTTAGTAAACCGTAAGTTGCTAAATACGACTGGTTTCTGTCTGAAACAATTAATTAGAGTTGGCTTCATTTTAGATAAACGCTATTCGAACGTCTACTTCATAATGCCAGTTATTAGACAAGCACACATACGTTCTACCCGAACTGTGGACTTTTCGAAAAGGCATTTCTTCGAGATCGCATCTATTTTGAGACATTTGGCTCGCGTAAATGATTGCTTAACTTGGCTAAAAATTCAAAATTTTAACCTCACTAGCTAAGTAACCGATTTCGAAGCAAGTAGTCAGTACTTCACACCTATTAAACCCCTTGCCTGATATCCACCCTCTTGTCTCTCTAACTTACATCAAAGCTCATGTTTCAACCTCTCTTTCTTGCCATAATTTATTTGATCCTCTAAACGGATCTAAAAAATCGCTGAAGAAGCTGGGTGTCGAATTTATACCCCGAGGATTTAGTATCATTTTGTCCATTGGTATGCTCCATACTTATTTAAAGCATGTTAGCGTAAAACTGACGGCATCATTGATCCCGTACTGATTAGGACGTAAAGCATCTTAGAAACATTAGCCCTTGAAAAAGTTTTATTTGTAGGAGACGATACTAAAGATCGATTCATCCTATACAATGCATTTCGAGTACATGGCACAGCAAAACATTTATTACAAGCTAGCAACTAGATACGAAGGAACTTCTGCTAATTGTTTGCTTTCTCATGATTTTTTTGTTTTTGATAACTTCGTGCATTTTTTGCCTAGCTATCGTCTAAGCTGCCTGGAATTTACGGTTTTTTCTCCAAACATAGATTAATCGATTCTTCAGACTGTAGGTTTTTTGTAGACTCGTCTGATTTATGTCGTCCGTTTTTACCGCATCATTTCACTATAGCTATATAGGCTAATTCACGGTCCTCTACAAACCTGTTAAAAGAGACTGTCTTGGATTTTATGTGACTCGCATGACGAACCTTTTCAATCTATACGAGGAACACAATCTTCGTTGTATGAGCCCGTATTTTTCGGTGCCCGAAATGATGCCATGGTAGCGCCGCCCACCTAAAGATTATCGCCGACAACAAAGTAACAAGAAGAGGCTGCCTTGGGATAACACTTTCACTTCTTGCCATCAAAGTAAGCGCATTTGTGAAAGACAAAGTCTCGCGTACCGGTATGTGCTTCTCTTACCAACCCCCGTAATGCTCAGGCTTTTGGCTAATCCTCCTCATTCAAAGATCACTTCCTTGTTTAGTAACAAGGTAATGAGAAACACTGAGGAATATTCCTAACCCTATTTACCTAGGGCCACATGCAGAAAGTCGATATTGAGGGAGCACGTTCTCTAAATGTTTATTTTTCCAGTATTCATTGTTCATTAACATTTATTGTTTCTTAAAGAATCTTGAATTTTCCTTAGTCTTTCTTAGTTACTTCGTGAGTGCGAGCACAGTTGTACTAGCTTCTCTAACACTTCGAGAATAACGCGAATTGTCGCCACATATCTTTTTTATCCCGTGCTTGGAACACAACACAGATCTATTTGGGGGGAGGGGGGGCATTCTGGAAACTCTAGAAAAGCAAGAAGAGCGCATAAAATTTTCATATATATATACATATATATGTATGTTTATGTAAATAGGCTAACACGTCTATCTTGCAACAAGTTCCAACAATGGCGTCAACGTAACTTTTTGACAATCAAAATGTGTCATTTTACGTCTCGTGTTATATGCACAGCTTACTTTCACGTCTGTTGGATCATTTGACCTCTTCGTCGTGCTCTAACGTCTTCAGAGGAAGCTAGGCAAAACTGAATTTATTCTCTGCAAGAAAAGACCGAACTCACTTGTTACATGGAATACTTCTCCCAGCTACACAAACACCGACATTCGCCCTTTCGATACAAAGCTACCGCATCTTGATCTTTCTCTCGCTTTCCTATTGCAATTCGCTTTGATACGGGTTCAATCGTACTATATCCATGAAATCGATAGATGCAGATATAGGAAAACGCACATGTGTAATCATTGATGAGCAAGCCGATTCGAATACATTCGAACAGGATCAATAAACGACTCCTTCTCCAGCGAACTGTCATAGGAATTGTAGACGGAGCTGTTAAGTCTAACACGCAGTTTTTGATCCTGTGGATTTTGCGCACTTCGTAACCTAATTCTCACACAGGTTCTTGCAACTTAAAAATAGTGAACACACTCTGTGCAACACACGAAGCAAAATAAAGTAAGCAGCAAGTTCCCTGAACTAAAAAAAAAACGCAAAAAAATTACAAAACATCAACAGGTTTTTGTATTAATAATATTCCGATACCATTATTGGACCTTCGTAAACCCTTGGATTCTTGTAATTCCGGTCTCTAGTATGTTGGTACAAGCAATTTTTTAGAAAATAGAAGCATTTTTCCTTTTTGAAAGGTAAATAATTGGCTTGTAACAATAGGCCACACTAGAGATCAGGAATACAAGATTTATATACATATATTCCTGTTAATTGCACCACCTAAAGTCACCCGTTACCTTGTCGGTCTCGTCACCAAAACTGTCAGAACCAGTTTGTCCTGAATTCTTTAAGTTTGTTTTTTTTTTGAGTAAATGAAGCCGATTTGTGTTTGATGCAGGATGAACTTTGTCTTTGTCATGCATAGACGTGACACAGAACGTTGATACTGCTCGCAACGTCGCTAACCACTACAGTATACAGAAAGCCTCTACTCTACGTCCTCCTCAATCGAGGTCCGTTGCAATTGTCGCGAAATTTCCGGCAACTTATTAAGCATCATATTAAATACCTGCAAACAAAAACAACACAGTAGACAAACCCAACATGAATTTAATCCTAGGTAAATGATACACTCATTACTATAGTCGAATACAGGGTCCATGAAAAATCTATATAGACAGTTTAAAAAACTGAACAGTTGAAGACCCTTGATTTCATATCCAAAAAGCAGAAGATGCGCCTGAGTACGGAGCAGATATAACCACGTACTACGTTTTTATCCGTAACACCTTAATGTAATCCCTATAGTTCCTGAAATACTATGTTATAATGCCGGATTGTTGTGATAGCTACTGTGATTTTTCAAACTAGACGATCGGCATATCAAACCTACATTAATTATGGCATACTATTACAGACTATGACGAAGCTTTTCAGGAAGAAACGTCAGGATAAAAGCACATGTTAGTGTAAAATTAAGAAATGGGGCGGGAGCGACTGTCCATTGTATACTTGATGCTCTCCACTTCGATTCGTCGACTCTTGATTTGTCCTTCTCTCAGATTAACGAAACTGTCTTCACGTGGCCTGTTTACTTAACAGGACTGATAGGTAGACGATAGCTGTAAGCTCCCAAGTAACAGTCGTAGAGAAATATCTGAAACTTGCCATACGAGACGCTTTTGGGCCTTCTAAACCCCAAAATTACAGATATAATACTTTGTAACTATGTATAATTTCTCGTTCCGAAGAGCCAGCAGCTCTTGTCGTTGGATATAAAACCTCCAATTGTCTGCCGATTAAAGAGGAAAAGTCTATAAAATACTACACGTTCGAGGACAAGCTATGTCCAGCGTGAGAGAGAAAGGAAGAAAGAGTGTTTCGAGAAATTTACGACCATTTTTTGTCTGTAGACCTGTTAACATCGGATCTGGAAGGCACTTAACAGTCACCATCGCAATATAATAGCTTGAAATTGGCTTACGTCGTAGTATTAGCATGTTTCTGCAACAGGTATTTCCCCTTATGGCAATCATTTGTGTAACCCCCGCTGCTGAAACAGTTCTGAACTAAATGCTATTCTGAGCCTTTAGGCTCAGCCTGTATAGTTATACGCTGTACGCTCCGCGCTTTTCCTCTACGAAGTGCATGGCGTTCTAATAGAAATTTGTTGTGCATATACTTGGACTCCCTGGAAGATGAAGAAAATACTACATCAGGGTAGCCATTGAGTTAATATGATGTTATTGTGATTTCCATGGTATATTCTATACACAAAGCTAGACACAGAAACTTCCCAAAAGCTAGCGGCATAGCTTGAAAAAGCTCCTCAATTCGACCCTTCCTATACCCCCACTGCGATGTTATAACAAACCAAATCAAACGTTTTAAGGACTGCCAAATAAAGCAAACTGTGTCGCGTACCGAGCATTTTCTTTTTCGTTTGGCAATAGATAGGCCGCTAAAGTATTAGGAATTAAAGTACAACTGTCGAGAAGCCCCTAGAGCGCTCGAGATGCTTTAAAAATAAATGAGGACACCTGTTACACATATCAGGAAAAGACGTTCTAGCCAAACTAATTAACAAGTTATTCAACTGCCAAGTTGGCCAGATTCGCTTACAACAATCCGAAATGCAAAACGACAAGAAAGGCGGAACAAACCTGTGGCGGTAACGTATGCTGCAGAATTTGTAGTAGTTGCTGGGGCTGTTCGCAGATAGCGACAGCGGCCGACAGATGCTCAATGCCCCCTTCGGTGTCACCTAGATGCAGGAGAGTTTCACCTGTCTGTACTTCCTGCAAGAAAAACTTCTGCACCGCGTCCTGATCTCGGGTGTCGGGTACTACAAATCGTTTCTCTTTCTTAGCCTTCTGACGGCGCTCACGAATTTTTTGTTTGTATAATGGGTCACTTCGCCTCCTATGGTCGAAGTATATGCAATAACCTGTACAAAGAAAACGGGAAATTATATCCTCTGTGATGGTGACATCGTCAAACTATGGTAAATCAGAGTTTGTTCATTACTGAGGCATATTATCTAAAAAGTCGTTTATAATTCGAAGTAAGACAACAACTAATAAAACATCATACTTCAGTCCACAGTGACCCGCCGTTTAAGCATCAGCTGAACTGTTGTTAGCACGTAATTTGCCTGAATGACAAGCTCTATGCAGTCCCAGAAGACGCGTCATTATAGGTTTAATTTATATATACGCTTTGTACAAACGCATATTTACGAGAAAAAAATAGAATAAGAACGTGTTCTATTCCCTTGAAGACATTGTGAAATCACTGGTAGCCTTACCAGGTAGGAGACAAGCCAAAGCAATTGCATAATGTGTCTAGATAAATATGAACTAGAATATTACCGTAGCTTCGGATGTCTAACTGCCAAAGCGTTTTCACATTTCCAGCGGCGTCTTTTATGCTTAGCCCACTTTTTAATACACAAGATTTGCATTCAATTAGACGCACGCTACGTAAGGCGTCTACGTTCTCTCATCTCAAACACCAATGAATATTGGTATTATGCCTCGTAAGTACCTGCTGATTTGCATCAATGCAATAGACTAGCTTCAATCGCTTGTAGGATCCCAGCTAGTTGATGTAATTGAGATCCTGGCTTTTAAAAGTCGCCTTCAGTATCTTCACACGCACACGATAACCGTCAAAATCAAATAACAATAAACCGAAGGCTTGGCGCTGCTTTTGAGCTATGACATAACCAATATCTGAAGACAAATTTTGTTTCCAAAAACGAGTCTCACGAAGTAATCACAACAACAGTCATCTGTGTGCGTTAATTGAGGTACTCAATTTTACTTACGCTTAACTTACCTAGGAAGAGCGTTCCTGCAATTCCCGCTGCTACTAAGGCAGTATTCGATGTCGAAGAAGGCAGCATTGCTCTAACGGCCGACAGCGAGCCTGGGAATGAAACGTTAAGTTCACTATTTTGTTAATTCCGACAAAGTCAAGCCGCACGCTGCGCGCATGGAGTATACAGAGCAGACAACCTAACACAGGTCCCCTTCGGGCGCTCTTAGTCAAGCTAACGCACTGGGTGCCACATTTCGAATTCGTACATATCTCGGCGTTGAGGCCGCACGTAAATATTGCTTAAGCTGCCGGCCGTCAGTGTACGAACTAAATCGAATCGTTTGACATTGTATAAGACAGCTAGAGGCTCAGTCTTTTATTTAAGTGTTTGTCGAAACTATTTTCTAGTGTTCGAACGCAGCGCCGTTCGAACTTGCGCGACTCCATATCAATAGAAAACCGGCTCACAGAAACATGGCGCTACCCACGATCAGTTCAGGCGTTTTCGGCGCGCTGAAAAAACTGTCGGTTTTTACTCGAGTTTGTTCTTCAGACGCACGGAAAGTCACTAGAAATACTTTGCAATACTCTACGATATATCGGACATTGCGTAGTGATTCAGTTCTCAACGTGCCGATTCAGTGTAGCTCGCGCAGCATACCCCGGCTTACACAGCAGCCACTACAAGCAGCGCTCAGAAGCTTTAAGAGCAATCAAGAAAATGCTGATTCGAAATCCACTTCTGGTGAGCATCAGCGAAGCTCGGAAGATGCTGAGGAGAACGCCCGCAAAAAGAAACACATGAAGTGGACTTTCTGGAGTTTTGGAATCGTAGGAACTGGCTGTTCGATAGCACTCATCTGTGAGTATGGTAAGTTCATCTCTCAGCATGCTTGGAGCCAGCATAGTGGCTATGGTGAAAATGGGTAGTGATACGAAGCTGAAGTGGTGCGCCTGGTGACCGTGACAAATTAATACTGATTGAGTGAGAGAACTTTCGAATGCTCCTAATAGTACTAGTGATGAAAACACGAAATTTTCTTCATGAAGTGGCAAATGAGCGACGAAGCGATTTCGCAATTTATCATCTTCGTGAAAAAAAAGCACAGAGGTTTTTTTTTTCGGTAATACGGTTGTAATCCTTTGAGTTATCTGGACGCGGCCCAGGCCCACTATCAATAACGCCATTTCAATGTAATGGCTATGGACGGCAATGAATCGATATACTATTGATCAGAATGCCGCTCAGAGGTCAGATGATATTGTACTTAAGCTTATAACGCATATAGAGATCTAGATGTGGATAGAATTTTTCGTATGAATTATTAAAACTGCCACAATTCGTTCGGGGCAAACTTCTTGATGCTAAAATATGTGCCTGAACAGTTGCGTCGATATGTGCACTATTTGTAATGATTTTAAGAAAGACACGATGAGTTCGCGCATGACGAACTCCGATTCTGCCCCTTGCTACAGTTGAGATGTCGCTGCAGACAGAGTAGATGATCCTTATGAAGTTATCATGAGATAACAACGACATAGACTATATTGATAACCCTATGGATATCCAGTTATGTGCGAATATTATGCAGTTACTCTAGTTGGATCCTGGAATACGCACTACCAATGAATACGTAAATCTAATATAAAGTTTGTGATTGTTGCCATGTAAACAAGTAATAGCCTTAACTAGATCGATACATCCACGCATTTCCTATGATGTTTTAATAGCAGTGAGAATAATCCTCACCCTCAGATAGCTTCTGCTTATCTTACATTAGTCATGTTCATTTTTCAGCATATAGGTTAAGATGTGTCCTAAACAAAGGTCAGACCTCATGGAAACGATTCAGGTACAGTTTTTTGACGCGCCTCGCTCGTTAAAGCTGGCGGGACCTGATTCGAAATTGAACGGTTCCTACTTTGTGCATCGCGCTTGGCCGATGTTTGTTTTACATGCAAACTTACGAACCATTGCGATCTAAGAAAATTTTGGAGGGACGCAAGTATAACACATAGTCCAATTATCCTTTCATGAAATAGGTGCTCCAAAGCGGGATGAGGAAGGTAACTTTATAGTGGATGAGTTAATGAAATATTCCGTTGTACCACAGTACCTCTTTCGTTTCTACCGAGAAGCGTTGTCATTCAAGAAAGCTATCGAAGAACCGTCACGTAAAACCCTTCTTCCTGACCCATTGCCGGCGCCCTACCGACAGCCTCCCTACACTTTGTGTCTAGAAATCACTGGTGTTCTTGTAAATCCGGAATGGTCATACAGTACAGGATGGAGGTGAGTGATGTCCCTTCAAGATACATTTCATCTGCTGCTATCTTTTCCTAAATAAATGCGTGTAAAATCCACTTTTCTGCATGGTAGAATTCCAATTCTGTTGTCATAGATCACGTTTTAAAGCCAAACATTAGGAAAGTTTTAGCTATATAACGTAGTAGCAGTGATGGATATTAAATTGTTAACGGTAATAGATAGAACCACATCCATCTCCTCGTTTGTTCAGCCGTATTCGTTTTTGTATCCATCTTTCTATTTGCTGTCCTACAATAATTATATGTCGATTTTCATGCAAGTTCTTAAGTGATTCGCGCCCCCTTGTAGCGTGTAAGAAAAAAAAAAGCCTTCATTCTAGTAAATAGCCTCTTTCCTAGATGGCAAACAATCCAGGATTCCAACGTGTATTAACTACATTTTTTCAGGTTCAAAAAACGTCCCGGCGTCAATTTTCTCCTGCAGCAACTTAGTATGCAGTCTCTGTTCGAAATTGTTATTTACACGAAGGAAAACGGATTCACTGCTTTCCCAATTATCGACAGTTTAGACCCTCAAGGATATATTATGTATCGTCTTTTCAAGGACGCAACTCGTTACCAAGATGGACAGCATATAAAGGATCTAGGCGCCCTTAATCGGCCAATAAACAAGGTACTTGATTCATTCAACTACCAGCTATTTTTTATGAAATTAAAAATACGATGTTGTCCGACCCGTTTAGAAATGATCTTCAACATGGCCAAATAACATTTTTTTTTAATCAACAAAGTGGCTTGTTCAATATTAAGATTACGCAGATAAAACAATTTATTTCCCCACAATTGCCTATTGATTCACGATATTTGCATTCAGGTTATTCATGTTGACTGCGACGAGAAGGCTGTTCAGACGCATCGGTCCAACGCCGTTTGTTTGAAAAAATGGTTAGGCAACATGGATGATCGAACTCTTATCGATCTCGCCATTTTCCTTCGTACGATCGCTGAATCAGGTGTTGAGGACGTTCGTGGTAAGCAAATACGTGTACCAGCCTGCATAATATATATATATATATATATATACATTTTAATTTACTTCTGCCTTTGTTACGCATTGATCAGACAGGATCCTTGTCAAAGGCGGTATCCACTAGCTAATGGTCATTCATAAAGAGCTTTAGCAAAATCCTATATATACTACTGTCTCCGCTTTATAAAAAATTCCGTTACGCGTTCAAATGCAATATCCTTCGATGTCCGCTGTTTCCAGGAGTTCTTGAGTACTACTCACAATTTGAGGACCCTCTTAGGGTGTTTCGGGAAAATCAGCGTAAACTCGCAGAGCAACAAGAACTGCAAACGAAGGAAAACCTTAAATCGCCCGTGATGCCGGCATGGAATGCGTTTCGACGCCGGTAAAATTTTGGTAATTATCGCGCGCTTGTGTATTTTATTTTATGGATGATACTGACTTTACTTTGGTAATTCTTATTGCTACTAAAAGTTAAAAGGGGAACCAAGACGACGTAATGGACCAGAGCGAAGCGTATATAATTGTCGGATGAGAATCTTCTATTCCTTAACATTTTGGGCTAGCGTATAAGGTAGTTTATTCAGGGTTGTATCCTAGGTAGCTGAGATCATCTATATTTATGTACTTCTAGGTCCGTTCGGAACTCGATTTCAAAAATTACAGATAACATATTTACCCAAATGGATTTTCATCGTACAGAATTGAGTTTAACGGACGATGTCGCGCTAGATTTACATGATGGATGATACCCTTTTCTTAACGTGTGCAAACATTGAATGTAATTATAATAATTCTACTATAGTAGCAGTAAGACACGAATGAAAAAGGATTCAAAAACGGTAGCAAAAAACATCGTTAATCAATAGGAAATACGTTCTTATGCAGAAAATAGGAGAAGTGGTAACGGAAGACAATACAGAATGTCGGTACGCGAAAGATACGAGTATGTGTCCGTACTTTTGAGGAAGCACGAAAACACACCGAGTTATTATATAGGGCTTGTAAGAAATAAATTGATGATATGAATGATTTTTTTAATGTGAGACGGCCATCAAAAGACGGAACTGAAAGAACGATGACGGCCATTTCAACGCAAACATCTTCTATTCTGTGGATATCTAGGATAAGCTAGTGACGGACGTCCAGATTTAGGCGTTTTCAGTAAAGAAATAGAACACACAAATCGATATACGATCCCGCATACGATCGTGTACAAATGAATACTGAAAACAAGATGTTGCTGTGTAATAATATCTGCTGAAAATCTAAAACAATGCAAGGCGGAAATAATTACGGAAAAATCGAGATTAACTACGATGGTGTTAAGTTTATAACAGTAAATATAGAATTATATTGTAAAACTAATACATGATCGAGTGTATTTTCCTTGCTTGCTTATTAAGTCGACAATGTATAGGCATAAGATAGAGGTACTGCAGCACTTAATGGTCCCCTATAAAGTACATTAACCCTTTCGATGATTTCTTCTACAGATGATCCAATGCGCTATTCGGTGTTTTAGTGCACAAGAATTGTTGTGCCGCCAACTGTGTGTCAGTGAAATATATAAAGCGTAAAAAAAAGTACTCATTAGCGTTGTTATCAATATTCAAGGAAAGGAAAGTTCACAGTTACGTTTTATAATCCCTAGAAGAACTTCATCCGCTTTCTGAAAAGCTTTACGTTTGAAACTGTGTTTGCAGTTCATAGAGGCGGCAATTATTGAGTCGAGTCGACGTCGTTCATCTCAAATGAGTTTAAACATGCTGCTTAAGTTACATACTCTTATTGGCTATACAGAAATCATTAAGAGCGTTTTCAGACCCAATTACACTTCTATTCTAAAAGTCTGACACGGTAACAGTACTAAGCCTCAACATGGCCGTCCTATTGGTGTTTTTTTCACTAGCTATGTTGGACGTATCAAATCGCAACTTGGCGGAGTTGATACGATACGAATGAAACTTGGGTCGAAAACGAGAGAATCGGTTGGTAGGATCGATTGTAAGTAATAGTTATACAGAAAAAAAAAAATAAACACAACTAGTACAGTGTCTGATACACGGAAAACACTTTATAAAAAAGAGGTCATCATGCATGTATGTTACTTACGATTTAAGGACCTAACTGAAAGTGATAGAAAGGTCGCGGTTCGTGTCGTTGCTGAGCCCTTACTAGGCCAACGGCATAACGCAGTACCGCTAGAGTGCAATGGTAAGATTTATGGTAGATTACCGCTTCGTTGGACGTACTATGCACGCTCCTTTATCAGGTACCACATCTGCGAAGTTTTTTCACAACTGGGCCAGTACACGAATGAAACAAGATGGCGATACTTTACCCAAGAAACGTCCAGGTTGTCGTCAGTAATAAATTCCATTCTACCTGTATGTTCAGTGTATTAACTGCGTTACGTTTAATCAAACTAACTGCAAATTGCCCGAGTGTCACATCGAAAAACACGATTTTTTGCATTACGGTCCAATAAAATAGCCCTTAAATAGGTTATCTTATCGAAACAGGTGTTGTAGAAGCTCCGCTGTGGTCGCTCTGAGAGGAAAACGAGGACCCTTACACGTATCATGAAAGAATTCTCGAATAATTGTACCGCCTAAAAATGTAGTTAAACTACAATGTGCAAGACGACCTTAAAAGAAAAAGAAATACATTTTTGCAGGTGATTAAGACATTGTAATAGCTATGAATCAAAACTAAGGGCAGAGTAGAGCTTTCATAATCGAACACAGCACAATGTGTTTGAATTTTGGACAATTCTGTGTAATCTCCTTCTTTGTCATGAATGGAAGCCTTAATTTTTTAACCATGCAGCGAAAGTATTTTATAGCATGGGGGGGGGGGGGGTAAGCTATGAATGTTGTTCGTATAATCAATATCTCGTAAATCGATTTTTTTTTTAAATGTAGGTACACGTAAATTTTATAGTACAGTGAAGATGCAAGGGAAGGGCTTAAGGTCTCAGTTCATCAACGAAGCCTCACGACCTCTGGAAAATAACTCTGTAAAGAGATATGGGCGAAATGATGGTCGTTGTAAGACAAACCTGTTAGTTCCGGTATAAGAAACCGAAAACGAAGATCGCTTTTCTAAAAAAAACCCAAACCTGATCTAAACCAAAAAAAAAAGGGTTAACTTTCGCAGGTCATCGATCCTGGCTGGATTAATCTTTCCATGCTCGCACTTACCTTACACGCAAGTAATAATGCGTATCTCTACGCAATACATATATATATATACGGAAATACATATTTTTACAGTATAAAAATGATTTTATTGTACAGGTTACCTTTGCCGTTACACACTCCATACAGCACCTAAATAGAAACAATCTTTAAGCATCATGGTATTCTTAATTTTCATCGTCCTCATTCGCTTCAATATAATTCGCGCCCCCCTTCTTTTCTTCTTCCCTCTCATCTAACCTTTTTCTTCATTGGAAAAGAACGTGTTATTTCCGTGTCACTTCGTTCTTATAAATCCTTTCTGACACTAGGTGTCCCATTAGTAGCAAGCAGCTTGACTACACCAATATCCACAAAGCTTATGTTGGCTTGATGCTCTTATGTTCAACCCCCTAAATTCTCAACGATCGTATAAGGCTTTCAGTAGCCGTCTACCACACAGGCGTGTTTCCTCACATTTAGCGCGCTTCTGTCGTCTCAATGTAATCACATACGTCAGTTGTAGTTCGCACAGACACGCATTCACACATACACCCCCAGATGGTTTTCATCTTTTGTATGCACTGCGAGCGCAGATCTGATCTTCATCCGATGATTCTGATGTGCGATCTCGCACAGATTTGCGCGAAATTTCATTTTCAGGTGCCTATTTTTGCGCTTTTTGTACGGAGCTATATTCTTGATTGACTTCAAATCGTTTGCTATCTTGCACCTTTAAGTATCATCACGGAACCGCATTAATTGAATGTTGAGTAGCTCGCAGTGCGGCAGGATAATAAACAATGTTATGTATTGGTTCCTGAACGCATCGTGGGAACTTTTTACGCTCCTGATAACATTCGAATAAATTTGTGTTAGCTGTAGATAAACATTCCACGAATTCCCATTTTCATTTGGCTTTTTTGGCGAGATTTTCGTATTTCGACTTCGACGAATTGTATAGAAGGAACGGCACAAGTAGCGATGGCATGCATAGAAGCAGAAATACAACCCAGTCAAGATAGTGTGGCGAGAAACGGCGTTCAAACTCGACCTCGGGCATGATGCCACCCTGACCAGGCTCCGTAGTTAGGGAATGACGCACTTCGGCGTTAGCAGCCTCGCTCAGTTTGTACTCAACTTCAGCAGCGGTGAAGTTGAACATGCCGTATTTATTCGGCCGGACCACAACGGAATGTGTGATATTCGTGTTAGGTAAGATCTTGGGGAAGGTCGCTTCAAGCGAGCCCGAAACAACGTCAAAGTCCGTGGGCGGAAAGGTGCGATCCTTAAGCTGCACGTCGACTGCCGTCGCATCACCTACGTTATATAATTCGTAGTCAATTGACACATCGCGATTCTCTACCAGGTAGCGATTCAGCACCTAAACCGTAAAGTGACAGAAATAAGAAAAAAAAAAAAAGAAGAGCTGTTTTTATTAAACAACGCCCTGAGGAGATGATTCTGGGTGAATGAGGCGCCTACATGTCACTAGTTTTAGACAAACGCAATTCCAAGGGCCATGGGGAGCATAGTGAACAAATTACAAGGTTGTTGGCGCATACCCACCTTCTTGAGGCAGAGGAGGCGAGCCTCAGGAACACGATCCTGGGCTAGCGTCATGGTGCAACAAAGACCGAGTAGAATAATTGAATGTATTCGCATTTTTGGATGAAATCAGCGGTAGCTAGAAATATACAACGATCAATAGACGAACTTAATTAAAACTCGGAATACTGGTGGAATCGTCTGTTAATTCAAAGGTAAAGAAAAGACTAGACGACAGACGTAAATTTCGAATCTTCCTTTTTCCCCACTCAATTAATACCACACAGCGGGAACGGCACAAAATCAGCTGATAGCAGAAATCACGATCGCATCAACGAATGTTGTTAAACATTTACGCTAACATAGCGCCATTTATGTTTACCAGTCAACTCAAGGCAAACGTGACATAAAAACGACTACACAAACATATACAAATTCAATAAACGAGGCAATGAACAGCGAAAAATGTCGCTTCTATCAATTTCATTTGTAATTTGTAGCAGCTATGTATCGCTGCCAGTCCTATAATCATCGAACTGTTCACCAGAAGATCCGGCACTCTGCTTCTCCACTTATCGAATACGTTGACGTATTCTCTATTGGATCACAAAAGATTTTCTCTGTGCTTCAGTTTTTTTTTGTCAGCAGTGTTACGTATGATCATATATAAGAGTAACACTCTCAAGGCGGAATATGTATTGTGCTAAACCAGCTAATCCCCTGACTGCCCAGCACTCGGTAATCGAATCGTCATCATCGCACAGAGTTTCGAATGAGCCAAATGAAAACCTGCATACGTGCACAATACAAACAAAAAAACAATTTTATTCGTACAGTTTGTGTCGTGATCTCTCAGCTCTTTTAATCAGAGGCGATACGAACTATACAGCCTTTGAACTGTGCAGAATTTTCTGCTATCGCGTTAAGTTATGTCGCTTATTTTCAACGGTGCAGTAACTGCAACGGGCTGTAAATTGCACACATTTGGTCTCAATGCTTGGGACAAAGACCGGCTTTTTAGATTTACGAATCTGTGCAACACTGCTTGCCGGAACACTGCCAGACTGCCGGAATAGAAAAATAAAGACCTTCCAAATGATTTTTCTCGGAGACACTCACCGTCCGTCACTGAATGAGGTACTAATCGACAATACAGACTAATTCACGGCACTGTAAAATGCCAACAATCTACTTCGACTAGCCACGTTGGATCGGGTCTTTCGTCTGGGAGGTCTTTAGGTGAAAATGCCGGGCGGCTGAAAACGCGTTTGAATTAAGCTAACTGGGCTCGTAAGGCTAAAGTCGACACTATTATACAATCTTGGACTTTGGATTGCACGACTTTCGTCTATGATAATAGAAAATGGGTTAAGCCTACAAATCAACTGGTTACTCGTACTAACCGAGTATCGTTAGGTAAGCAGTGCGGCGAGCTGCTCAGACATTTTTTAAATACGTTACCTGTGAAAATAGCAGAGCAGTTAGTTACCAGATTATTTTTCTTTGTTTAATCACAATAGGCGCCTCACAGAATTTCAGATCCTTTCGCTATCGTCGAAGTATGCTTTTTATGTGTTCGAATTGAAACGACCTTGGTCTGCACGCTGACCTGGAAAGTTCATCCTAGTATAGTAGGAGTATAGTTTATTGTCGCAAAAAGAAAGAAGAATGAAGTATTTTCTCATGATATTGGAACCCACTGCCTGCGAACAGCGGGAAGTATGTGAAAACACATTAAGGATATTTTACACGATTACTTATTGCTTTAGCCACACTAGGCACATTCTACACGGAAAAATTATGACCTGGTAGAAATAAAAAAAATTTAGATTTTTTGACGCATAAAGTGAATTAATCGTATTTTATATAAGAAATCTCAATGGTACGTATACTTATAATGACCAACTACTCTAGTTGCTTCGAGATTCCTGATTTTACATGTTTGCGTCTTTTTTAACGATCTTATGTATCGTTCCTTAGCATCCCACCATGCGGCCCCCTATAAACGCATATCGAACCTGCTAAGATTACTATATAGAGCTAATTTTTTTTGAGGTATACACTAGAAGTTTTGCTCAGTGCTCTGGTAGCTGAGCGGCTTTTGTACTTACACACAAATGGGACATTGTAGGTAAACATAGCGAAATTCTCATACCAAGAGCATATATGTTCACATCGACGCTTATTTTCCGCGAGCGAGAACGTTGTAAACAAACACATTAAAAACACCTATGCATCCCTGCACACCTGGAATGCAGAGGGGTGTTTGTTTGGCTGGCCGTTTTCCAGATTCAACTTATCTCAAGGGGGCAAACATTACAACACAAAAAAACAACGTGTGTTGGAAATTATCACAGCAAAGGCGTCTAGACCGATATGTCCTCTATCCACTTCGGAAACCTTTGTGAAATACTTTTCTACCACGACAGACAGAGTAGTACAATCTGATCCGAGTTTAGTTCGAGATTAGGATGGTGGTAAGCTATTTTTGTTTGAATGATTGCCAATATGCGGATACATCACTATTGTTATTATTATTATAGCCGTTTGTTGATTTCATTGTACTAAATAATTGAATTGCCGATCTGTAAACAGCAGATCTGCCATGTATTACTGGCTTTCCGTTAGCGGTGCATATGGTTCAACATGAATTATCAGATCAACATGTATCTGTTCAGATACATTGGGCTATGCCGCATAACCGATAATATGCAAAGCATCAGCCAAATACTCAAGGCACTATTTTGGGCAATGATCCATACTCGTACACAAGGATTTCGCCTTCCGTTACGCATCAGCTAAGAAATATTGTATACACTGACATCGAATACCATAAACTCGAGCTTGACTCTGCAGCTTGCTAACAATCATCTAACCAAACTGTTTCATTTTTTCAAACAAACAATTAATTACAGGGCATAAATGATTGATCTACCTAAATTCAAGGACAAATGAGTTCACTCAGAAAAAAGTGCTTGGTGACGACCTGCCAAAATGAACGTTTAGGTACGGTGGTGGATTTTCGAAGATATAAAAGAAGCAAGAATTTCCAGCCTTCATTTCATGCCTTGTCTGTAGTACTATACAGTTTCATTCAGACTAAAGGGAAAGCTAACTGTATGTCAGGATGTATATACAATCAGTGACCGTTTGGAGATAATCAACGCATGCTTCGAGACTTGAATTTATAGAAAAAAAATTAACGAATTTTTTTCTAGTGCTTTAACACTAGGCAAACATAAGCCAATACAAACGCGTTCAATCATCTATAGGGTTAAGATTTTATTTGAAATTATCAGGGAGAGTCGTTTTGAAGGTACTAATGTCAGTTAAACGACTTCTTCACAGATAGTTACGTTTCGAGAGTTCGTGTACGTCAATGCAAATGTCCTTTGCGTAATATAATCTTCACTCCTGACCGTTATCTTGAGGGCATGCATATTAAACTGATTTATTTCGACAAACGCAACAGTTACCGAAATGATGAGTAAATATACGATTTTTTTTATAAATAAAAAGATATCGTCTTTTCGTTTATTATTATTATTAAACCGAAACTTTTTGTACATAATAATGATCACAAAAGAACAGAGATGCCTAAATATTTACAAGCGTATACCGATATCAGCACCGTTGACCGATACTTCACATTATCCTTCATTGAGTACATACAGTTTACAGTTTATCTACATATCGCAGACCTGTTGTTAATGTTCGTATCTATGTTTTTCCATGTTAGGTATTTGTGGTCATCTTCCTTGCCTGTTTCTCCCCAAAAATAACCCAAGGTGGCTTTGAAGCCGTTTCAATAGTCCCTGTTATCCTTCGACAACGATTCTGCCTATTTTGAATGATAAAAAGAGGACCTATTCACCGGGCAGGCGAACAACCGTTGTCTTATTGATCTGCCGAAAATTGTCCGCCCATGTTACCCATAAGTTACCATCATCCATATCACGTTGATCATTCGTATTTTCGATTAAGGTCTGTTTTTCCGGTTAAGACCGAACACATCCTGAGAAAGGCTTCACCGTAGCGTTATTACATACTTACATTTACTAACTAGCCCAAAATCAAACATGCGTATTACATATAAACCATGCACCTGCTCGTCTGCTTGAGTGTTTTTCGTACAATTATGTATTTCCATTCGATAATATGCATTTTTGTAATGCTAAATGTATTGTCTTTTCGCCTGTTGTCCGATTTCTCTTTTCCGTGTCTGTTACGTACACAATATGTATTTCTGCTCCCGTCCATCCAAATGGATTAACGTCGTCTGGATAGACTGACAGAGTGTCTTCTGTCAGCGTTTGTCGCTTAACATTCGGGTCAATCGCTGTTGCTTAAATGTAATACAAAAGCGGTGTACAGTATCTGATCTTTCTTTGTGTCTTGCGTTTTTCCAGCCTCTCCATTACACACTGTTGTTTGCAGGTTTTCCTTTACTACGATGGATGTTTATAGGGCCAATGAATCATCTTTATACAAGCTATCTATCTATCTATCTAAACTGAGTAAACTTCCTTAGTTAGAGGTGCTAAGTCTTTGAAGAGAACTGAATAAAGCGAACACCCGCGGACGTCTCTATGGCCCTATCGTACAATATCGCACGCACTCGGGGTGTGTCTGACGCTGGTGTGCGAAAAACCTCTTAAGAAGAGACGTATGGGGGGCAATTGAAGGGAGAGAGAACGGGAAGGATAATGCTGTACCTTTCTTGTCGACGAGAATCTACATATCATACAGACTACGTTAGATTGATATTTTGTTCTTTTGCATTTCGTCGACGCGTTGCCTTTAAAGATAGAAAAAATTTGTTATTCGTTGTCAAGGGCAGAGTAGAAGAGTTGATCGATATCCCTCACAATCATACGTAGCCCACACAAATAGACAGTCATATGTCATATAGACCCACATCATCGACTACGCGAATGGATGTAAATGTTTCAGCAAATACAATAGTAATAGTAACTTCTAGTTGTGTTTTACGTTGGCGCGAATGACATCTTCCAGTCATTCTGGTTCGCACGCACACACACACACACACACACACACACACACACATATGTATATATATCTTTAATATTAATCACATTTAAAAGATATGCTATATAATAATGGGTTACAGGTGGCGGGAAATGAACGAGCACAATCGTTTCGCTATTATACATAGAAAAGAAATGCTAGCCAACACAACCGGCCAGTTTATCGAAAGCGAAAGAATAGAAAAAAGATTATATAAAATGATGATAATGTTATGATTAGAGAAGATGACTTATGTTGATGATGATATAATTACTAGTAGCATACTATGTCGTAATGAATCAGTAGAAGAGTAATGGTCGTAGTAGTGATAATTGTAGTTGTGGTAGTAATATTAATGAAACTAGCTGCACCGAGATCCATTCCTGTCGCTGCTGCCGCGTTCACAGCAAGCATCGAAAGAAGTGTTGAAGACAAGCTGAAGATATCTGTCGTTTTCGCAGCAATTCGTCTTCAGCGAAAGTAAAATTCCTTCGTCACCTAGCTTTCTCTCTCTCTCTCTTTCTCTCGCCGCCGCCGCCGCCGCCGCCGCTGCCGCTGCCGCCGCCGCCGCCGCCGCCGCCAACTCCTTCCTTTCCGCTTCCTTTGATCCTTGCAATGAATGGATCGGCGTGTCAATGTATTAATGAAGGGTAGCCATCGACATAAAAATTCTTGAATGCTCGTGGCGATGCGGACTAATCGATCAGTTATTGTAATCACTAGCTAATTAGCCAGTTTTTAAATCTCGTCAGAGCCTTTCTAGTAGCGTCCTTAGAAAATGAAGGCCATTCAGGAAGGGTAAATGGTTCGTTTCGTTTTTGGGTGAGTGGCTGCGACAGTGCGAACCGCGCGGATAACGACAGGCCAGTCACACAGGCTCTTTTCACTTGATCTGGACCCTTGAATTTGAATCGGTAGGTCTTGTACGGTCATGTTACCAGTCTAGGGGGTCTGTAGCACGTTCTAGCATTACGACAAATTTCATCTGCATGCGTGCTGCTCGAAACAGTCCTTGCTTGATTTGAATGCGCGTCCAGCATGAGGTAAAAGTATGTCTGTGTCTGTTCATGTGAAATGTGTATAGCTGCACATTATGAACAAAGCCGACGCGCGTTACTCATGTACTAGATTTGCTGTCGGTAACGGCGGCTGTGATCGGCGCCAGCCAATGAGACACCTTATCGAGACTCTGACTAGTAGCTGCTATCGGAGTTGTTGCTATGGTTCGAAGACAATGGATGATTGTACGGACCCTCCCAGCCCACGAACTCATCCACAATGGAGAGCGCTGGCGGTGTTAACGCATCAGGCAGCTCATCCTCGTACTCGGGCGGTTCATGAGGGGAGGGGGCGTCACGTTAGAGATTGGGCACGATGGTCTCATCGGCTGCTCCACCGGACATCGCCGAGTGAGCCGTTGAACAACGGTCACTGTCTTGAGTGTTGGCGTCCTCTGTAAGCAATGAGCCGTCAATTGGTCCGACGGCCGGCAGTAATCCCTGATTTCGCAGTTGAAGTTGTTGCTGCAACAGGTGCTGCTGCTTCTTGTAGTTGTTCTTGAGGGTCTGCCGCTTGTTACAGAACCATACCCGTACAACCTCTTTATCGTAGCCTAATCGTTCGGCTAAGGCGTTCATCTCGGCACTTGATGGATGTGTGTTGTCCTTGAAGTAACAGTTAAGCGTATTGATTGCTGCTGGTGCGAACGACGTCCGTCGCTTTCGTTTTTTGTTTGAATCAACTGCTGAATCTATAACGAAACAAATTTTCCAAAACGAACCGCAAGTAAAACCTATCAATATCATGTGAAGACAATTAATGCTCGGTAGCGTATACAAAGCCATGATGGGATGTCTGATACACGTTGGCTACTTTGTTTTGAACAAACGAACGAACTTCGACGAAGATGCCTGACAGTAATATCAATAAACATTACATGGTGACTATTGCTTACCAGGTAGGTCAACGACTTCACAAGCTGTCCCGCTAGCGTTGTGTTTGTCTTCCATCTCTTTCATCCACCGCTCGAGGACAGGCTTGATCTTTTGTGCCGACTTTGGCGTGATATCGAGCTTCTCAAATCGACAAATAGCGCTTTGCGAATACGAAGGACCTTCGGTAGCCGAGAGCAGAACGCCAACTTGTGTTTGCGTCAAACCCAATGACAGGCGTCTCATTTTGAAAGCCCGCGCGAAATTCTTAATCTCCTCCAAGTTAATGCCATCCACAATGTTCGCTTCGGTTGAACTGATTACTGTAAACAAGAATAGGTCCGAACAAACCAATGTGAAGATCACCAGTAAAATAAATAAATATAAGTTCTAGGCAACTAAATATAGCCCGCACATAGGAGAACGGGATCAGCGTCTTTGACGAGCATTTTCCAGCCCTTTTCTTTTATCTATCAGATATAGTGATATGAGTAGTCAAAAATATACGATACGACAATAAGTCATCAGCTTCTGGTGCCTATAACTATCGAGTCCAGGTAATAGCCTACCTTGTTGCTGGGTCTCTTTGGATTCATCGGTTCCACCCGATTGAACTGAGCCAGGTCGGTTATCGTCGGTCGATTCGGCCGTTAGTAGCGCAGGTGGTGAAGGTGACAGGGGCGGAATGTTTGGCGTCTGTGGTACAACGATGCCACAATGCGAGCTCGCCACCTGCATCTGCTGCAGCTGTTGGACCGGGCTGTCGTCACCAACTTGTTGACGCCAATCATCGGCGGCTGCGGCAGCAGCTGCCGACGATAACGCCATACGCTTGGCAGCGCTTCCGCCGTTCAAATCCGATTTCGTGTCCATCGCTTCGACCTTGATCTCCGACTTGACAAACTGCCCTATCGAGATATTATGTATGCCCGTGAGAATCTTCGAGCCAGCCGATACTACCACAGAGTCCTGCAGCTGTTTCATCTTTAGCTGTGTAATGGACTCGATCGGCTCCGGCTTCGAGCCGATCCCAGCGCCACTGAGCGAATGGTCCATCTGTTGTTGCACGTTGTTGTGCGGACCCGTCGTTGTAGCGTGATTTTTGTTATTGTTGTTGTGGTTGTTCATACTGTTAATGTTCATATTGTTGTTTAAGTTATTACTATTAGTGGCGCCGTTCGTCAGTTGACTGGTCGGTAGTATCGTCGTGGTCGCGGCTGTTGAATGCTGTGTAGTATTATTATTACTATTAGCGAGTGGCACCGATGTTACGGGTGTCGCTGACACCGTGATCGCCGTCAGAGCTGCTGCTGCTGCTGTTGTTGTTGTTGTCGTCGGTGTAACAGCAGCAGCAGCGGCAGCAGCTGCTGCTGCTGCTGCTGTCAATGTATGTGTGGTAGCTGTCGATGACTTCTCAATTTTCGGGGATTTCGCGGCCAGCTTGCCTGTGTTGGTCGAGAGCAGGTGCACGCCAGCGGGTCCATTATTCATAATGTTGCTACTGCTGTTGCTAGTACCGCTGCTGTTGTTATTGTTGTTCGTTACCGAAGCAGTGCTAGTTGAAGTCTGGGCTCCAACTACCAAGCCATTCCAGCCATTTTGCTGCTGCTGCTGCTGTTGCTGCGTGCTAGCGCCGTGAATCCCCGCTGCCACGTTTTTTGACGTCACCATGACGACAGTTTGACCGCCGGACAATTGCTGACTTGTCGGCTGCGAGGCGCTCACGACGATGTTTCCTGTCAGTCCATTCACCTGCAGCTGGGGCAGATGATTATTGGGAACCATGATCGCTTTCTGACCACCGCTCAGTTGAATCTGCTGCAGCTGAGGGCCAGTAATAGTCTGCTGCTGCTGCTGCTGCTGCTGTTGCTGCTGCTGCTGCTGCTGCTGCTGGGGCGCCTGTAGCGATGTTACCTGTTGAGCATTTTGCTGCTGCTGTTGTTGAGGGCCCTTTTGCAGCTGCTGACGTTGGATAGATACTTGTTGCGGCTGTAGCGAGCTTTGCTGCTGCTGCTGAGGTGAAACAACCTGCTGCTGTGGTTGTTGTGTTTGGAACTGCTGTTGTTGTTGTTGAAGCTGCTGTAACTGTTGTTGAGCAGCCTGCTGGGCCGTCTGTTGCTGAGTGGCGTTCGTTTGCTGCTGCTGCTGCTGCTGTTGTATCTGCTGTGTCCCACTGTCGGCACTATTAACTTGCTGTTGTTGGGCGGCTGCAGTTCCTACTGCTTGTATCTGCAGCGTCTGAATATTGCTGTTGGCCATTTGCTGAGGCTGCTGCTGCTGCTGCTGCTGCTGTTGCTGTTGCTGTTGTTGTTGCTGCTGTGATGGCTGGCCAAGTGGCGTTTGACTGGCGATCGTGAACAGCTGACCTCCAATCGAGACGGGTATTAGCTGTTGGCCATGCGGACTCTGAATTTGGATATGCTGACCACCTGCTCCAGCCATAGTGATGGTGGCATTCTGGCCGATACGCACGGGCTGTGCGCCCTTCGGTATCGTGACCTGCTGCACAGTGGATGCGTTGCCGGTCGCCTGTACAGCGGGCCTGGATATAACCACCTGTGCACTTCCAGTCGCATTCTGAACAGCGGACACATTAACCGTGCCCGTAACCTGACTCACGGGCACGACTTGCGCTAATGAAGCAGATGCATCCTGGGAGCTTATTGTCGTTCCACGCTGTTCAACCTGAACAAACCAAATAGACACTTCAGTGTCAGTATCCTATTATTTAATCCGATGATCACTGTCCCCGTGATATTGCGGAATGCGTTTGTCTGCTAAACGTGGGAGCAGGTAGTCCAGGTTTGAATAAGGCCGTAAACATACTTCGTTTGGTTGGAATAAATGCTTAACGCCTCAGCTAATGCCGTACGTAAAAGAAAAAAATGCCCCTTGCTACTAGTTACTAAGCAGCATCCGCGAACGGCATTACAATACGATATTGAACTATACCGTAATAACATCTCAGAACAGTGGAAATGCGACAGGTGCGAGTTGCTAACGTTATGCCGGCATCCGAATCGAAAAGGACAAATTGAAATAAAAAAAAAAACACTTCACCGTTTACCCACCTGCTGCGACTGCATCTTGACCTGTTGTACGACTTGGGCAACTTTGGCGTTCGCCAACTTTTGCGGCGAAGCGTCCGTTGTCGCTGGAACAGTAGCCAGCTGCGAATTATGAAACACTGTTTGGCCTGCCGGCGAAAGTTGGCTAACCTGATGCGGTGGTTGGGTCATTTGGAGCTGCACCGTCGTTGTTTGCTGTTGCTGAGGGTGTATTGCTGTCGGCTGAGCTGTTGACACTTGCACTTGCTGTACTTGAACGAGCTGTTGTGCCTGTTGCTGCTGCTGCGTCTGTTGTAGAGACTTTCCGGCCTGTTGAGAGGTGGGGCTTGCCAGTGAGATGCCTTGTTGTTGGGTTTGCGCCGGTGTTTGGGTAACATTTGCCTGCTGCTGCTGCTGCTGCTGCTGTTGCTGCTGCTGCTGCTGCTGCTGCTGCTGCTGCTGAGGTTGTTGTTGTTGTTTGGGCTTTGGAGCGATCGGCAGAGGGCCTTTCTGTGTGGGCGTCGTAGGGGTAGCCGCAGGCGCTGGAGAGGCTGTGGGTGTAGCTACAACACTTGCTGTGATCGTCCCCTGCGGAGCAGCACTAGCCCCTTGGGGCACACACGCGATCTGCGTTCCTTGCGGGGTCTGAAATAGCGTGACACATCAAGACAACAACATAACGCCTTATGTGTGTTACTTTTTAACGTTAGCTTTCAGGAAGAGAACGCGTAGCTGCGCAGGTAAATCATAGCAAGAAAAGCAAAACCAACATCTCAACATTAACAAAAAACACGACAACACTAACATTGGAGTAAGTAACAATGCGCAGCACAATGGATGGACAACAAGGGCGGATTGTGTGAGACACAAAAAACATGCCATCTACCGATAACTTTTCTACCAATAAGCGTTAATATTAAAAAGCATCTATGAAGGCCACACATCAAAAGTATTACTACACCGAAGGTGCCATCACATTGTACCGGCCTTGGGTCCTCGATGCATCTTATTTGTAGAAAAGAAATACGGGATAAACCACGAATTATGCAAAAGTTACAGTTACTGCTCGAACGTATCCGTAGCCTCGAGGCGTTACCTGAAGGCACTAACTAGGCCATTCATTATCAACAGGTCCCCTATCGTCAAGGACAACAACAGGAGTGTATAGATATCGGATGATTGTCACAAGCAGGAGATAGTGATAATGATGATGATCACTGACAATAATACCGCTGTTACTTTTCTGTTGTACAGAGATCGTATCTCTGCAGGGTAGCCACGGGAATCAAGCGGGTTCATAAACACCTGATGCATAGAATTGGATAGTGGGTATTGCAGGAGAGACATAGAGGGTTCGTTGCCGTTGGCAACCTCAATCGCTTGATATTTGCTTATTAATTAGGAATCGATTGGAAAGTTTAGAATAGCTAACAACTACAAATTGCAATGCTATAAAATAAAATCGGGATGGATTACTAGCAATACAACATTATCGTATTGGGGCTGTAGGGTTGGGCATCTCTAAAGCATCCACTGATCAGACGGCCCCTTACCATGATTGTCACTCGACGCGCCTTAAGCACTTCGCCGAGGCTGCCCGCCTGTATTAGTTTCCATTCACCAGGAGAGCGGTGGTGGAACGCGTATTAGCGCAACGAATTTGGCAAAAGAACATACCAGAAAATATGTCATATAACTTTTCATGAAGTTAAATAACCCCAAAAAGAGCCCACGATAATCTCAGTGAGCTTTACTTTTTAACAAGCAGCACTCACAGGGCAACTCAGAAGTCTGTGAGACATTTTTTTGTGAACATTCGTAACGGGCAATATCGTCCTCGGGCTAATAAACGTGACAAAAGCCCCCCCCCCCCCCCGCCAAAAAAAACAAAAAAAATAGCGAGTCTAACTTTTGCAATAAAATGTCATCATGACATAAACTAGCATTGATGTTCCAGTTCCTAACGATTAGAAATTTTTGATGTACCTCTGAATTACCCTGCCCGGTTGGCTGAGGTTCAGATTTCTTTATATATATATATACGTCCATTTTCAACTGGACGAGTTACACAGAGGGGGAATTTATTGTTTACCCACAATTTTCCACATGTTACCCCTACTGATATACATAGAGATGACCTCTAATAATTAATATAAGTGAATCTGGCACAATGCAATAATAATAATTGTGGGCTGGTGACGGTTCGCGGCTCGTTAGTGCAATCTTATGTTCGAACTTCTGGTAATAAACATGTAAAATATATATCATAAGTGTGCTCCTATGGGCAGCGCAAAATCACCCTAATCTGCTGTTCTCGCTCTGACGTTCCATCAACGTACCTGCGTAGCAATCTGTATCGTCTGCTGCGGGGCGAGCTGATGTCCCGCTGGCGCAATATTGACAATTTGTCCATTTGGTAGCTGTATGAGTTGGCACGCAGGCTGTGCCGGGGGAAGAGCAGGCTGCGGTGCTGGCGCTGTGATCGCAATCAATTGCCCATTTGGCGTGGCGAAGAACTGTTGCGTGGTTTGCGGCTGAGGGGCCTGCTGCAGCGTCTGCTGTAGCTGGTTGAGCTGTTGCAGCTGCTGAATTTGAGCTACGATTGGCTGGGCGGCCGCAGCAGCAGCAGCTGTTGTCGCACGAGGTCCGCCAGCCTGAACGGCACCTGTGGTGGTAGTTGCCCCTGCAGCTGCTGCGGCTGCTGCCGCAGCAGCTGCCGCTTGCACCTGTCCAACCGCCGTCGGGTCCACCGCTCCAGCAACGGCTTGTTGTTGCTGCTGCTGATGCTGCTGCTGCTGCTGCTGTTGCTGTTGTTGCTGTTGCTGCAGGAACGCCTGTACAATGGCCTGCTGCTGAAGGGCGGCGATCAGCTGTTGTTGCTGTTGGACCTGCAGGAAATGTGCCAGAGTGTTGGCGTACAGCCCACCATTAGGCTGAGCGATCATCTGTACACCCCCAGCCGTACTGCCCGGCAGTTGAATGAACTGGGGCGCGCCATTCGCTCCAGGCACGATGATTTGTTGGCCAGGTTGTGCTGCAAATTAGCAAATTACAGGAAAAATTGCGAATAAAGTAGAATTATTATGATCGTTTATCAGGAATGGCCGACGATGATCGTTGGTCCCGACTCATTGCAGACAGCAGTAATAATAATGCCAACAGGAAGTTAATCCGATCTTACATATACACACACCATATGACACCTTCCTAAGACACATCAGACTGAAGAGGTGCTGTTGTTACAATCGCGAAGAATCAAAATGCGTCTATCTTATTCGTTTCGCTCGCTGGATCATCGTTTTTTTTTACCGAACAAAACAACCCACTTAGAATATCGAGTCTTCTTCCTCTCCTCAATCACTCATAGGCATTAAAAAAAGTAGATGGCATCATGCAGAGACATAAATAGTTCAGCTATCAGCTCACTACTAACCGAGCATAAGGCCAGCAGTATTTTGCAACAGTTGTGGCTGGGCGGCTGCAATGACGAACGGCTGCTGTGGGGTCGCCTGTTGTTGAGGCTGCGCTGCCTGGCCAGGTTGTGCTGTCGTGATGGTTACTTGCTGGGGCGCCTGCCCAGCTGCCGCGTGGGCTGCAGCTGCCTGTAACTGCATTCCTGCGAGTTGTTGGGCGGCCGTCGATTGTTGAACAGCGGCCTGCTGCTGATCGTTTGCCTGTTGCAGAAGCTGCTGGGATAACTGTGTGGTATTAAACACACAATCGAAACGAACGTCGTTAGATTCGAATCTTCGGATGCTATTTACTTAATCCTATCGAGTGGCTCTACTAACAAACGACAAAGCATAGTATGATCATTTTATGAGTGCAAGATTATTTATACGACATTCGCTACTCTGGTAGAATAACGCAAGTGTTTGCAATATCACATAGACGATTGTCGATAAATACTGTGAGAAATGTTTTCTACAGATTATAAATTTATGTACACCGTCACAGTATGGCACAATCACACGGCTATTACAGGTATGAGGTGTCTGCCATGTTAGTAATGCTTTCCGCGTGCCATGCGAGAATACAATTTTGCCTTGTCAGAGCAAATAAAATCGCTTGCGGCCTGATAACGAACCCGACGACGTAAGTTAGCGATCTGCCTCGGAGCAGGTTGTTAAACACAAGTTCCTCACATAGAAATTTTTCGAACTTATAATGACAAACAAACGGCAACTCCATAAGATGCGAGACAAGATTTGACGGATAAAGTTTTTCTTTTACGAGTCTACATGTTCCCACTTCTAATAGGGATCTACATAGTGCATATATAACGAGGAGGTAATATCTGCACGGTTTTAGGTAGACTTTTATGAAATTAAGAGGAAATTATCTCAATAGCCTATAGCGAAGTGTTAAATATTTACGAATAGCAAAATGGAGTAGCTTATCGAAGATGCGTAAGACAGAGAAACCTGGCGAACTCTTCCCGTTGTACACGAGGTCTTGTTTTCCGGGCACCTCTTAGAATTCTCTCTCTCTCTCTCTCTATCTCTCTCTCTCTCTCTCTCTCTCTCTCTCTGGATTCTTAGTGCTCAAATAAGTCTCATCACATTTATAGACAGAAGGCCTAAGCCCAATATTCATTAACTCCTCCATGCCTTGACCGGACCAGCTCCTTTTTACATATGCGTACAAAGCGAACAAAGTCAATGGCTGAAACTGTTGCCAGCATATTTCTTGGAAAACAGATGATAGACACTTAGCCGGTCCTACAGAATATTTCGGACAAACTCTAACCACAAACAGTTTCTTGCGAAAAAAACTGGAAACAAATGCGACAAGACGGAGTCCAACATCCAATAAAATAGATAAGTAAAACGATTGAATGCGGACTCCTTTCAAAGGCACTTCTAATACCTCCGTGTAGCAATCAGCAGAGATGCTGTCGATGCAATTAACGCGGAATACGGATTGGAAACCCAAGAAGACAATCAACGGTCGTTGCGGTTTGCGAAGTGTCGCAAAGAGATGAGGTCATATACGTTCGAGACAGCAGCCAACAGTATTTCAAATAAAAACGGCTTATGGCAGTTTGGGATTATGGTTCTGTTCGGGTGACCTATCCTGTAGCTAACCGAATAGGTCACTGTGGACAGACGAGTCTTGTTTGCGTGTTGCGCAGTATTCGGCCAGAAAATGGACATTGTGCCCCGACTAGCCTATCTAGTCGTAACATTTCCCTTCTCTCGATTACTTATCACCTTAGCGCTGTCAACGGTTATCAGAATAGATAAATCATCCTTGACTTCCGAGTTTGAAAGCAGTATTTTATACAATCCTCAGATTCCATGATACCCGTCTTAAATAATAAACACTTCTGTTTCGACTGGCAACTTTGTAAATGACCCCGTAGCTTGCACGTAGCAGCTTCAGTCGATCGCGACGGCAGGTCTAGCAGCGCTCATAAACATTTCATGGAGTGTGTTATTAGCAACAAGACTGAGATGATTTACAAGCAATTTATATTGAAACCTCTTGTTCCAATTGGACAAACGTAAACCACGATTTCACGATAGCTCGCCTTCGAGATAAAGCACGAACGTCTTCAGCAGAGGTTATTTCATCAGAGCATAATAATGACTTGGAAAATTTTCCATCTCCAACTATAATCTTCGTACAAGCACGTTTGAAAGGTTTACAATTAAATTGACATTTTTCTTATTATAGGGTTCTATTCTTTCTCTCTCTTCTTTTTTGTTCATTACATTGTATATATCAATACCCGTGCTGTTTCTATAGACCCTCTGAATTTCCTGAGCACAAAATAAAAACACACGCTATTAAAATTTCTAGATCGCAAACGAAGCCACCAAATTAGACACTCGAGAAACGTAGAGATTGATTCTTGTACACAGACGACAAATATATAAAGCCTAATTTACGAAACGGAACGATGCAGTTAGTTCAAACACATCGTCCACACAAAAATCACTACGCGCATAACGAAGAGATGCCTGCAGCAAGGATGAAGGGCTGGGCAACTTCGGTTTTTGTTCACTCATACGTGAATTGGGCGTACCTTTAGCCAGCTGATAACGTGCAGCTGTTTCGGTTCCTACACATCACCCGCCCGCTGTTAAGAAAGGGTACACAATTGCTTGTTTTGCTTAGACTCGAGCGGCGACAGCCTTCTGTCTTTCGAACAGCTGACAATGATCAGTAGAAGATCATGACATAGTCCAAGACATCGGTGCAGCTCTTAACTCCCTGACCAGCGGCTGTGACGTTCTACCTCTTGCGCTTCACGAATAGCATTTTGAGGAACTTTTGAACACGACTGCTTCACGTTTAGTTGATTCGATGGTAAGCAAAAGTTGCATCCAAGGTTATCTTTTGCTAAGGGAGATCATACACCACGGCTTACCAATAGCGCTAAATGTACCTGATAAAAGTAAGCTTCGGTTCTCTTTCAGTTGAAAGACTTACTGAACTGTATATGACTATAAAGAAAATACACATTTCCTCTTATCCAGGTAATCTACATTTAACTAAAGCAGGTGACGATCTTTCTATAGACCGAAACGAAGTATTGCTCATACTTACAGTCGCTTGCTGTTGGCCTTGTTGCTGTGTGGCCTGTTGTGCCTGCTGTTGTTGTTGCTGCGGCTGTTGTTGTTGCTGCGACTGTTGCTGCTGTTGTTGTTGTTGTTGCGATGCCGCCTGAACCGTCTGGAGCTGCAAACCAGCAGTTGCTCCTGTCGCCTGCGCGGCAACCTGTTGAGTGCTACCCTGATTGATAGCGAGTTGCTGTTGTATGGCAGCCTGTAATTGTTGTTGTTGTTGCTGCTGCTGCTGCTGCTGCTGTTGCTGTTGTTGTTGAGTCCCCGCTGTGGCCTGCTGCACAAGCTGCTGCAATTGGAGTTGCTGGCCAGCCGCTTGAAGATGGGGCTGTAGATGGTTAACTTGCTGTTGCAGGGCGGCGGTTTGTTGAAGCTGCAGCTGTTGTTGCTGATGCTGCTGTTGTTGCTGCTGCTGTTGAGGGTCTATGTGTTGTACGAGCTGTCCCTGTTGAGCCTGTTGGCTGAGATGCTGGCCCAAATGTTGCTGCTGCTGCTGCTGTACCTGCACCTGTTGCTGCTGTTGTTGTTGTTGCAGATGCAGCTGCTGCAGCTGTTGTTGGTGTTGATGTTGAAGCTGATGTTGCTGCTGTTGGTCAGCGGTTGCCGCTGTCAGTTGGCCTGGCTGCTGCTGTTGCTGCTGTGCAGTCGTTCCCAACTGACCATCAGCCGTGATGCACTGTTGGCCAAGCTGTCCGACCTGGCCAACCTGTTGTAGCTGGCTATGTCCGACCTGCCCGGCCTGATTCGTCTGAAGGACAATCTGTGTGTTTAATGACATATGCTGTCCTAGTTGCTGCTGTTGTTGTTGTTGTTGCTGCTGTTGTTGTTGTTGTTGTTGCTGGTTGTTGGCGACACCGACCAGCTGTTGATGCTGTTGAGAGCTGACCCCAACACCGACGGCAACCTGCTGTCCATTGGCCATCTGCTGCTGCTGAGTGGGGTCAAGCTGTTGCTGAACCAGTTGTTGCTGTTGTACACCAACGCCAACTCCAATTTGTTGTTGTTGTTGTTGAGCTCCATGCATTTGCTGTTGCTGCTGTTGGCCGATTTGTTGCTGTCCGTTTAGCTGCATCTGCTGATGTGTTTGGCCGTTCAGCTGTTGGATCTGTTGAGAACTGAGCTGCTGGGTCTGCTGGCCATTCAGGTGCATGTGTTGCTGACTTTGGTCATCTAATGCAGACAGGTGGCCAGAAACCTGCTGCCCGCCCTGGCTTAGCTGACCAAGGGTGGCCTGCAGTGTGGCCTGGTCCAAGTGACCCAGGCTGAGCGTTTGCTGGGTTTGTCCGCCCACATGACCTCCGTGCGTCTGTAAAAGCTGGTTGCAGTCGAGTAGCTGCGCCAACTACAAGTACCGGCAAGAATACAAATTGAACAGGGTAGGATGTTAAAGTATGTTCGCAAAGCAGTCAGTCGATGAACCAGTTTGCCACAGCGACTCCAAGTTTATTGAAAGTACACTGAGACTAAAACTTGTTATCACATAAGTATCGACCAGATACTATCTACACGAAAATGGTTACATCCGTTTAGCGCTAAGCACCCATCAAGATATTCCGTATAGTTAAAATGATATAAACAGGCCAATTAGTAGACTCATAATCGTCATCCACAACTCTCTCATATGGTCAGAGGCAAAATCGAAAAATATTTAGAAAGGCTAACTTTAATGTTAAGTCTAAAAGATTACCCTGCACACTTAAGCTATTCATAACAGCAGTAAACGCGGCAGAGTTCGACATACTATTGCTAAAAATGCCCGTGACGTTGCAAGAGGATTCATGTGCTGTGATTCAAACCACACAACAATAGCCCCACGCGTTCAGACGCGTCGGACTTTGCCTGATTAAATATGCTACCAATAAAAGCTGTCGATTAATCTATCAAAGTCAACCATCGTAACGGCTACGAGGATACCTTTCCCCCCGGAGGCATGACCGACAGGGAAATCTTCAGAATCGTTTGCAATAAAACCTATTGAACGACAGGTTACTGAAATTCGGCTGCAGGTGTACAAGCGCGTAAGCTGATCGATCAAGGTAGCTTCTTTGGAATACCTATACAACGACGAACCAATAAGAGTGAGCGGCAAATGAACAGTGCGAAAAAAAAATAGATCATCATTTTGGGTTTTCTAGTCTCTGGTATGTTGCTGGCAAGGAATAGACCACAAGAAATGAGCGCGTGTGGAAAGATCTATTCAACACCAATATCAATATTATTTCACACAAAATTTGCTTGGTCCTATACGGTAATCCGCGAACAGCTTAGGAGAGAATCTTTGCATTGATATGTCCTTTTAAAGGCACATGGACAAATTCAACTCCCTGTGACCGTTGGCTGACAGCGAGCGATACAAATAACAAAAGCAACTAACAGCAGAAGAAGCTGCAGGTGTCACCTCCTTGGCGTATAAAAAAGAAACAATGAAAGCTGACAGCATGAACCAGCGCGGGAATGAACTCGCGGGTAAAATCTGAGATATATATAGTATGAACTCAAATTATCTCTGCCACAAAACGCGGAGGCCTAGGCACACCGGCATTACGTGCCTTAAAACCCCATGTAATTTTTGTACGTAAACAGTTTGCTAGCATATAAGGCATGTGCACAAGGATAGCTTGCGCAAGCGACAGGAGATACGCAAAACTACGTTCTGCTAGATACTACTGAGTAAATGTTATATTTCGTAGAACGCGTTCAGTCCTGGGGTGGTTTTTGTAAACTACGCGTGGTCTGCAATTACTATACGTCAATAGAATATGCGCTAGCGTCGATGCGAACAACTCACCTGGGCCGTGTTATGACTGGGATCTTCATACTGGGTTGTTGCGTACTGATTACCACCTGCCTGAAGTTGTTGGCCAAATGCGTCTCCAGCGAGCAGGCCCATACCATCCACGGTTGTAGTGGAGCCATCACGGCTTACGTCGTAGGCCCCTTGCTCAAAACTGGGCCCAAACAATGAAATGCCCAAGAGAAGGGTGTATTAGTAGATTATCGATAGATTCGAGTAAACAGAGTGCAATTTTAGATATGCTTACAGAAAAGGTAATTTTACATTTTGCAACTGAGATGAATTACTCATCGCTATAATATTAGAACTTTACCATACTTAAAGTTCTCATATACGCGGACGCGCAGTTACCTACGGTTAACAATTTTACATTTCTAGCGTTACAATTTTAAGATCAAAATAACTGACTTCTTGTAGCTATTCGACTCACATAGTTGTGTGAATGTATATAAGATTTGATGCTTACTGCGTCTGATTTTGGTATACGCCGGCGGCATTCGCTCCCGCTGCCGCAAGCTTGAAGTCGTGCTGGCCAAACTCGTGTGCGGTAACCGCTCCTTGGGCATCGATGCCCGAGCTGATTGTCGCTGTTCCTAATGGGCCAGCTCCAATCTGCTGTTGTGCCTGCTGCTGTTGAGGTCCGCATTGTTGAAGCTGCCGGATGACATCCTGAAAGGCGTCCTGCGACATTCCGGGCTCCCAAACGGCCGAGCTGGCAAGGGCAGCTGCTGCCTCTTGTTCTATTGACACCGCCCAGTCTATTAGGGCCGTGAGAGGCCCGTGGGAGCGCGAGGAGAAGGCCCCTGATCACGGCCTTCTAAATGCCTTTGCACCTTTTTCGTTGCACCTAAATTCGCAAAACACAACAACGAAAACCAAACAACATATATCAGAGTGCATTAGTATCAACAGATTCGACAAAGACAAATGGAATGTAAAGAATGGTAGGAAAGCCCACATTACGCGTGCACATATGTAACGTCCAATAAGATAATTTTATTTTGTATGATATTATTTTTTGCTAAATGTGACAGTGATAACGCTGTTTATTAGCGTTCTAATATCAATGTGCTTGGTGCTAATTTATCGCAGAAGAATTGGCTAGAACAAAGAAGTTCTTTCGAATACGCTTACACTGTATCGTGCTACAGTACTTGAAGATTATTTCATAAAGCAAAATGACATTTACGTTGTATCAACAGCAGCACAAAAAATATATAAGTTGATTTCGTATATGTTAAGTGTTGAGTAATAATAAGTGTCTTCGTTAAAAACTTTACGTAGAAATTAACTGAAGCAGCAAAGTATAGTGTCGGCAATATCTAAACGATTTAATATATATCATCACTGTCGTAAGATTGAAGACCACTCGTCGAGTATAGAAACTGGCTAAGCACCAGTTACAGAAAAACATATATAAAAAACAGTAATTCATTGACACTATCGATCTATTGTACAATATCGACACAAGCGTCAATAAGCCTCATTGAAAAATAATAATATATTTTCGGAAAATAATAGTGTGTACGCTCAATTTTTACGGTCCGAATTGCTGCAGACTGGGTAGCCTAAATTAGTTTCTCTAGCTTAAAGCTGATTTCACTTTTACGACACTATATTTCTGTTACTAATGGTTGTAGCGTTTTGTTAGTCGCGCCTAAGGCCACTTCAGAAAGCCTTATTCTCTGGGCAGTCTTCTAGCACTGCATATCGCAACGGCGGTTAATGGTGGAACATGCTACGTCAAAACGACTAAGGCAGTCTAGGGACTACTTCCATTAATAACATGTGTATGTGAACAACTATATGGTAACAATAAAAATAGGGGAACAAATCTTGCGTATCCGGATCTGGTGCGCGGTTTCACGATCGAATATCCACCCCGGGAGTCAGTCAATGACGCTTCTCAAGGAAAGCAGCGAAACTGCCCTATGAGGCTGAACCGGTTTTTGCTCAAAACCCTTATACTGTGTTTTAGTTGGCTTATATCATTTGGTAGGTTTGTCTGTACACACATCTGGAATAAGATCGATTGATCGGTGCCGACAATTTAGATGGCAGCGTAGATAAGTCCGGAAGACTCAACTGAAACGGGAAAGCCCTCATGAAACCAGCGTTAAGCTGATACTGTTGCAGCTGGTTTACAGCTTGGAGCGCACAAATTGTAAGATGCGGCGATAATCTTTCCTAACAGATCTTCTCTGCTCATCTCTGTCACGTCTCGGCCAGTCGCAAGACACAGTATGCTGTCTTGCTAGAACTGCCTGCATACTTAACGCCATCTTAGATATCAATAGTGAGCTTGCTTCAGAGGGCGGTGGGGGCGACGACCTCAGCCCCTTATTGGCGCTATAGGAGCACAGCGCATCTTGAAAAACGTAGTTTAAACATTCGTCAATACGGAGGTCTGCTGGAGAGCTTCCCGACAGCATGTCCATAGCCTGACGACCATAAATTTCCCGTATATATCTCATCTATATTAATAGAAAATAAACAATAATATGGCGGTGCCTGCTGACTCTGTTTAGGGGGCCGTCCCAACCGACTAAATTATGTTAATGCAAGCTGGGGCAAGATTTTGCCACTTTTCCTCGAACCTACATCATAGTGCACACTCGGACGTCACCACACGACACTTGCACACCATTTACACATAGGTCCTGCCCGAACGTCGAGCGGAAATCACGTCGTTTGAAGTAAAAAACCCGCACGTACACGATACACAAGCGACCAGGCCTAACACTGAGCATTATGCCTCGGAACGAGCCAAGCTGGAGTAGTGCCGCCATACTGATTTCAGCGGCTGACGTCTGCCGCGATCCGATAGGCAAAAGCGATTCGATGCGATGCTGTGCCGTCTGCAGCAGCTGCTGCAGCAGCGGCAGCAGCTGCTGCGGCGGCGGCGGCTGCGGCAGCAGCAGCAGCCGCGTATGTTATCGAACTGCGCGAGACAGGACGAAAGCACAATATCACGGGCGTATGATGTTACAAGAAGGTGCTGCTCCGCACAGGGGCCTGTCTCGTAGCTTGCCTTTACTTACATAGTATCAGGGAGCGAATATGCTGGGACCTAGTAGGGCTATCGAAGGCTACGATCTAGCCTAGCAAAAAAAAATATTATCGTCTAATTCGGTATGAAAGATAGATTTATATCGTCTATAGCATATGAATGTGCGGATCCAAGCTGGAATGTAGGCGTGGAAATCATAATTAAGTCAGGGTAATAATTGATTAGACCAATAGAGAAAAGTAAGGGATCTTGTTGTTTTGAATTTGCTCGTTCTCAATCGACAACTTCAAGGTAGATTGATTCCCACTTGAATGCTTCCCCTCAGTACGGATTTTTCCGTTTGTTAACTTAAATGCTGCTATCTAATTAGTTAGGTGAGCTCGTGGCGTTAACAGTCATTAACAAAAGTAAGCTTTTGCTGCGCCCAAAATGTCGCTACTATCGAAAAGTGGACTGGAAACGAACGCGTTGATAGTTTAAAATTTGCTTCGCCAATCCGTCCGTTCATATTGCGTTTGTGTGCGGTCTAATTTGTTTACTGTATCAGGATGTTTCACGTCAAACGTATCTCTATGCAACTAACTTTGCCGCTAATAACTAACATTAATTAACAAAATGAATGCTCCGCGACATAAACTAGATCACAATTCACAGCGGCTCAACTTAAACACATCTTATTTGAATGAGCACCGAAATGTATTGGATCATTTCAGACGCTCATGCATATTTCAAGCAAATGTATATTTTGCTCGCTGCTTTTGTTGCTTGCACTTATTTAACTTAGTCTAGTTAAATGAAAATAGCATTATGAGAAGTGCGGTTTTAGCGGCGCGTTTGCAGGCGCTCGAGACCCGGCTGGTGGAACGGCCAGCGCGTGACGTCACACCGTAAGCAACACACAATTGGCCGCCCCTCTCGTCCAGTAGTTTCGAATTGCAGACGGAAAGCGCCTACAACGTCGTGCAAACACTCCTACCACGACCCTCTCTCAGCTCCCCAGCCGAAAGAGCGGTGGCTGATCGTTCTATGACTGGTGGCTTGGTGCGCGGTTCTGCATTGCTGACTGCCGTTATGCAGTTGTGTGAGTGGTGGTGGCCGCTCGGTTGACTAGACATCGGCCGGCCGGCCGGCCTGCCTGCCTGTCTGCCTGCAGGCAGGTACCAGCAGCAGCAACAGCTACAAGTAGCTGAGTCTCCCTTTGCTTCCTTCAACTTGTGAGAGTGAGGGTGGCGGCGATGGCGGTCATTTTAGTATCTCTGGTAACCGCTATGCGAATGCGCTTCCTCGCTGCTCACTCGCTTCGCCTGTGTATATGAATCGTTACCGTTTTTGTTGTTGTTGTTGTTATCGCTGTTGTTGTCGTTGCTATTGGGGACCGAACTGCTTGAAACGAACGGCAACGTCGCGCAGTCAGGCAGACAACCGTGTCATAACGCGTAATGACGCGGTGCAGTTTCACAGCGATCGGCTTTGCCACCTGGAAGCTCCGACGGCAGCCAGCTGATACCGGATTTTAGACTGTCTACCTTGTGTAGCTGCATGCGTCGTAGGCAACAGACGCGTCAGCCGGTCGAACGGCCTCGCGGCCGTTGGTGCTAATGCTCGCGTTGGCGGGGCTGTCGCGGACAGCAACAAGAGAGCGCTTTTCCGTTCGTTGCTGCTGCTGCTGCTGCTGCCGCCGCCGCTTGGTGGCTATAACTAAGGTGATGGTAATGGCAATGGTTTTCTGCGAGCGCTAGTAGAGTGCCGCTGAATAATGTGTCTTAAACGCGACCCTCTCCGCTCTTTGGTCCCTGCTACAATAGCAGTTCGGCCAACTTGCGCCTGCCTAGCCGTCCGTCTGGCCAGCTCGCTGGTTGGACGATTATTATATGCCAGTGAATGAATGAGTAGGTCATGACGCTCTAGCCAGGTTGGTGGCCGGGCAGAATCTGCTTAAGTTATTCATTCATGCGTCAGTCAAGTAGTTAGCCAATAAATCAGCCTTGGGGGATCGAATGATCGATCTGATCTCCACACCCAAGCAAGATCGGAAGTATTCAGCAAATGGTTGGTCCGGCAGCGGCTAGACGCCCAGCCGATTGTATACCCAAGGGGATGTGGGTCTAGAACGCGTCCTATCCCTTGGCTTTTGCTTATGAAGCTGCCGTGTGCTGCCCAGTTGATGCAAAACAAGACAAGTAATAAACGGGCCGTAGTATTTCGCATAAATATTGTGACTACATTATTTGTGTGTGTATCTCATGTAACGCCTTACACATTCTAATTGGCTGAACGCGTATGCATTTGTTTGCGTATGTAAGAACATTTGATTGTTTATTAACAAATGTCATTATTCTATATATACTGTGATAGGAGGTTATAACGTGAAAGAATCATAGATTTTCTTATTTATCTAGACACCTTACTAGGGGAACAGGTTTGCGGGATTATTTTTCTAGCTTCCTTCGAACACATGATATGTCAAGAAATCAACTATTATCATGTCTATTGCTATTTATAAAGTTCGACATGTTACTACCAGCACCGCATCTTTGCTAGCCGTAACGAGACCTAGTCCTCTTTTATTGGCATAGAGCCGTGTGTGCGGGCGTATGCACATGTGAGCGTATATTTGTGTAAGTGCGATACCGTCATAAATCGTAAGCGAACCCATTATCGTCACTATTTACGCAGGCATCGAAGCCACGTTTGTTGCGGCAGTGAGATTTATCACTTCTGCCATACCTGGCGTGTCTGCGCTGCACCGGATCTGTTCAAGAATCACCCATCGTCTATTCGGCTCGTAACATTATGATAATTCAAATAACTGTAACATCCATTATTATTATATCACGCGTAATTAAGAAGTCGCCGAACGAGGGAAACAACGGAATGGAACAGAGCAGCGCAACGCAACGTTCGGTTGTTGCCGACGGCAACGGCTGTATGCGAGTGTCCCGATGCTGGTGCCGCCTGGCGGCCATGGTAACGCTGCTGGTGATGGCGGTCCTGGTGGTCATAGTGATGGTGGCGTCTGCTGCCGTTCGCGCTGCAGTTCAGCTGCGGCAGCAGCAACAGGCATGGTATTATGCCACCGCTGGCGTCGCAGTCGCCACTGCGAGTGGCGCTGCCACAGCGGCACCACCACTAGTCATCAGCGCCCCGTGTAAAAGCCACGACCACCAGCCACTGCGGCCATCGCCCACGGCCATTCGTTAGAATTATTAGTCGGGTTGGTAGTTCCTGTCTATGTGTACATGTTTATATATGTGTGTGTGTGTGTGTGTAGATTAGTCGGCGCTCGTGAGCCGCTCTTTCCGTCTGTCGTCCGGTGACATAACCATGGACTAGCGGCTGTAGCGATAATATATTAATGGTTGGCAAGGCGGGTTGGCTATCCAGAACTACATCCCCAGGGAGAAAGAGTAATAAACGGAAATAATTATATTAGTAATCATATTTCGGGGTCATATTGGTGGTTATTAGCTAGCAATTATAGAATAATTATGTTCCGCAGCGAGTTGCCATTGTATATAATTTTGTCAATTGCGGATGTTTACATAATGTTTATGGTATCTATAAATGTATTCGATTGTTATGATTGTACATCTGAATAAATAACGGTTTTTCTCCACTGTCCAGATTCTGCGTATGGTTGAGGTATTTTCGAATAGGTTTTCTCTTGTCAAGTATATGTCAGATCTTACCAGCAATTTTTTTTTTGTCTCGCAGGTGAATGGTGCACTGAAACATGAGTACGGAAAAATCTACTCCGATTTCTGTATGAAATTACGCAGGAATCGAGAGCTGGCACGGTTTTTCTGTACAACTGAAAAATAGCAGGTCTGCACTGGCCACTTTATTCAATCACCAATAGTCCACGCAACATAATCGTTGGGCTAAACGAAAACGTGCTAAGAATTAAGCCCACATCTAAATGCCGTTCCTGTAGAGGGGTGTTTTTCGGCCACCTAGCTAGTTAAGTATCTCACGGTGCTATCCACTTTGTTGGCAATAAGGGCTGTTAGACTACCTATAAAGGAACAAGTCTAATAAACTAGCTTCCCGTTAAATTGTTTTCCTTTTCTTTAATACCTACCTAACCAGTAGTAATATATTAAAACTGTGAATTTTTGCGATGTAGAAATCATACCTTCTGAGGTAAATCAATGGCGCTTCGTAACAAGCACTATTTGACATACGAAAATGTGATTCTTTCTAAGTACGTGTATACATAATCGATCTAGGTAAAAATAAAACCAAAAGAACGGTATAGATTAATTTATTAGGCATTTCTTTTCAGCATCAATAATTCTGGGTCAGGTAGTTCTAATGGATGAAAATATTCGAATATATATGTATATATATATATATATATATATATCACAAGGGTAGGTAATTTTTCCAAATCTTAAAATAAAAGTAAAATCTGGTTAAGGCATTCTGGCTTGTACGAAGACGCGGCTAAGGCATAATATACAGCTGATATATGCAGATAGTGACATAAACGCTAAGTTCTACTACATGTAACTATGATTACGCGTACATGCAGTACTAGGACATGCCTCAGTAAATGTACCTACAAGGACTGAAGTTTTGCCATGAATTTTGACTTGGGTTGAAGTCAATTATGGTCGTTGAAGGTTAGTCCATTTTGCTAGAAAAGGTGTAATCCTTCAAGCACGCCCCTCCACACATACATACGAGATTCAATGTTCTAAGACTTCTCAATTCAATCTTCTAGGAGGCTAAAACTTGTCGCCTTACAATGGATCTGTCTGGACCCTTGGTTGCTGGAATCATATGGACAACAAAATCGACAGGAGATATTATATTTCGACAATTCTGATGAAGTGTTTGTTTGATGATGTATAGCTCATTCCTGCTGATGTAGTCGATCGAAATAGCTAGCTTCGTCTAGACATAAACGAGAATTATAAGAAGTGTTCGTATGAGCCACTTAACGTAGAGTCGTGTCGCAAATGATGAGTTTCACATACATCAATAGGGATAAACAAATGAAAAAAACTAATTAAAACTGAGCGATAGAACGAAGTCCATTATGTGAATCAGAGTAGTTTGCTTCCATCTGAAACTGGCCTCTGTACGGTCTTTCTCTGGACCGCTTCTATATGCATGCAGCTGTTAAATGGTGCGGGAAACGTGCGAATGCGGTGGCATAGATTACGCACCTCTCTTTTGACCGAGGACTCACAGATGTTGATCGGGTGCGTATGGTCCTTTTCAAATATTACGCGACTTGTCATTGGTTTGCCAGGATAGCGAATCGTTACAAACCATGTAAGAGTAGTTGCTCTTTGTTGATGGTAGCTAACTAAACCGAATACACACATTTCAAGCAAGGTTTTTGGGTGTTTACTGCAGATCGAGAGAGTCACTATAATCAGTTTGAGTTCAAAAACATTATTATTTCCGCCCTTACGCAATGACGGTTGTCCTTAGGCATGACGATTGTATATTCCTACTGTTAATATGGGTGTTAACATTATTATCATATGATATAATTTACGTGCAGAAGCGAGTGGTTTGGTAGGTTGATAGAAGGACCTCCCGGGGGTGGGTCCCAATTTGTTCAGGCCGTGCCGTGCACGCTAGCAGCGACACCATTACATACATACTATTGTCCTGGCCGCACTTTGGGCCGAGGAGAGAGAGCGAACGCTCGATTCCTATGGGAGTCCCCTTCCCGCTAAACGTCGAACAGGAAGCGGCCTGGGATGATGGCAAGGAAGTAAAGGCTCAGCGACAGCAGCGCCGATTGCCGCGACCACAGCTGCAGCGGCCGCTTGTCCCCACAGTGACTCCGTATATAATAATCAACTTCAATGCTGCGTGGTAACGGTATCATTTGCTGATGGCCAATCGGGTCTTTGGTACATTTCCTAAATTCGTAGCTTGACCTACTTTCAGGCACCTCTGTTTCTATTGCTGCTACTGCCGATGATGATTCTTGGGAAAGGGAGAGGAAGCATACTTAAGAGGAAGGTTCGCCGCACCATGCAGACTTCATGAACGTGGCGTAGAGCCGCACCCCCTTTTGATGGGGCTGCTTCTAACAGGCCCCTTTCCTGCCAAGGCCTGATGTTCATTAGCGGCGGAGGGGATATGGCCAAGAACGCTCGGCCGTGCCAGTGTACTGCTCTATATATATACATACACATACGCGCAAGTGAGTGCATAATACTTCGGGCCACCGCAGCTCCCTTTCTCTTTGTCACCGAATGGAGCAAACGTGCCTACGGTCTGTTTGTTTGACTTGGAAAAAGCAAGTGCAAAATCTATAACGTTTTCCAGACCTTTCGAAGCCCCGAAATTTTGTGGTTTGTCCCGCTATGACATGTTCGTTATAGCCTGCTATAGGTTAGCAGCGTCATTGTTCCTACAAACCAGCATCGTGTACACGACAAAATTAGGGGATAAAAGTCTGAGTAATGGGGGCCCGTGAAGCAGCAGGCGCGAGGATAAACGGCATGCGCCTCACAGGGAAAAGAGTGAGGGGTTTCGCTGGCGGAGGCAGCGGCGATCCATGAACACGAAGGCGAAGGAAAGGGAATAAAGACGAACAAAGGAGAGTAAAGGCGGGCTGAACGTGGAAAAGGTTGAGTGGCTAGTCGAACTCCCTGTTGTGCTCGTGCTAGACCGAAAAGAGGGTTTCTGTTGTTGTTGAGTTTGCTCTGCAAGCGTGCCGGAGGCAGGCGCTGGAGCCAGTCCCTGGAGCCCGCGTGAGAGGGAGTAGATCGCCGGGAGGGTTTCCAAATGGCGGCGAGTGGAGGAAGGCCGTCGACCACGAACTGCCGAACCGTCGTGCCCCGTACGCCAAACGCTCCTCCATGTGTCCTCTCTCGTGCGTCAGGCGGCGCCCTCAGCGGGGGCCTAGCGCAGGGCGCACGCCCAATGGGTAGGACCACACGTCAGGAGAGGGAGTGTACTCACGAGTTCGAATGGGCCGTGCAGGGCGCTCCTTTGTTCGGCCATCAACGATGAGTAGAAGCTTATAGCGGATCGGCGGAGGCGTTTCAGTCGCGGGCGTGGCGGGGCATTAGACTTTAGCGGCGTCCTAGCTCTCACTGGGCTGCGCCAGTGGGTGGCCTGGCTGCTGCTACTGCTGATAGTGGTGATGGTGCTGCGGCGCAAAGAGCGCACGTAATATATATATATATATATATATATATATATATATATATATATATATATATATACTTTTTTTTCTTTTTTCTAGCTGACTCTATTTGACACTGAATAGATTTGTATTTAGAACACACGAAACACACGCACATAGAACATTAAAATACGTTTAAAAAAAGACAGTACGAATAAAATTTCTTGAAAAAATAAACGTAACTCCACGTCCCGTTGAGGTAATGATAATAATGGCTACAGTTTTCTTTCGTCAACGGCTATCGGCTCAAAGCAACGTTGTCATTTTGCTCTTCAAAGGGGTTTGCTGCGGGGAAGGGGTCCGTCCGGCAGGGGGGTGGCAGAGGCTTAACGCGCGCAGCCGTTGGATGGAGGGCAAATGCGGAGTAAGTGAGCACTGACTGGAGTTCGGTGCGAGAGGGCAGAATGAGATGCAAGCCAATTCCGCCCCTTGGCCTCTCTCTCCCGACACAACTCTCTCGCCCACACGCGAAACGATTGAAATGCAGAGCGGGACGTCCTCCGTTTTAACTTTAGCTCAACCATCGGGTTCCCACTCCCTCTAGTACTCCTTCACGAATATTAATATCATTTTTTGCCTGGGGCGGGAACCTCTCGGCACCAATAGCCTCATGACGTATATGTATGCTTGTTGTAACACTTAACATTAGACGACCGCATGGTACGTAACGAACGGGATGCGTCTATTGGAGTCTTTATTTATTAACTGAGTTATTGTAGATTTGCATAGAATAAAAGGAATACTCCATCAAAATATTAATTATAATTGGTATATTCTTACTGACCTTTATTCGTTATTAATTTCTGTGCGGGCTTGCGATTTGGTATTTTACCGAAAAAAGAAGCAGAGAAAACATTACTATTTATATCATTTAACTGTAAATGCCAGGATTAATCATCGCCGGTCAGTAGAACCGAAAGCTATGTATTCTAGCAAAAATATGCCAGAGCTAAACTTCTACTTGCCCTTCAGCCTGTTACGGAACACGGAATGAAGTTATTACGCACTTGATTAAGTAATTACGCGTTTGTTCTTTTTTTTCGTTAATCGTAAATGAATCAGTTTATTCGATTATTTTTACAAAAGCAATCCAAAGCTTCCTTCGTTTTAGCTTAATTATTATTAGTAGTTTCATTGTAATTATTGTTGTTGTTGTTGTTGTATAACATCAACTTTCATCAGCTCTACTATCAACTTAGATATTATTAGCACTTATAATTCAATTGAACTTTTATCGTCATGTGTGTATACGTGTCAGTGTTCACTCTATATGGTTTTAACGGTTGACTACCGTTGTTATTATTGTTTATTATTGTTTATTATTGTTCGTTTTGTGGCGTCTGTGCGATTCGTTCATCATTCGCGTCGACTGTGTGGGACGATCAACAAACAAGCATTCCCCTGCTCCGTGAGTGATTACGGGTAGTTACGATAGGCAGAAAAGCTATACGATATCACCCACTGTGTGTCTCAATTCAATCCACTGTGTTCGTTGTCACACTGTGAGATTTGGGCCGCAGTCTCAATGGGGGCTACGGACAGGGGAGGCATCGTTCTCACCGCCGCTTCTACTGTAACTTTATGCAAACGTTATTACGTGTAGAGCCAACTTATTCGGAATAATGTTGAGTGGTGATTATTTAGTGAATGTTATAAAGGACGACTTGTTGCTGTTGTCCTTTGCGAGAAAGTTTGCAGAGCCTCCCTTGCTAGCTAGACTCAAGCGAAAAGAGAATCTGCAAGGATATCAACATTTGGCTTAGTCGTTTATGCCCAATTTCAGCTGGATAACCTTTGGCCGCATTAAGCCTCAAGCTAAGACAACTAGCTGCTACGCCAACCATGTCTTGGTACACTGTTGATCGTCCCGATCTCTATTCTATTCAATGCTGTTTGCTATATACGAATAAGCATCTATAATGAAATCATTTCATCTACCATCTGTCACTTTATGGCCTTCATAATATATTTATTGTGTTATTGCAGTCACACGCCAACACACACACACACAACCACCCACCCACCCCCATATATATACGATGAATGATGTCATTTGAAGAGCAGCCTCATGATGTTTACCCATTTCCTTTTCTTATGCCCTGAGTGTCTGAATAGGACACGCAACAAACCATGCTTCGTCAGGAAAAACATTGCTTTTTGCTTACTTACGTTATTCTATTAGACATGGTAACTTTGAGGCATATCTCTAAGACGTCAACGCGTTTCAAACGTTGGAGGCTTTCATAAGTAACTTGTGTACTGTGACAGATGATTTTGTCGTCCCTCGCACCATTATTACTATTCAAGACGATTTAATGATTTACTCCTTATTTTCGCTCTGTCAAGAATACTTTTGTCGTGCATTAATATCGATGAAACTATTTCACACCCCAGTTTTGAACCTGTGTGCCTGTAAACAAAATCGTAGCCGTGTGTGTATTTTGCGGCTTCTTCCCATACAGTACACAGTACTTGTTATAAAGATTTTCTTGGCGTACTTTGCTTCTGCTACCGTACTCGTCGTCGTCGTCGTCGTCGTCGTCGTCGTCGTCGTCCCCCCGGGTTTTAACAAAAAAAAGACCATCATAAAGCGTTTGCCTTCATTAAAGAGACCTAAGGGGTTATTTTGAAATAAAAATCTCCTTTTTCTCTTCGGCTTGACCCTGCTTCTGCGGTGTATTCCGATTTACCGCTTTGGTTCGGCTAAATGTGTATGCATGCATGTATGTATGTAGGGGAACAAATGAGAGGTTCAGAATAGAAATGGCGGACACGCATATTTTACATAGAGTTTTGTCAACAGTACGTAAAAGTTCTATACGACATATGACTATTATTTTCACTGGACTAACTTGTCTATAGCATGATTTTGTTTAGAAACGTATTTTTGTTTGACAACGACGTACATATGTCTTCCGTATCGGTGCAACGTTTCT